TTAAATGCATGATTTTCTAATCAGAAACTATGTATTCTCATTTTAGATGCTCTAATTAAATTTGCTAAAGCATCAAGTGTTACTTCTATTCTTAATCATCGTAATCATACTATCAATGGTGTACATGTTGTCATGCGAAGTTATCATCAAGATACAAGTAATTCTGGTCCAACGCAAGCACCACCAAGCTTAATGTCATTAGCACAACAAAATCCAATTACATCTAATCATAATAATAATAATGACCCACAGCAAACGAAATATGATCAAATAATGCAAGAAAATCATGCACTTAAATGTGAAATAACTAATCTTCAAAAATCATTACTTGAAGCACAAACATATTCTAAAACTGCCTATGATACATTTCAAGTTTTACGAGAAAAATTCGGTAATTGATAATTAGCTGTCTTTTTTATATCTCAAATAATTATTTCTATTTTTCTTTCTTTTTTTAAGAAGCAGAACAAGCTCTTACAAATAAACTGAAATCGGAGTATACAGCTATGGTTGAATCTTATGAAGCCCGACTAAAACATTTACCATCATCATCATCGATATCATCTTCTATAAAAACAATAGTAAAAGAGGAACCAATTGATAGTAATTCTCAAGTAAAACATTCAACAAATAACTCGCTTGAAATGCGAATAATAAAAGAACATTTAGAACAAGCACAAATTGATTTAGGTATTTTTTTTACAAAGAAAAATAAATGACTCTTTGTTTCTAATTGAAAATTTTATTCATAGGTAAATGTCAAACTGAAAATGCTTTACTTAATGCTAAGTTAATGGCACGTGAACAACAATTTGATACACGTTTTAAAGCACTAAATAATCAATATATGCGTATGAAAAAACAATATGAGCACCTCTCATCATGTATTAAAGATTTTCATGCAAAATTATATCCCAAAAAACGATTAAAACCTGAAGTAAAAGACGATAATATGAATAAATCTGATCGAGGAAGTAATAGTAAAAGTAATGATTCAAATGACGATATAGTGGAAATAATTATGCAAGAAGACCCAATAGTATCATAGATTTAAGTTTTTTTCTTGTATATTTCTCGTTTTTGGCATGTATCTGTTTCATGTTCTTTTTCATTTTTCATTCGATTATTTGTTATTATTGTTCTTCAATATGCGTACATATATATATAAATATATAATTATGATTATGTTCATTTATTGGTTTTTGATGATTTTGTATTTATTACTATTAATTAAAAAAAAGTGAAGATATGTATTAAATAGAGTTTGTGAACAAGGTAGTATTATGTTAATGATATAATGAATGCCTCGAAAACTTTGATACAAAATGTTTCTTCATTTTTCAACTGATTACTATGCTCAGTAGAAATCGTAAAGCATTGGTTAAAGATCTAAATTTTGTGCTCTTGTCGAATCGAAGTTTAGAATTTTTATTAAACTTATATTTTCAGGATTATGAGTAAACCTATGGATGGCTTGAAAAACAAGTTTGGAGGAGTTTTAGAGCGAAAAGAAAACGTATAAGATAGAAGTACAATTTATTTCAAATGTATCGAAAGAAACAGCGAACATTTCTCTACGAAATGATTAGTTCTCCGTAAGGCATCCACCAACAATGAAAATTTCCACCAAAGGCACTGGTATATTCGCGATTTCTTGATTTTCAAATTCACAAAAAATGCTTGCTTATTTTGGAGGGATTGCTCCGAAAACATCAATTGTTAACGTTCTTTGTACAGTACGATCTTGCTCATCATACTACACAAAAATAATCGCTATTAAAACATATGCAAAAGCGGACATTTATTTGCCAAGAAAAATATCTCTTGTCTAAACAGTTATCCAAAAAATTATCAAAACGTGATGCTACCAAATGAAAGGAAATCAAATTTAAACAGAACCAGCATATCTACGTCAGAAATACGAAGTTGCTGAAAAACATCATGGAAATAATTTCAAACGAAACATGATTGCATTTCTCGACTACGCATTCGTTATTTGCAACTTTCTTTGAGCGAATGATTTTTTTACTCTTTTCAAAGATTTGCTCATAACTCGGAAAATATGAATCTAATGTAAATTTTAAACCTAGATTCAGAAAGAGTATAAAAATCTGATTTTTAAACCAACATTTTATAGAATCTGCTGATCATCGTAATGGATCGAAAAATGAAGGAACGTTTTGTCTCAAAAGTTTCGACTCATCCGTTAAAATATCCGGAATGAAGATTTTCATCGGTACAATTATCAGCTCAAATATCGATTGTTTAGTTCATTATTGAAAATTGATGGAATATAGATGTACTTGTCGATATATGAAAATGAAATTGTCAATTAATTTTCATTGTTTGTAAAACAAATACTAGTGATTAACATTAATCATTTGGCAATGCTAGTAGCACATATTAGCCTGTAGGTGATGAATCTCTATCTTTACGGAAAATATCTCTCTTAGAGTTAGGACGAAATTAATAATATCCTTGATTCAAGAATAGTTAGTTTAAGACAATTTCAAAAATCGAGCAGATATATTGATGCTAGAGACATTTATGCTCAGTTTATCTGTATGATGAAATCGACTAGTCTCTCATCTTATTATTGACGAACGAACTGTTTTAACTGATCGATTGCCTTTTTTTAAGAAAAGCTACTGAAATATTGATTATCGATTATGCTAGTTTTCTAGAAATCTATTTTTCATATTGACAAACTTTTTTCTTCAAATTATTTTTTGATTCGTCTAAATTATAGAACATAATGGAACGTGGACAAAAGTATTTGTACTTGTATTTTGTGCACTTTTTCAGGTAAAAGTAAAGATACTCATCAAGTGTACTTGATACTTATACCAGATGTGTCATAATGATTGCAATATCTAGTTTTTTGCAAATATCTCAGCACAAATAACTCGTAAAATCTAGCCGTTTTTTAGATGATGTACCGTAAAATTCTTTACAAGAATAGTAATGAGGAATCCTATTCAGTTAGTTTGATGATTTTTGTAGAAGAATAAAAGCGAAGCATGTGTCTGATGATGAGATGGCTTATTATTCGAAGAGAATTAAAAATGAAAATAATGCTAAGAAATAGTCATCTTCTTATTGCAGATAAAACTTGTCATGTTGTCATCTCCAGAAGAGTGAAGTTAATGTTATTTGGTAACAGTAACGGAGTAACAAAGATTTTCCGAGTTTATCAAAAGAAAAGCCATTCTTTGAAACTGATGATTCTTTATAAAGTTTGACGAACAGTGTTCGTGGTTGAGGAGCCCGAATCTGGAATCAGTTTCTCGAAAGCTATCAAATGCTTCAGTCATTAGGACTCGCTCGGTATAAGTACTAAGTACTTTTCTACAAAGATAGGTACAAGAGCAAGTGTACTTGTGCAAAGTCAAGTAAAAGTACAAGTATATGTTTTAAACTACAAATAACAAATACTTTTATTTATTGTACTTTTACTTGTGCTACCTCTGGAGCATATGGGATTACATAAACAACATTACCTTTTTCTTTTTCAAGTCATTCTTTTTGTCAAACATACAGCCGATACATAACTATATTTCAATGTGAAAATTCTCCAGATGATATTATTTTGTTTAACACTCATTTTTGGAAAACAAAGAAGATTATTGCCTCACAGACAACTCAATATGTTGTATGAGGCGGGCAGATCCAAAACAATCTTAGCAAAATGTTTGTTAGTCAGAAACATCGGTTTTCTATAAAACCAGTATTTAACCCCTTAGCGCTTGACGATGTATATATATATATACACATCCCACGATTTACCTTAGAATATCGGTGATATTATATAAATACTTATGGATGATGTTCTTGAACAAACATATCACTAGCTTATTCTTTGATCATTTGGAAAAGCGTTTTATCTGTTAGGTAACGAACTTGGGTCGTGAAAACATCCTAGAAATCTATAGTCGCTATAATCATCACACATTCTCTTTCGTTGTTTCACATATGGGTAGTATGTCACAAAGTACGGATCACACAGATCAACTACTATTGGAAGACCGCAGACAAGGAGTCTACTCTTTGTCTAACTGCTCGATATTTTTCTTCACTCGCTTCACAAACATCGCAATCAAAACAGCCTCAAAGAATTCGTTGTTTGCAGATTTCATAGTTTTCGACATGATATAAGATATGTGTCTTGACAGCAGTATACTTCAATGTATTGTTGATTGTCTTGAAGACTATCATACGAAAAATGAACTACTACTATTTCCTTGACACAGAAATACAATGTCTTTCAAAAAATAAAGAGACACCATATTGAAAGATTTTTTATAAAAATCTAGATTTTCGCAAAAAAAAGAATCGGGTATCAAAAGGTTAAAGACCTAACGAGATTTCTTATGCTCATATTCTATACAATCCAGAAATTTATATTGAGAAAACAATGGATTAGTTGGAACCGTTGCGTCATAATGATGATCTGGAATTCTTGAATTTGTCTTCGAATTGGCAACTTTTGGATTGACAGTATACTTCAACATATAAGACGCTTTACATAAAATCAATCATGAAACTTTGACACTAGATGTACACATGGAACATATTATCTAAAAAACGATTATTTAATGAAGAAAAAACAACTCTTTTTTTAATTTGTAGAGAATCAATCAAAAAATAAAGAAATAAATAAAACTGTTTATTCTATGCTCTAGAAATATGATTAAAAAAAATAAAACCGATGCATAATTCACTTTTTTCCGAATGTGTCTTTCAATCTCATTTCGTTTCAGTCCATTTAACTTAAAAATTCGAAATACAGTACATATAAGCTATAAGAAAACTTATTCTTAATGCAGAATAAATTAGCAACAACAACAGCAGCAAAAAAAAACGAAAAAGTTTAAAAAAAACGAAAAAAAACAGAATTTCATCATTATAGATAAATAGATATATATATATATAAATTTATGTGAGTGAAACTTGGTATTTCGTAAATCTATTTTCTTACAACACAGATTCTGCCAGTGAAGATGATGAACTCGAAAGTTGAGACTGTGTTGATGATAAATCATTTGGTGCAAGTAATGTAGGAATATGTTTCATAGTAAAAAATAATAAACGTTTAGCACGATTTTGTGTTTCACTTAATGTAACTAATGTCCATATACTTCGATCAAGTATAACAGACCATGGTCGTTCAACATTTAAAATTTTATGAGGTTTTAAATATTCATTTCGTCTTATTTGCCATATACATGATGCATTATAATCAGCAATTAACCAACCACCAAAATGATCTGTACTTACTTTAAATCCAGTTACTTCAATTTGTCTTAATAAATTTAATTGATAATCAAATATAAGTAAAGCAACATCACATAAAACAGCTAAATGTTCAGTAAGATCATCAGCTTCAATATCCCATATTGTTGATGATTCAAGAATATGTTTACATATTGAAGTTAATGTATAATCATAACGTTCAAGTAAAAATTGAGGACGATCATTATAGGATGAACGAGTAAATGATGAACTCGATGAAGATGCAGAAATTTTGTATGTATGGAAGACAGATGATCGACATGACGTAATGCGTTTTGGCCAATCACCATTAATATCAATTGATTGCAAAACTTTGCTAAATGAACGATTGCAAATAATCTAATAAATAAATAAATAAATAAATTTCTCATTTTATTTATATAATAAATAAATTTACAATTTGTGCTTGTGTAGCCACTGCCCATGTATTTGTTGCTTTTGACCATGATATATCGACAATGCCATCATATGGCCATGGAAAAGATAACAGTGAACTATCAGGTTTATACATAATAAATTGTTTATTAAGTTGATGATAAAGACATAAATGATGATTTCCATTAATTTCAAGAAAACGCCAAAATTCATTACCCAAATCAATTGTACGTGCATAAGCAAAATCAAGATGTTCAAATAGCAAAACATATTCATTTCTTGATACTTGTTCATAAAGATCCATAACTGTATTATCTTTATCATCTTGTTTATGTTTATGAGATCCAGAATTATCTAATTAATTTAACAAATTAACAACAAAACAAAAGAGAATTAATTTTTAAAAATGAAAAAAAAATCATTTTTTTTACCTGAATCAGCAAACGAAACAAGATTAACACCAGGTGTATTAACAGTTGGTCTCCAACCATTTTCTAATAAGTTTGTCCAATGTTCTCTCTCAACTTCAAACCACGTTTCATTTGAATTATGATTTGTAGAATATAAATGTCTTCGTAATTGTAATTTTTTATCATGAACATCATCACTTGAACGACGAAATGATAAACGATGCGAACGATTTTTATGTGATTCGGATCGATGATGTGTTTGTTGTTTAGTTTTCGATGATGATGAACATCCATAAATTTGATTATCAACAGCACGTATTTGATTTGCTTCAAGTGTTCTTGAACGAAGTTTTCTATCACGCATTTTAACACTATTGGCTGCTTGATCATATAATTGAATTATATCTGGATTTGTTGATGGTGATGAAATTATTTTTTTATTTGAAATATTATTATTTGAATGGTGATATTCATCTTCTTTGGATTCTGATGGAGAACTAATATCATATTTTGTTCGCAAATTTTTTCGTATTTCTCTTAATCTTTGAAAACGTCTTATAGAATCATCAAATGATTCAAATGCAACTAATTTGTGACTTTTTTTGAATGGTATTTCATTATGAACATTTTCTTGTTCTTGTTCTTGTTGTTGTTCTTGTTGTTGTTGTTCTTGTTTTTGTTCTTGTTCTTGTTCATTAGTAATATTTGTTATTAATCGTGCATGTCGACGATTTGTATTATTTGTTTGATTAGTTCGTTTTTGTTGATATGTTGTACTTGTATTAGTTGTTGTTTGTTTAGATTTTGCATCATAAGAATATTCAGCATGATCAAGAGATTGTAAACGTGCTTGCTAAAAAGAAAAATTTACAATAATTTTGGTTTTTTTCTTTCAAATTCATAATCTACTTATGAGATTACTTAATACTTAACAAATTTTTCTTTAAGTTTTAATAGAATGAAATTTTAGGTTAAGTATGATAAATAGTTTTGTTTTTTTGTTTTTAGTCAGCTCAAACATTTAAGTACAAAACTGATTTTTAACTAAGAATATTAAGAAATTACTTAATTTATTTATAGAAAACTAATTGGGGAAATAATTTACATAGTTAGAAATCAAATCAAGGAGAAAATATATAATAATTGGATCAAATCAAGTCGTGAGATTAGGTGTAAAACTTTGTAAACATGCAAGTTCAAATATAAAAATGCACTCATATGAGATAAGATGTTGTCATTGTTGGATTACGTAAGTATTTTATTTCTTTTTTAAAGAAAAATTCAAAATGATTAGAGATTTTGTTATGATTATAACATTCTATGGCTGAAATATTAATGAAATGAAGAAAAAAAAAAGATTCTTTATTATTTGTTTACTTCTTCGGCTGATAATGATGATGATGAACATTGTGGACTTGTACAAATGTCTAATACACGTTTTAATTCTAAACCAAGATCATTAGTTGTTGATGATGTATCATAATTTTTATCTACAGCTGTTTTTGATGATGAATTATCTCCATAACGTGATGTTTCTGTTAATTTATCTTGTATATGATCATTTGATATAATTTCACCAATATTTTCATTTGTAATATTACCAGCTAAAATTATTTTTGATTGTTCCAATTCCTCTCGTATTGATCGTAAATTTGTTGATATGCGATCGATCTCACTTTTATTGAGATAATCCAATGGTTCACTTTGCCAACGTCGTTGTTGTTGAGCTTTTTTACGTTCAGTTTTTTCAACAAATAATTGTGTATCAAATTCAAGTCGTTCAAATTTATCTAATAAAGTTTTTTCTAATTCACGTTGTCGAGCTAAGAGACGTTTTATGGCTGCTTCTCGCCAATGTTCTAATTTTTTAATCGCGCGTGTACGTAATGTTGGTAAATCATTAAGCATTGATCGAAGCTTATGAACAAGTTCTTCATTAGCATATTGTTGACGAATAGCCATATTTTTTGATAATTCAAATAATCTTCTTAGATCAACAATAGAAATTGTCTATTATTTCATTTTCAGAAATAGATTATTCTAATAATAAAATTGATAATGACTAGAAAACAATACGAATAGATTTTTACAAGGTCACCTATGAAAATTAGGTACACAGTACGAAGGATAGATATTAAGTTCACAAATGTTTTTTTTTAATGTAAAAATCGATGAGCTAAACTAATACTATACTTACCACGAAGAAGAAGAAGAAACTATGTCAATAATGAAATTCGATCTCACTTTTGTTCTCAGATGTTTGCCGTCAGCTACAAAAGTAGTCAGTTTCTTTCTGTTTGTCTGTTTTATTTTATTTTATTTTTTTTTGAAAGAAAAAAAAAGGAGAGAGAGAGAGAAACAGGGAGAGACAGGGAGAGCGCAAGAAAACAAATCTCGTTTTCCCCTTCTTCTTTTTCTCAAGTGTGTAGGGTGTACTTTACGCTGCATCTCATAGTCGAAGAAGAACAACAACAAATACCACTACCAAGAGTGTTCGTCACTGTTGGCATTTTCTCCTCCATTTTTTTTTTTTGACGAGCTGGAGCGAGCACACTTCTTGACAAAAGCGAAACATGTATGAATAGCTACAAAAATAAATAAGAGTTTTTTTTTTGCTTGAATAGAAAGAGCATCTAGGGACTTCATCTTTTGCTTTTCTCTAAATGCAGATAAGACATACAGTCACATACTCAAGGTAAACTTCGTATGTGTTTATAACCTTTAGTAATACTTGAAAGTGAAAATTAGCATGACGAGTGATTTTTAATATATTATTCTTTACTTTTTTCTCCCTTGGTTCCATATGTATGTATTGAAAAGAGTCAGCAGTTGCTTTCGAAAGCACTCTCGTGTACACAACCTTACTTTTATACTATGGAGTTGAGAAAACAGAGCAACTTATTTTGAAAGCAAAAACAAGAATAAATGCGTCGTATTAAAAGAAAAGAAATATATATCATACCAAGGGTTGCTTACCGCAGCAACGGCAAACAGAACCGCAAGGTTAAAATCAACTTGATAATAATCACAAAAAAAAAAAAATTTTGGTTTTTCACAAATCTCACTTCAGACTTTAAAAATTCATAAAGAAATTATCAAAATGAAAAAACCTTCAGGATGATTAAACCATTTTCTTTTTGGTTTTTTTCTATTGGTTTGTAGATTGGTTTGTGGCTTTCTCGCTTTCGATGTTCGAATTGTGAAAGAACAACATCATACGATGTTTTATTTTACCTTTATATTTTTACCATTCGACAGCTAAAGAACCGAGTGCGTCATAAAAAAGATTGGACCTCAACACGATGCAATGCGTCTTTAGTAGTGTTTTAATTGCAAAAGAAAAAATAATATAACAGTTGACACATAAAATATAAATGTATTCCATATACATTTATGCAAAAAAATTTCGTTTTTTTTGCTTAAAGTTCGATTGCATTAGATTTTTCTTATTAATAATCAGATAAGCATAAAGACTAGAATAATAATGATAATGTGCCTATTTACAAAGATCAAGTGTCAACTTCGAATTGAAATTTAATGCTTAGATAGCTTTAAACAAATACAATTATTATTAAACCTGAAAAAGACAGAATCAATACACTCAAATATCCTTATTCTATTTCAATAATAGTCAAATATATTATGGCCACATATTGTGACAATAATATACAGCGTATAGCGCGTTAAAAAACCATGCATAACTCAATAGTATTATATCTATTTTTATTTTTTTTTAAACGTATGAGAGAAAAAAACACAAGAATACTAATAATAATTTTTTGTTGCTTAAAAAAGAAAAAACAAAACAAAAAAAAAATGCAACTCGTCAGTATCGCTAGACTATTTATATAAGTCACTAATCATGAAACAAGCATATAACACAAAAAAAAAAAAATTAAAAAATTGAGATTGGAAATATTGTTAAACTAAAATTTATTGTGATCTGTATCACATGTTGTCATGTAAATCTTCCCTGAGTAAATTATCTTTATAAACGAACATATCACAATAAAAAAAAAAGTCATGGAAATGAGATTGGAAACATAGTTAACTATAATTTACTATCTTCAATATCACGTTGGTGTAAATCTTTTTTCGATATATTTTCTTCCTTGTTTTCTGGTAATGTTGGATCTACAATAACTATAGTTTGAGGGTTGGTACTTCGAAAACTAAACATATAAATATATATTTCTGTAAAATTTTAATGTTTTATTTACCATATTAATCCCATTCGTTCAACGTCAGCAACAGTTTGTGGTAATGGTTTATTTAAGGTTTCCGGAAACATCAATGCTAATATTGCAGCTACAAGAGAAGCAATGCCATAGAGTAATACAGGTAAATGAATCCAGATACGTGTCTAGATGCATGGATAAAACAAAACCATATAAATCTAAGAAACCTAATGTATTTATAAAAACTTACTAAAGAATTATTACAATATGTACCAATAATGGCACCAATACGTGCAATCATAGAACAAATTCCCATGCCTGTATTTCTAACATCAGTTGGAAAAAGTTCGTTAGCATAAATATATATAATAGCATAAGATCCGGATGCAAGAAATTTTAATGTACCATTGATTATATTCAATAATGTAACTTGAGCTAAAAATAAATATTAAAAATAAAAATTTCTTTAACAATTTTGTTTGTATTAATATAACTACCAGTGCTATTTTGTGTCATAAATTTTTGTATAGGTAAAACAAGAAGTGCAACCAAAGCAAATAGAGTTGCGAATAAAACATAAGGTATTTTACGACCAGTACGATCGAGTATTAATTGAACGACTATATAAGCCAATAATTCAACTATGGCACTTAGACCAAATGATAAATATGGATTTAATTCCCATGCACCTATACGAATTAAAATGAAATTTATATTAAAATTCTATGGAAGTTTTTACCTGTATTTTGTGACACCCCATAAAATACAAGATTTTGAACAAGCCTCGAAAAAAAAACAAATAATCATAGAAATCTTGTTATTTTTCAAAGATATAATTACCATTGAATAAAAAGATTAACACTAATAACGGTCATAATTCTTGTTTTAAATAAACTTCTAATACCTGCTTGATGTTGCTTATGAGACATATTCTAATAACAAATAAGAAAATTTGTAGAAGAAACAAATTGAAATACAAGAAAACAAACTTTTTCTTGTTCTTCTTTCATTTGTTGAAAAGCATTTTGATCAAAATCTCGTTTATTTTGATTTGCAATATGACGTAAAACTTTTTCAGCATCATCAAAGCGTCCTTTACTAACAAGCCATCGGGGACTTTCAGGTAAAATACTAAAAAAAGTTGTCATTTTTTTTAAAAGTTTTTATTAAATATTATCCACTTACAAATAAAAGAACACAAATGGTACAGTATATAATGCAATAGTCCATGTTAATGCTCTCCATGATCGAATAAAATATGCAAAAAATAAGAGAAATAATTCACCAAATGCAAAAAAATATTCAATTACAATTCCAACTAATAAACGTTTACTTGGTCCAACTAGAAAGAAACATTTGTATGAATCAAATAGAATAACAATATAATTCCTACCTATTTCTGAACCAAGTACAAAACCAGATACAGATATTCCTCGTGTTGAACATGCAAGTAAAAAACGAGCTGCTGTAAATATAATATACGATGACCAAAATCCTAATACAGGTTGAGGACCAAATGCACATAAAAATCCTGAAAAGCTCATTAGAATAAAACTAACACTCATTATAGGACGACGACCATATCTATTCAATTGAAAAATTCATAGAAAATGTTGATACATCTGCAATCTTACTTGTCAGCTAACATGCCAAAAAATACAGAACCAACCATATAACCACCAAAATAAAATCCTTGTATTACTGAACGATAATCCACACGATCACAAACCATATACCACTAAAAGCATTGTTCAAAGAGAAAATATATTGTATAACTTTAAATTTTTTTAAATGATCTTTACTTCTTCAACTAATGTTTTATCATAATGTATTTTGTCAAAAACATATTTATTACATGATTTTAATTGTTTATCAGCTTGACTACTGTTTTCATGAAATTCTAATACTGATTGCATGTAACAACGTTGACATTCTGTCAGTGATATACCACGCTTTTGATTAAAACATTGGTCTTTTGTTGGTTTATATTTCGAACCAAATAATTTATTGAATGAAACATCGTAGCTATCATTTGACATTAATTCAGGATTTTGACATCGAACATTTGGTGTAGCTGCTGTAAATGTATAACTATATACCATTATTGGTGGTAACATATATGTCAAACAAATAATAGTATATTTTACTTTTTGAAATCTACCCCAATCGCCAACTGTTTCAAGAAAAGTATCGAATTTCATTTTTTTTTGCTGATCTACAAACAGAACAAAAATAAGTCTAATGCATATTTTAGACAATAAAAAAAAGTGGTTTGGAATGACTAGAATACATATGTTGACTAGTGCACACATAGACAAACAAAAATAAATAATTATTCATACAAAAAAGGCTTTGTACTATGAGAAAATTTTTAAAAAAGCAAAGGAAATTGTGAATGCAAAAAAATCTGATTAATCAAATGATACGTTAAAGTGATACAAAGGGATATGCTAACATATTTCACAGGAAAAAACACAACGACAAATAATGAATATTAATTAGACAGAAAAAAAATGAAATGTTAGTTAAGCGTATGGATCAAATATTATATTTTCTGATGATGTACTTGTCTCGCTCAAATCAAGTAAATCAGTAACTACTTCATTTTTCTTTTTATTCTGATTTAAACTCAGATTTTTGAGTGTTAATGATGGTTGAGAAGCAGTAGTAGTAGCAGCAACAAAAGGTGTCGGTGTTAATACTCGTGTAGGCATAAGTTGTGGTTGAGATTGATCAAAGAAATTATTGTTTGTATTTATTAAGGTTGAAGAAACCATGTTTACGGATAAATTTGTTTCTTGAGAAGGTTTCGAAATCATATCGAATGGATCAAGATGAAAAGTAGAACTTGTCGCTGATGGATAACGACCTAATAAAAGAAGATTATTATCTCCAATTCAAAAGTATAAGAAAATTAAACTCTAGAAGAAATAAAAAGGAGAAGGAGGGTGATAACTGTTGAAAATAACCTTCTCGAGAAGTTTTAGTTTTTGATGTAAAACTATCAGATAAAATGTCCGAAAATGTGAACTCCAGTAAAGTTAGTCATATAACACTTATTTATGGTATGAACATGTCCGTTGAAATAGTCAATGATAATCATACTGCAAGATGATATGAAAACATTGAGAAAAAAAAAGCACTGACCACACAAGGAAATTCCAAGAAGATTTTTCTCGACACATGATTTTACGATTTTTTTGCCTGATCTTCCGTAAATTTTGATTAAGAAAAACGATTTGGATAAAACTAATATAAGTTTCTGAAGCAGCATCCAAAATTGAATGGACTTAATTGTATTTCAAAAATTTTCGCAAATTTTTTTGTTGTTAAAAAATTCATTCGTGGTTCCCTTCAGTATTGGGTCAAGAACTGAATTTCATGAAAACTTTGTTGTTATTATTTATTCATCCGCTATTTGAAGTTCTAATATTGTTTATAATCTTAAAATTTGATTATCACTATAAAAATAGCTTGTTCATGAAATTCATTTTTGATGAAATCGTGAGGCGGACCATGAATAAATTTTTTGAACAAAACAAGATTGTGAAATTTTTGAAATACACATAAGTTCCCTCAATTTTGAATGATGATTTAGAATATCATATTTTTTTTTATCTAAATCGTATTTTTCTAATTGAAATCTACTAAATATCACGCATAGAAGTCATAAAAACGTATGCTGAGAATAATATCTTCTTGGGATTTCTCCGTATGACCAATGATTCTTCTTCGATGTTTTCATACTATTTTGAAGCGATCAAAAAGTACCATCGAATTATATAAAAATTAGTCTGGTTGGCGAAATGATTGGTTGACATTGACATAGACTTTTAGTAGGTAATACTGATACTAGAGGCATATAAGAGCAATGTGTTTCATATGAGTTCATATCGGAAAATATTTTCCTCGTCATACTTTTATATCACTTGCAGCTGTTAAAAAGCGTCGTCGAGCCATATGAATACTAGTTTGATTAATCTTCGTACTGATAGCTAAAAAGAGCTGACCATCCTCAATACCCATATATAGTATACGTAGACAGCATTCACTATTTCAATCGTCCGGGACACAGCACAAACAAGTGATATAGATTCAATTCTATCCCGGATCACTTTGGGACACCTTGAATGATAGTTGAACATGAGAGAAATCACATTTCTGTGGTGGAGCCAATTTCATCAGTTATCGATTCTTCTTCTTTACCTGTTTCAGAATTCGTTGATGTTGATGAACCATAAAGATTAAATGGATCAAATACATCATCATTGAACAATGACTAAAATATAAATGATGAGTGTTTTTTTTTCTTTCTTCTATTTGAGATTACTTACATTTGGTTTTTGATCATGTGGATTAGTATCAGTTGGAATATCGAAAGATGCAAATGAAATCAGTTCACCGACATTATATTCACGTTGACTTTCATCTATATCAGCGGCACCTGTTAATATTGTTTCTTCATCAGGAACTAGAACGAAATAGATTTCATTTAGAATTTTTTTTTCCATTTAAAACGGATCATTATTTTAGTGAAGAGGAAAAAACAATCCGCTTTATTATCATATGATTAATAAATATTTATAAATAAATGTATAATGAATAAAAAGTCATCTTGATTGCTCGAATAAAGTGAGGTATAAAAAAAGAAAGCGAATTTATTGCATCTAATCTATCTAATGTGTGTGTGTGAAAGGTTCAAGCTTTATTTAATGATTGATTGGATTTTGAGAGTTCATCACCGACACTGGTACGACTAGCTGCATCACTGTTTGTTGTCACCTGTTCATTATTATCACTATTTGAATTAGTAGATGTTTTAGGTTTTCCTTTAATAGATTTTCTATTAATTCTTTTCATTCTTTTGAAAGTCGACGTTGATTTGTTATCAATTTGTTCATTGTCCGCTGGTTTCATTGATGATAATGATGTTTTATCGAATTCAGCTGGTGCAATAGGAAGTTCAGGATCTAATGAAACAAATGCTATTTGTCTTGCAAGATCTTCCATCATATTCATGAAACTAACTGAAGGAAGTTTTTCTTTTTGTCTTTCACGTTTTTCATGTTTTAATGAATGTTTAATTTCTTCAGTATGAATTTGTCCATAATTAATTTCTATTCCTTGTTTTTTCATATGATATCTTTTATATTTTTTATAACGATCTCTAGGCCAATATACGATTCTTTCTTGAAAAAATAATTTTAATGGACCTTTATTATGTCCATGAATTCTTTTCTTGGGAATTTTTCTTTCAGCATGATATTCATCATAGGATGAACTTGATTCCGAATCTGATCCATAAGGAGCTTCGGAATCAGTTGATGTTGGTGCATCACTATCACTACTTGATGATGATCTTGAATATTCTTTTGTTTCATCATTACTTTTAGTTTCATCATCAGAATCGGAATCTCGAACAAATATATCACCATACAAACGACGACGTTGTTCAAATGTTCGTTCAGATTCTTTAATTAATTCTAATGTTTCAATATCATATTCATCTGTTTTGTTTTTATTATCTGTTTTTGATGTTGTTATTGGAATTTTTTCATCAGCAACTAGAAGGGCAGAATAAATTATAATAAATATAATTGTTTGTTGATTTGTTTATCTCATGTAGATATTAATATTAACCATTCCCACATTAGAAATAGATTAACTTTCTTTTTTTAATCTGATTCTCTCTTTCTGCCAAACAATCTAGACAAATCAAATTTGTACATTGATATGAGTCCATATTTTTTCTATATCGTTGATGGAGAAGACGTTTCCATTGACAATAATGTCATCATATCAAATGTAGTTCGTGCTAGAGAGGCTTTTTGTAACGCTAAAGGAAAAAATCTTTTTTTTCTTACCAACACCAGCTACTGTGACGTCTTGTGAAGTTGAAAGTGATTCACGCGATGGTTGTTGATAAGAACCAAGATCACTAGAAAGAAGAAATAAAAATACTTGTAATGAAAACGATAAAGAAAAATAAATTTACTAAGCAACAGATTTTGGATACATTGTTTCGTCAGCATTAGAAAAGAGAAGATTTAATTTTTGATTTAAAGCAAAATCTTCATTTATCGTTATAAAACGTTTATTGAAATTAAGACCATTTGCAAGCTAAAAAAATAGACCATGAGACAGTTATTCATGACAGAATGTACATGTTAAAAAAAAGTAAATAGAAATATATCAGAACGATTTGATCTGATATATTAAATATGTGATGTGACAAGATTTTTCACTTGATATTAACCAGACCTTTCGTCCTTCATATATTCATTTTTTTCTTGAATACTTTGGTTAATTGATGAACAGTATTATTCTCAACTGATTAGCTCGATCATTTTAAGCACTAGACGTTTCGTGCGAACAATATCGAGGTCAAACAAGTATAATGATAAACGACTGTGTAGAGAGATGCATAGTGATTTACAGAGGCAAAAAAAAAGCTCGTTTATCTCTCCGTATATGACCTCCGTTTTGCTCTGTTTCTCTTCATATATAATCATATTGTTTCGTATACGGTCACGAATATAAACGATTGTAATACTGAACCGTGTAATAAGGTAAAATGCGGAACGTATACGATGGTTCACAGGTGTATATGAACTCTGTATTCGTTGATCTGGACAGAATAAACGTATTTTACAACGGTATTCTCTTCATACGATCGTTCTATTTTCTATTGTCAGGGAATTTGACTGGAAGAATATTAAGAAAATTTTAGCAAGATTTTAATTTGAGATTTCACAATAAAATTGAAGAGAAAATTAAAAGAATTATTATTCAAGCATTATCTTGAGCTTTAAAAAAATCCTTGTGTGTATTCTTCTTTTTTTCTCATATAATAATGATCTTATTGTCTCACTAATGCCAAAATCAAATATTCTACTATCTCTGATATTGTTGAAACCATGAAATGGATGACATCATAAATCAATAAAGTACTCTATGATACAAAGACTTCAAATCGAACCATTCGTAAACTATAATTGTATTTAGCACATGAAGCATATCATAATTGTAGAGTTGTTATTATAATGATTATTATTATACGAAATCTTTTTCTGTAACATAGAAAGATTTCGGAAAAAATCAAATTACAAAATTCTATTAACAAATGTATCTTATCACCCACAGAAGATTTGGTAAATTTCAATAAAAATTTCATACTTTAATTTTTTCATATATATTTTGCTATCGACTAAAACTCTAGTAAACGAATAGTAATAATATGAAAAAAAATACTGATAGATAGAAAACTTGTCGAACTAATGAGTTCAATCTCCCAATGAATTCATCGTTTTCGAATCGAGACTATGTACGTTATGAAGGCCCTAATGAGCGATGAATACTCTGAAAAAGAGTTTGGACCCTTTGCTGCAGAGACACTGCATTTGTATGCTATTTTTTTAACTCGATACCGTGATCCTCATCGGGAACACCCGAAAAATTTATTTTCGACTTGAAACTTTTCATGGAGACAGTTTTTAACGGGAATAGTTTATTCCGAAAGTTTCAAGTCTTCAGATTTGCTCCTATCTTAAAATAAGAAAATGGATAATGCCAGTTAAGATGAGTGACGTAAAAGCATGTCTTTTATCATAGACGTATCGCAGTATAGAAACAACGAAAAATCTGAAACTTTCACAATGAATTATTCTTGTTCAGACCTATCTCGACATAAAGTATTAAGTCGAAGTTTGAAAATCAATTTTCTTGATGTTCTTGAAGGACACCATGGCATTCATTTCAAAAAATACACTATTTCGGCAGCAATCAGGTAAGCGTTCAAACTTTCTTCAGAATATTCACAGCTCGTTAGGATCCACATGATATACATAGTCTTGACTGCAAAGTAATGAATAAATTGTGGGATTTTTTTCCAAGATCAATATCATTATTCGTATCTCACTTTCAAAAAATTTTAATTCTATCGCTTAGAAATATCGTTCGAGTTTTGTTTTGCAAGTCATTAAAATGTATATAATGTCTCATTTCATATTACTTGATCTTGTGTTGGTTCCATAACTTTTCGTGCATATTCACCATTTTCAAAAAACATATTTAATGAAAGTTGTTTATCATTTGATGTAAAACTAAATAAATAAAAAAAAAAAGAATTTCTTAGCATTCATTAAAATTTTACTTACAATCGATCAACAACTATTATGTCAAATCCATATTTTTTCTTAACATACATATCAAATTCTTCAACTAATTGATTTTTATTTAAATTAACATCATTCTTCATATCAAAAATAATTTGTGCATTTGATGGTTTAAATTGTTCATAGATATTAATATATTTTTTATGCATTTTTGTTTCATCGCATATTTCAACATCAATATCAAACATTGCACTGACAGGACGATGATCTGATGTTTTAACTTCAGCACGGCCATAATATACTTGTCTTGTTTGAACATTGGGAAATATACTTCGCCAAAGTATACGATCAGTATATGATGGTGTGCGAGCTTTCTCACTTGTATCATATTCATCTGAACCAATATCATATTTATATGTTGGAGGAAATGTTATTATGCCTTCAGTGAATTCTCGAAAGACCTTTAAAACAAAGTTATCGTATCATTTATTTTATTTTATTTTGATCATAAAAAAGAAAGAAATAAAATTCAACATACTCGTCCTTCTGAATGTTCTTTTTTTAATTGATCATATTCAAGTAATTGTTTATAAGTTTCATTTTTTATAAATTGTTCAACTTGTACACGTGGAATTGTTAAACGATAATTAAAATCACCAAGAAAAAATATATGATCATGCCACAATGCTCGAGATGGTGGTTGAAATGAAAGTTTTTCCATAATAGATTTATAATCTTTATTACGTTCATTAAATTCGTTTTGTCCTGCAGTAAAATGAGCACATATAAAACAGATTGATGTATTATGTAAAACAAGACGAATAGCAACCTAAATTAAAATTACTATTCAATATTGAAATTAATATTATTCTTACACATCCTTTGTTCCCTATTTTCCCACCCATTCCCGTTTTAACAGAATCTACAACAACGTTTCTATAAAATATGATATAATTATCAAAAAAGTACGAAAATTTAGTTTTTCAATATACTTGACAAATGGTGCAAGATCACGTCGAATAAATATTGCTAAACATACACCAACAAGTTGATCATTACCCAATAGAATATATTCATCATTTGGATAGGATTTTTTAAAATGAACTTGAACATTATCAACCCAACGAGTTGCATTAACAGAACTAATTACATTAAAAAAAAGAAACATTTATTTTGTAATTATCGTCTTTCTGATAATATGAATCTTGATAAGTATCTATAACATATTTAACAACTCTCACATCACAGCGACCATTGGATACTCTAAACGTGACATTCTCAATAATTCAACGAAATTGAGGATATTAGGAAATTGAAAATAATTGTGATTATAACTTTAATCAATGTTTTAATGTTTACTTATGTTAGTTTTCCTCTTCTACAGAAAATATCTAAATCGGATTAGGTCATGAAGCATTTGTCGTAGTACTGAATATGAGCATAGGGTAGAACGGTTTTGTCATCACGACTTAATCTATAAGACAGAACAGGACGAAACTCAAATTTTTGTTCTATCTTGCCATTCAGTGGAACAACTAAAGACAAGACACGTCATACCAACTCATTCTATGGCTTTATCTGTTTACAATAAATCAAATGAGTCGATCCAATCCGAAATACATGAACTATTGATTAAAAGTTCAAAACTGATTTAATTACATTAATCGAATTATATATCTTCAACATTAAAACGGAAATAAGCATGAGTCAGGAGAATAGCAATGATGATTCGACGTATAGCGAGAAAGAAAAATACCAACTTGATTAATATTTGAATTTAGAAATTAACAGATCTAGCTAACCTTTGATCAACTAGTATTTTTATTTAAAAGAAAATCAACAAATAAAATTCAGATTCTCATCTTACATAACTCGATGAATTCATTAGATGCTAAATACTTCTATAATTGCTGAAAAAAATGCTAATTGTCTGGAATAGAACTATTGATACCAAAAGCATATTCATCGTAACCTAGAGCAGTTAGGTAAGAGGTTCTGTAGATATTGATGCTAGTTTCAAGCATCGTAAAATAAGCAGATTAGAGGATGACTCACAATCCGAAATCGTCTTTGTAGAATAGAAAAATAAACTTATAAGGAGCCATGTTGTCCTACATAATGCTCTATCCTATTTAATGTCGCACGACAAAATCGTAAATTGATTTTTGTCCAATGCTTATCTCTGAGAAAAAAAATTGCTTAAAATGTTTGTTTTATTTGTTCAATAAAATTGAAAACAGTTTATTTCATCAAATATTAAAATCTCATGCTGTTTACAAAATAATTGCTCACTTCACAAATAGAGAGGTTCAATTAAAAATAATAAGAGACTGCTCACGAAGGAGAAACCATAAGGCTTAAATATTTCGAAATTTAACGAATTCTCAGTGAAAAAACACTTTTATATTCTTCGACAAAATTCTCTACATTGTACGTTATATATTCTTCTATCTTAAAAAAGAAAGATGAGCAATTAAAAATGTTTCATAATAGTTCAACAACAACGAATATATGTCACAGGATGTACTTGAAACTTTCAAAAACATACAAAATGAGACTTATAACACCATTAAAAGAACTTTTTAATTTTTTTATGTCAGACAACTAAAACATTTCTATTTAAAATAAAAATAACTCTTATATTTCACGTACAGTGTGATCTTTCTATAGCAGATATCCTTCAGACTTTTCACAAATATTCACTATAGAACTATATGACAGTATCCACCATAGAGAGGTTCGATACTAGTGAAAACCAGTCCTCTGGACTGAGCAATATCAAAAATAGAAAGTTTTATTGTGTCACTCTAATTATATTATTTATAGATACCTTTGCCAAACCATATTTGTAGCTGTTAAATCACAAATTTCTTGAAAACCAATAGCTAATATATCTGGCATTGATTTTATATAATCATCACTAACAAATCCTAAAAGAAGACATTTAAAAATTTCTCTTTTGTTCATCATTGATGTATACCAATAGTTGGAACAGAATTTTTTTTTCGTGTTTTTGGAGAAATATTTTCTGGTCCATCCAATATCCAAGCATCAAGAATAGATGGATATTCGTCTTCTAAAGCTGGATTTCGATCACCATTGATATTCCACGTACCAATTGATATACGAATTTTTTCTTTTCTAACAAATTCTTGACGAATTTTAAACATTTCACTTAATATAATACCATCCGCTATGAAAAGGAAAATTCTTATTAAAAAAGAAAACAAAAATAAATAAATAAAAATTTACATATGACGTAAGGTGTTAAAAGAGCAGCAACAGAACGTTCATGTAAATATGAATCTTTAGCATAAGAATAAATTAATGTTTGCATTGATTGTTGTTTTTCATCGTCACGTAAACTATTTTGTATAGCTCGACCAAGACTTCGTTGAATATCTTTTGCCTAAATGAATATCACATTTTTTATTGATCAATTCAAAAAAATTAATAATTAATTTGATAGTGAAATCGAGATTTTTTTTTATAATAACGAAGGTTTCGTTTTAACTATCTCGTATACTAAAAATTCATGTTACTAGTACAAATAAATCTTCGATGAGAATTATAAAAATACAGTCAGGTTTTCTTTTCAATTTAATCATTTAACATTATGTGTCTACATCTTCATCATGTAAAAAAAATAAATCTTTTGAAAATTAAAATATGATTTACTTTATTCCTTTGTCCTATTGCTCCGGTACCCGTATATATTCTACTAATATGATCACCATTATTAATCCACATATCTCTTAAATGATCAATCAAATTATTAACATTCGCGTGTTTTTTTAAACTAGCTAGTTGCATTGTTAAAACAACCATGCCAAGAGTTAATTGTACATTGTTTGTCCTATCAAGACAATCAATACAATTAATACGAAAAACACCTTGTTGTAAACTCGAAGTTGTTTCATCCATATAAGTAAATATACTTTGACGTTCAAGTTCTTGTCCAATTGCATATTGTTTATTTTGTATAAGCATCTTATCAACAAATTGTTCTGGCGTTAAACCTTTTGTAGCACGTGCTTGTTCATGATAATCAAACCAAATAAAATCTCTTTCAGTTAAATAACCAAGTAATGGTTTTTCTTTTTTTTGTTTTGACCGATATGTTTTAACAAGTAATTCAAATAAATTTTGATATTCTTCACCAACATGTTTTTCATCTTCACGTTCATCAACTAAATTTATAATTAATACACGACCATAATGACGATAAAGATATTTAAAATGTCTATGAAATTAAATGATTGTTTTCTTTATTTTGTCAAATTTATTTATTAAACTTACTCGAAAAATGCTTTAAAACTCAATGCTTCACTACGTGATACTGTAATACGATGAGCGCCTACCTATATAGAAACAAAAACAAAAAAAATTAAATATCGAAAATTTTTCAAATATCTATTACTTGAAAACGTGGTTGATGCCAAAACAATGGAATTGAACCACGTATAATAACAAATGATGAATAATGATTTTGTCGAGGAAGAAAAACAACCTTTAAAAATATATATAGAGAGAGAAAGTCAATGTTTTGACACAACTATATTATCTTATTTAATATAGTTAGAAAAAAGCATTATGTAAAATAGACATGCTTTGTTAATGAATTATATCTAAACTAACAGTAAGTGTAACACAATTATAAACTGCTTCAAAAGGAAAGAAATTCAATTAATGGTCAAAGAAAATCTTACTCTTCAATTTCCTAAACATGCAAGTTAAAGAATAAAAAAAAAAAGAAAAAAAGCGTTTCAATATAGTCATCAATTGCTATAATACATCATTCAAGTATTTATTTGATAACATTCTTCGAGTTGAAGCTTGTATTTACATACTTCATCCAAAGTGTTGAGTTAAGATTCGACAAACTCAAAAAAAATTATATAAATTTTACCCAAGGTCTTGACATAATAGAAGAATCAATGTTCTTGTTTCTTATAATTCTATCTATTGTGATACAAAAAGTTCATTTCGATTAACATACTTTGTCAAACTAATTAATAAGCTCATTTATTCTAACAATGTAGATATGAATTTCATTGTATTAGTCTAATGATGATTAGTGTATCGTTTCTCAATATTGATTTTGTATCTCACTTGTTCTGTTTCAACAAAATTTGCCACAGCTCCATCATCATTAACACCACGAACATTAAACCGCGTACCAGCTCGCTCACAACTTAATCTAAATTAATAAATAAATAAATTATCTAATTGCGAAATGAATATTTCATTTACCTTGATATTAACCATAATTCAATATCTTCATTTGGATATCTATATGTTTCAATTCCACCACACATTATTTTTGGTATCCAATAACGAATATCAATATTAAACTTAAGTAAAGGTAAACATAAACCACGATTCCTAAGAAAGAAAAAAAAACGAACTTTTTCTATTGGGTATCTTTCGTAAAGGAGAGGAGTGCATAAGAGGTCAAATTTGATCTATTAGTACTTTTCTTGGCCAACTCCATGGAATCATATATCAACGGAAAGAATATGTTGAAAGTAACATTTTCGTGCTAGTTTCATTAGGTGCTGATCAAATGTTGGGAACATTTTCATTTTAATTACCGAGCTGCAACTGTCACACAGTGTTGTGTGTGTAAAACATAGTAGTCAATGTGAAAATGTCATTACTGTAAAATGAATCAAACTTTAGAATCTAAAATCGATCAATAAAGTAATATATTTCTGGCTATTATTTTAATAATTTATCCTATGAAGATGGACTCAATTTGAGAATAAGGAAACAAAACAAAATACTACCGAAATTATGAACTTCATAGCTGTTTGATGGAAATTTCATACCATATACAAAGTCATCAATTTATTGTTTAAATAAACGAAATAGAAAATAACATTACAGAAGTTTTTTGAATTGTGCATAGGTTAACTCAGTTTTTTTTATGATCTTTCCGAATAGCATATTAGTTCTTATTCAAATTGAAATTTTCCTGATCGAAAAGACAAAATTGTACCTGAAGAATAGTGTGTTAAAGAGTTTTTAAGTATCCAAATATTTTTTTGTTTGGAAAATAAATGATTTTGTAACCTTTCAAAAGGACTATCAAATAATCAATACAAGAATTTCGGTCATTGTCTTTATTAAATTAAAAAATACATTGAAAGGCAAGAGTGGAAGATACAAACGATAAACATGATATAAATCTCGTTAATTTAAACAATCAATTGGTCATTTTATATATGGAATTGAACATCTCATCAAAGAGCTATGAAATTCATATCTTCAGTAGTATCTTGTCTCATTTGCTTATTCTCAAATTGAACTCATCATGATATGATAAATTATGAGAATAATGGCGAAAAATATGTTACTTTGTTCATAGATTTTAGGTTTCGAAATTAGATCAAAACCTCATAAAACTAGTGTCAGAAGATTAATTTAAGCATATTCTTTCTGTTGATATAATGATTCAATGAAATTGGTCAAAAAAAAGTACTAGTAGAGTGATACGACCTCTTATCCTCTTCCCTCCTCTATTCAAATAAAAACAAACCAAAAAAATCGAATATCTGAATCCTGCCCTTGAACCATTCTTTGAGCACATAATGTTATATCATATGGCTTATTAAAATAACGTTTATTATTATTCAATTCTGGATTGAAAAATGTTGCATAATAAAAACAACGTCCTTGAAATAATTTTCTGAATATTCAAAAACAGAATNAGTTTTTCTCATGTTCCTGAGGGGGACCACGGTAGTGAGTTATTCCAATACCTTAAAAACGTAATATCTCAACAACAGCAGGCTATGGGTACAAACCCTTTTAGGGCTCTTACCTACGCTATGAGTCCTACCTACAGGAAAAATATGAGCCCAAACCGAGAGTATCACTTGGGGAGGTTCCCTCGTAAGTGAAATATACATACCTTTGAAATATATTATTCAAAGAGAAAACTTTGTAATTTTTATTAGTATTTTTGTGGGTGAATGCTGCGCCTTTGATGCATCCAAATTCGTCTTTAATGACTATTGATCAAAATGAGTCAAAAGCTGTTACTGATATAAGATGGAATGATCTATGGAGACCTACAACTGCTATTGTAATCCATCATTACAGTTATACAAGAGTGTATGTTGGTGTTGGCTGTAGCTGTGGGAGTTTGATTGGACTTATAATTTTGTATTACATTTGCAAAAAAAACGTAACAGAATGACAAATACTAAAATCTATCTGTACTACTTTTTATAGAGACATGTTGTTTGCATTTTTAATCTAGAATAAAATAAGTATTTTACGACCATAATTTATCATCGATATGGTTTAATAGACATATCCTTTGACGGACACTGATGGCAATAGAGCATGGCAAGTGACGTAGAATAACAAAAACGAGAATAGAAATATGCTTCTATTTATTATACGAATATATAAGAAGATTTTTAATGAAACTAAATAATATGCTATAATACTTTTTTTCAAAAACAATTTATTGTTTTCAAAGTACGCTGATTAATAGGACATAGCATGCATTCCTATTATTCAATCTGTATGTTTGTAAAAATAGAGCAGAACTTTTTGGATTCCAAAAGGGAAGAATGTCACAATATAAATGCATGCAAACCAATTCGTAAAAAAAGCAGAGTTAAATTATTTGAATCGATGTATGTGTCGATACAACTCTTTAGTAGCTAGTCAATACGATACATGCTGTAAGAGACATTAGCCCCTACATTCGCATGTATATAAATATCGAAAACAGTAAAGAGTGAGCAGCCATGACGAGTCTTTCAGTTTTGAACCCATTCTTGCTTGATTGTTGTTGGCTTACGCAGCGCACGTAAAACGACGAGAAACTGATGACGAGCTAATCGATAGAGCATTTCTACCACTTCCATCAAGGAAAGAAAACTAATACCAATCCAAAGACCTGTTTGACCACCAACATTAGAGAGAAGATCGACTGCACTAGTCGTGGCGACTTGTTCATAACGTTCGTTCGGCGTTGATTCGCGGACCAATTCGATAGCGAGAAAATTCGCTCGAACATGTTGACGCCATTCAGTTGACCAATTTACTGCCAATGGGATCGACGAATTTTCGACGAATATTTTGATATCATTCAGAAGCCAATCAGGGGGTGTTGTCGATGATGATGTTCGAATAACGAAATTCGTCATGGAACATTTATAGGGACAACTCAAACAGTATTGGTTTAGCAGAGTATCCGAAGCTAGAAGTTCATCGGCTGCTTTTGAATAACATGGTTCTGTATCATTACAAAGCGGCGCAATGATGATTGTATCCGTTTCAGGTAAGATGATAGCACGCGCATCCCACAGTGTCGGATCAACACAACCACATTTGATATAACTATCAGAGAATCAAAATTGAACCTTTTTGTCGAAAAAAGCTTTCGCAGTGTAAGTATTCCCTTTTAATTTGGGTTCATAACTGAGAGATTTCTATTGATTTCACAAGAAATGAAATCTTGGCCACCATTTTCTCGTATATTACAAATATTTCTAGAGTGCAAATCGACTTTTTCAATCAATTTAATTTCTAGATTGAACTTTCTGACTATCGATTTCTTCGTCATACCGGTATATTTGAGTACATATAATGTAGCAAAGTGTTTCCGAATAGGCATAATCAGCTCCACTGTAATAGTCAAACATGGCTTGCATGGAACGGGAAACTTGGTCAGTACATGTTGAATAAGGTGATGGTAAATAAGAAATGTATTTTTGCATATAACTCAATCGATGATTGAAACCCGTTGCTAATTCTATACCATCCATATAAACAATTGGAACTTGTGTATTGTCGTGAACAACACCTATCATTCCAATGCCTACAACCCAACCGATAGATAATAAATGATTTTCATTGATTGAACAAAAAATCATAGACATGTTTCAGTGTGTTTTCGAAACCACCATGGCTGAGCGACTACGTTTTTCGACATGTATTCATAGAGTACTGTGTGTATATCTCGGTGTTACCCAACGTAGAATGACTCTGGACAAGGTGCTAACGACTATTTGCCTCCGATTATTCATCCAATTGCATTCTGACTACGTTGTTACATAGGCCTGCTCTTGTGGCTAGTATGTGGTTAGTTAGTGTATATGCGGATCTCAAGAAATTGAGCGAAAGAACTCCGTATCATTCTAGTCTTCTATTCAGACCTACAGTTAGTCAAAGTCGTATGGAAAATATTGGACGATTGAAGCTGGCGGTAGGCAACACCTCACACTACAATATAACTGAAAGGCTGAGGCACTTAACTTTTTCCCTCCGATGTGTCTTAATTTGAATACAATTAGGAAGTGGACTTTTGTGTCTTATCAATTACTTACTCGAGGAAAAATAAGGGACATATTGATGACTGTGCACATAGAGGCCCATAGTAAGACTTCCTGATCCACCATTTTCATGCGCATAACGAATCGTATCCTGGCTAGTATTTTTCATTTTAGCATTAAATGTATAGCAAGATCCATACTTCGATGTTGTAAAGGCAATGAAATCCTTGGCTAAACATGGAACTCCATTGTATTGACAAAAAACAAGCATCGATTCGAGTGAATAGAAATACTGAGAGATTTCTTCGTTACGATCAAGTTTGTGCCGAAAAAATTCCAATACATATGATATTTGAACATTCGAAAATGAACTTGCATCGCTAGTGTTTGTCATATTGATACTATTGGTATAGTTCAAAAATAGTTTGATAAATTGATCGAAACATATCGGTGAAAGATTACATATGGTAAAAGCAGGAAATGCTTGTGGCCATTCCGTCGCAACATTCACGGTAGTCTGAGTGGGATATTGGAAAAATGCTCTGATTGATTCAGTGACAAAAAGCAACATAATACCGGTAAAAGTCAAAAAAACGATAGTCCAGAAAATTCGATTATGTATACTTCGACTGCGAGCGATGCCCGGAATACCATGTGTCGATGTGTTCAAGCTGAATTCTCGAATAATCGAACTTCGTCGTAGTACCGGATTTTCACTATGTACCTTGTTTACGTTCACCGAGGCCATCGTAATTGTCTGAAGTAATCAAAAATGATAAATCAAGCTGGCTCCACTATTCGAAGTGCAGCTTAGTCAACTCTTGGTGTATCGAATGATTATGAAAAATTTCCAGATTATAAATAACTCTTCCGCCAATGGAATGAACTTCAATGCCAAACTTTTTTTTTCCCTTAATCATCACGTCTTTGTTTTTCTTTCATTGGATCTCATTTTCAATTTTATAATAAGGCATTTTCTTGCTCATTAAACAACTTCATCGACTGGCTCATTTCTCTTCAATGTTGAGAAAAAAAAGTTCTATTTATTTTTTGTATGAGAGTCAATCATTAAGACATTTAACTGTTGATATTGTACTTTTTTTGAGAAAAAGAAAAAAAAACGTTTCTTGACACAAACGTTTGCAGAAATATAAACACGCTATTAAAGGCTAAATAAAAAAAATATAGACAAACACGAGTGCTTGATGAAATAAAAGACAATCTTGAAGTAAGTCTATTATCGATCTTTAGACTTTAGAAAATGTAGCAATTAAAGTCAATACTACTTCCAAGCGATATTCTTTTTACTTCTTGCAAACGACCCACACTCTCACACGGTGGTCTCACACTACGGTGTCTGAAAGTTAAAGAAGAACCACAATGGCTTTTGAAACATGATACGGTATAGGAAATCAATGACACGATTGAAGCCTATCCTGCAACATTGAAAAACTAGGAAGAAAATGCAGTGAATGCTTTTTAGAAAACAATGATGAGAGACTCTTTCATATAACATCGACACATAGCTCGTTCTCTGCACCAGACCCAGAATATTGTTGCCAAAATGAAATTGTGTATGTGTGTGTGATGGTGGTTCGAAAGGATTGTCTAATAAAAAAAAAATTTCATAATCTTGACACGTCACTTCAAGGCATTTTCTTGTGAACAGACGACAAAAATAAATGGATGCCTGCTGTATCACATTGCCATTGCCAGTGGTGCACGACAATATATACCACTGAGTCTAACCTGGCAAGGAGTCGGTAGCATTTTTGAAACTGGGCTTGTTAAAGAGTTCGACAGATGGCAAAGAAACATCCACTACAGACACTCTATCCAAGTAATGATAATTACTATTTCCGTTTTCGAATTCAAATTGAAGCAATAAATCCCTATAGTTCACTGTATTTGTAATTGTCGATTGAGTCCAAGAACTCGGTATAGCTCCAAACTGTTGTAGCAACGCTCCATAACCAACACCATAACTACTACGTCGACGAACTATAAATCAACGTACAATCAATCATTTTTGAATGAACGTTGAAATTCAACACTCACTCGTCGATGTTCTGGTCGTGACCGTTATCGTTTGTGCTAAAAGAGATGTTCATCATACTATCTTGATTTCGATTGAAAGGAAGAGAAAAGAGTTTAGCACACAGTGAGATACATCAACCTTGGGGTTACTATGAAAGAAACATACTTGTGATAGTGGTCTACACGGTTGATGTGGTATCTACAAACGTTATATATTAATCAGTCGAAGAATATCTACAAATCATAGAAAGGTACTACGCATTTCTGCGATGTATCTGCCGAGTTTCGTTTGAGTTCAACATACTTCATTGAGTTGTTGATAAGTCTTGAAGGTCATCTAGTCTACAAGAATCCAACAAAACAGGGGAAGAATTGATAGAACTAAATCTCTCCTACAAACACAATACAGTGTTAATGGCGTAAAAAAAGTGTAAAATGCGAATAGATCGAAGCAAAATTCCAGTTGGTTATCTAGATATAATAGTTAGCTTTTAGTTTTATGGTGGAGTCAAGCCAATATCTACATTGTCTATTGGATCGCGAGACTCTATACGGTATACAATGAGTGAGTTAATTTGATGGCTTCGTTTAGGTGTATTTCTCAAGACCTACTCTAGCGTTAATCTTTCGCTATAAAAAATTAAGACATCTATGAATGCCCATATATATACATGACGTCTTTGTATTCAGAAGCAAGCAAATGGTCAGTTGAATAGAAAAGTGCAGCTCAAAAGCGGTATGTGCCTCTCCTGGACCAAGTGTTTCCAGCGTACTAAAAGACACATACGAGAATTGCTATCGGACAATATTCGTGCAACCTTCGTCGTACGATCTATCGTGCTGTAGAAGCTACATGGTTTGCGTTAGTTATTATGGGATTCCACGGTTGTTAAAGATGTCATTTGAGAAATGGTTATGGGCAAAGTCGTGATCACGGTCGTGATTATGACTCTACTTAGTTTACAGCCAATCGCGATGAATCGACTGTTTCTTTGAGATAAGTCTATGTTCCGCCAAAGTTCTCTGTGTAGGTGTTAGTTTTTTTCATTTCCAAATTAGTCAAGCAAGCAAGAACACATTCAAATAGAAAATATTTAAACAAACAGTACTTATTTGCGAATTATTATTGAACAGTAACTTTTTCAAGTCACACTCATCCGTTTTCTTGGTAAAATTATCAAGCAATCTATTCAGCTTGTTCCCAAATTGTTTGTGTCGATCGGTGATAGTGTTCTTAAAGGGGGAAAATAACTACTCCATGGCATTGTTTTGAGTAATACCGCAAAAAATACGTCAAGTAATTGATCTGATTGTTGAAAACGGTTTATGAATCTGTAGCTAGTATTTGATCGTGTAAGCCTGTTGGACTGGTAAATAGCAGGATAATATCTACATTTTTTCAATGAAGCTACAAACTGCGTTTATCTCTGACGCCTAGAAGACAGAGCGAAGGCAGAAGCTCAAATAAGTATGCGATAGACAGTGATTGATAGCGTTTCAAGAGTACAGTGAAGTACATTATATATTTTTATGCAACTGACTTCTACTTTCAAGTGATTACTCCTATCCATAACTAGTTACAATAGAGGATAGAGCACATATACCATAACACTGTAATCGATTGATATAACAAAGCATTCCGAATCATTAGTAAAATTCTCAGTAGCATTCCATAAGTCTTGGAACGTCATATTCCGCATGTTGCCTGTTTATTAAACGGACGCATGTACTAATTATTGTTATTTTTTCACATTGATGAAATGTTCATTGACATCGCGTTGCCATGCATCGAGAAAGTTTTTCAATATATTCTTTTCAAATTTGAACGCTACTTCTGCTCCTTCACAATCTCTCATGATCCACTGAGTGCCATCGTAGATTGGATTGAGACGAAATACGCGTAAAAATAAATCAGAGGTTCCGTCAGTATAGAAGCGACATTTATCAGAATAACCAAAATCGACGAGACCAGCCCAATCGTAGCGGAAATTTGAATTCACTACGATTCCATTCTCAAAATGATCTGTATTAGCTTCATGCTCATTGTGTGCCATGTCTCTCATAAGTTCATCTGCAGTGGCGAGCCATGATTCGAGAAATTTTCTATCTCGTGATTTAAGAATCGAACGTCGGATTGACTGAGCAATATTCAGCAAAGAGTAAGGATTGTCAAAATTTTCAGACAACACTCGCAATGTACAATTGGCGACTAAACCAGGTACAGTAATGGAATTGGATACACCACGATAATTGACAATGATATTAGTGTGCCGAATGATGGTTTCATCTTTTTGAAAACATGAAACATTTAATGTGAGAATAATGTAGGCAATCATGATGTCGTGAATAGTTAAAGTACTGTCATCGACTAATGTACGCAATCTGGCGAGCTGCTCACCAGAAAAATGTACATTCACTTGAACATGCGTCTCTTGTTCGGTCCTCATTTTTTCCTGAATTTGCTCAATCGATAGAGCATCACATAAATGTCGCATGGTAGGCAACAATGATCGATCAACTTCGTTTTTTGACCACAGACGACGTTCAAAGCTGGGTAACAGTATCGGGATTTCCATTTGTTGGTAGAACCGTGAAAACGTATGAAGAAAATTCAGGCAAGCACAGGCATCTCCAAGCACATGTGCCCAACTTGTGCCGAGCACCCATTCACCACTTTGTACAAGACGAGTGATTTTCAAACGGAAAAGTGGTTCATCTGGAGAACCGTGCCATAGTTTCGTAGTTTGTACTTCGTCGAGAAATGGTTGCAGTTGACCTTCAACAGTGTCCCATACTACATTAGAGTTAAGAGGCCATTGTCTTAATTCTGTATTGTCGAGAATTGTAACAGGTACGGCTTTGTCAGACATTTCAATGACGTAATGCTCCCCATCGAGTAGTAGTAAACGACCACAGACTAAAGGCCATAATGTCAGAATATGGCCGAGTGCATCATTCAAACGATTGAGATCTAAATTACTTGGATACACAAAGACATTATCAATACGTGGAGTAATCCATAGGTCAGTTCCAGCCAACTCGATTCGACGATTGGCACCAGTGAATGAAGATGGAAAAATTTCCATTTTCACATTCATGACTGTTATTTATCGTGTATAAATTTTTCTCACCTACGTAGAAAGATTCCACTGTTTCGATCACGTGCAATGCTTTATTATTTTTTTGTCCTAGATAAAAATACTGACGGAGACTACAGAATAAAAGAGAAAAAGTGACTGGTCTGAATGATATCGAACAAATAAGTAGTATATTGTGCAAAGCACATTTTTCACATTGGCTACTATAGATGGCAACAGCTTATGAATCAACAGGATGAATATATTTTGAGACAGAACGAACTGTGGCTACTCATGAGACAATTGTCGTTTTTCGATGAATCCGTAATAGTAAACCCTATAATGGCTCATCTATATATCTGTGTATTTTTAAAATAACCAATTGCGTGCTCCATCAAAACAATTGTGAAAAGAGTAATTTCAGTATCATAAAATTTCTTGGGACATGATCCCGTCAATTATATGAATCAGAAACTTTCTGAAATTTGATTATTCACTGGATCCAATTGATTTTCTACGGTAATCAGCATGCGGCTTGAGAAAATCTGAAGAGACTAATATCGCAAAAGATTCGTTAGTTCATTTTAAAAATAAGTACACACTAAAAGGAGAGCGTACCACTAAGGATGAAGTCGCGAGGATACAGAGTTTATGCGATTTTATGTTGTGATATGTTTGTCTTACTCCAAAATAGCTAACGAGAGAAAATTCCACAAGTAAGGATCTCAGTTTTGAATGGAATATATACCAGTTTGTAAAGTACGACGAGTCTATTCTCGTGATATGTTTCGTTTTTCTCCCATAGAAGTTCAAATGAGAAAAACAAATCGGTTTTAGTAGTGAATTTCTTCACTTTGAATAAGTTTTGTGACAGCTGTTAGATATTTGAGACTTCAAGTGTATTTAAAATTTAAAGGAACATGTTAAAATAGACAATGACACTTCCAATAGTCTATTTTTATATTACTTTAAGCGCAAGTTGAGTTTCAACTTCTGGATGCATAACAAAGTTTTCCCTTCAAGACTGCTAAAATGTCTCGCAGTGTAATAATTATACAATTAATATTCATAGTAATGGTAGAATTGAGTTTTGCTAGAAAATATTGTTCTTCTGTTCTTTCAAAATGATATAAAAGCAGACTATCGCATGCGCCATTGCCTATGTTTTAATATGACCCTTTAAATTTTAAGTATCCTTGCAGTACCAAATTTCTAACAATTATCCGAAAACTAATTCAAAGTGAAGAAATTCATTACTAAAATCGAGTTGTGTTTCTCATTTGAAGTACTATGAGGACAAACCAAACATACAACGAGAATCAGCTCGTCAAACTCTACAAACTGACATATATTCCATTCAAAACTTAGACTCACACTTGAGGACCTTCGCTTGTTAGTCAGCAAACACTTGAAGAAATACTCGTAAACATTATTCTGCTTTTGGCTTCATCTAATCGTTTCATATCCGCATGGCGTACGAGTTGGTTGCGCAACTAAATGGCATATGATAATGAATTCGACTTGTTTCAGACACTTTAAATCGAGACCAATGATACGTGTACTCTTTCTCTCCAATATCGACACTTTTTTAGTGCATCATCCAGCAATCTACATATTTTTCTGAATAAATGCAAGTAGACTACAACATGTTGAGAAAATGAAGAAAAAGAAGACGAAGAAGAATACCCTTACCTTTCTGCTACCATTCGGTATAGGATGCTGTCCAAGGACACTTTCGAAAGCTCGATGTTTTCCTACAACTATTACTAGCTACAGCTCTGAACAGAAGACCAGCCTGACTCAGAGTTCTTCCCGCTTAATCACTTAAGCTTCCCATGCATACTGAGTAACCACATACTAGCCACAAGGGCTTTTTGTGTATGTCACACGTACAGTAGTTAATTTATTTGTAATGGTCTGTAATGAGGGGTGGGGTAACGGTTGCCATGGAAACATATCCAATAATGCATGGCTTCGCGCCATATGGTTGCTAACGAGCCATAGCAAAGCAGTCAGTTCTTACTGTCCTCCGTTGCTAGGGAAATGCACCCAATGACATTTGACTCCGGTTGCTATGGTCTGTAATGGAGGGGGCCTAGGTGGGGGGTGGAGGGTGAGGAGTTGCAAAACCTCGATTTAAAACTTACACTCACTATTTTCTTCGAAAATATACGTGAGTTCCACAAAAGAAAGAGAAAAAAGCTTCTGACTATTACAAGGCGAGAGAAACGATTAGAGACACTAATAAAGACATGTTATGCCAAGGGGGAAATGGCGGATTTTCGGGATTTTGAATCCCAATAAAAATCCAAAAATCCCATGATAATCCCAAAAATCCAATATAATCCCAAAAATCTCATGTGAATTCCAGAATTAGGATTAAAATTATTAGGATTTTATGATTATTTTAAAGGGCAACTATACACGAGTAAGTGTAATCCCGTGACTATCCGACTTTTTCTTATAAAAATGGTGCGCATTCAATCTCTTCGTGTTTTAAAATTTATAGTTCCATAAAGATACTGTAGTGAANCTTATAAATGAAAGAATTTCGAGCTAAAGTTTCCAGCATATGTAGAGCTTTTGATCCTTAAAATATCCTGAAAGTTTCAATGCAAACGGATGTTTCCTTCTCAAGATAATCAACGTCCAATAAAAGTGGATTTTCTGACCAAGATGTGAAATATGAGTATTTCTTGCGATCGCATTATCTCCAGAAGATAACATCCGTTGGCGCTGAAACTTCTAGAATATTTTAAGAACCACGAAGCCTACATATGGACAAAGTTTCAGCTCGAAATTTCTGTATCTTCAACAGGATATTGGTGTTGGATTTTGGGATTATCAAAATCCAAAAAATCCAAAAAATTACAAAAAATCCCAAAAAATCCAAAAAATCCCAAAAATCCAAAATCCGCCGTTTCCCCCTTGTGTTATGCACAAAGTGTTACAAATAACATAATTTACTATTGTTAGCGATAATATAAAATAGACGACAATATACGTCAGAATTGAAAATTGAATTGGAAAATTCGAGTAGATGTTCCTCTATTACAATGTTGTTTCTTGATAATCTATTTCTGTAATTCATTCGCTAGTACGTAATGTCTTAGACCATCAGAAATGCATATCTGCTACTTCTGAGGTATCTGTAATATTTTTTCAAAGAGATGCAGTTTGATTATGAAGAGCTAATAATAAACGGAGTCCTTGCATCGGTAGCATTTACATTGATATAAAAAATAAAATGGACTAAAATAAGTGCCCTTATTGTATAAATGAACGAAAAACTGAGTGAAAATTATATATTTATATATATATATATATATGTACAGAGAGAGAGAAAGCGAAGAAAAAAGAGAGATTTTAGTTTTACAATTCCAATAAGAATCTTTCTATCGTTCTATTTGAACGAAAAAAGACTCTTGACTGAATTTCAAGATCAAAAAGAATCTTGACAGATTTATGAGCAAAAAAGAATCTGGAAAGAATTGGGACAAAAATGTCGATTTGTGATCATATCGGATGGCAAGACGTTCCAAGAATCTTATAGTATAATCTTCCGTATGATTGCAGTAACGACATTCGATTGTCAGTAAGATCTTATACGATCTTCATAGGTTTTTTTTAATTTTTTGCTGTCAGAAAAAAAAAGATTATTCGAATCACTTTTATGAAGATGGTTCTTTCGCCGTTGTTTTTGTAAATATCACGATTCATTCTAATTCATCGTCAATATTTTAATTAACATCAAAACTGATTCGAGTTTGATAACATGGCTATTTAGTCACGATTAGATAACACGTGGTATTGTTTTCTTTCTCAATTTTACCTGTTCGTTCTCTTTTGATTTCTGAATAATGAGCTATGATGTTTATTTTGGCCAGTTTCTTGGTTTTTTCCAAGCAATGTGAATAAATTATACTTATCTGACACATTGTCTAATGATGACTCAAAATTTGAATGGAGCATGATTTATTTCAATCAACTTGGAAATAATTGCGCATCAATATAAATATTTTTTTCCAATTTGACTCATACTCCGTTTCAGTATATAAGAAAGAAGCAAAATTCGACTCTTTTAATAAAAATAGTTAGAGAAAAATGGTTTCTACATTGACTGTCAATAAAGAGGAAGGATACATTGATCAAGATCGCATTGTCAACGACGACTTTCTTTTACCTGGAGAATATTTTTGCCCTTTATGTGGATATCTGTTATGGAAGCCGTGTTCATGTTTTTCCTGTCAGAATTTATTTTGTCGTAAGTGTATTCGAACATGGCTCAAAGAAAATCCAACTAGTTGCCCATTTCGATGTGCTTCATTCGAAGAAAAACGAGCTCCACCTCACATTCAATCAATCTTGGGTCGTTTACGTATTCGTTGTCGTAATAATTTATTCGGTTGTAAAGAAATTATAGCGTATGATTTACTAGAACAGCATGAACAAGTCCATTGTCAATTTCGAACGAAACGATGTGACTTGTGCGAACAACTAGTGCTTCTAGATCAGTTCGATAAGCATTCATCGTTGTGCAAACCTACGATTGTTCAATGTAAATTGTGTCAATGCGCTATAGAAACAAGATTGCTTGAAAACCATTCACAACACTGTCTACAAGAAAATCTCAGTAATTTATTCCTACAAAATATGCCCATGCAAAATGAGCTTAATTATGCTAATCCTACTGGACAAACACCGATTGCTGAAAACGCGTTCGTAGCGTGGTTCCAACAATGTATAGAAGAAGGCTCTAGATCACCGACAATTAATCTACCAGGAATTCAAGCAGTGTTTCAAGCACGTCAACAAGGCTGGCTTTATCAAAACTTGACAATGTTTCTATTAGTTTTGCGAAATCCTACAACGGCACCACATATCCTCCTTATGTTATTGTGGGTTGGCTTTTTCACTACAGTATTCTCTTTTATGATTCATGCTTCTCTAATACTTTGGAATTGGATGAAAACATCTGTATACTATGGATGTGCTTTAATCATGGCGTTTAGCGCTCTGGTAACATTTGGTCTTCCGCTGTTGCTTCAAATGTCTAGTGATACAACGCTTATCATTTGTGTTAGTCTTATTTTCATTCTTCGGGGCATAAAAAATCCATATATCAGGCTTGATGAGTTTGAAATGCGTGAAACATCAACAGCTCTCTCTATGCTCTATCTTGCCAGTTTTCTTCTCATGAAATTATTTATACTTATTGTCCGTCTCTATGTTTACTGTGTACCTCCCTATCTGACGGCAGCTTGTCTAGCTTGGATCATCATTTTTGTAACATTTCATCTTCGACGCTGGTTCAATCCCGTTCCAGCAGTTGTTCCAGCAGTTTTCCAATGACGAACGACGAAAATGTTATATATTTTTGATTGTGAACAGACATCAGAGACACAACAACAAATAACTTTGATATTTAATTCTCTTATGCTTAAATTTGCGAAAAAAAAGAGAAAACTTTTTTTTCATTTTACAATATAAATCATTTTAATGTGCTGCTAGTTCTTAAAGTAACCGGTAGTTCCTTGCATTTCCATCAATTTAACATCCAGAGTTCGTTATCAGCTATTGCTATTTCTATTCACTCGTATGTCTAGACATATGAAGAGTGATCGATTCACTCGATTGCCATAATATTATGGAATTTAATTGCTTTTCGAGTATGGATCTGCTAATTTTTTTCTGTTGCTTTGCAATTTCGTCTATATTCAACGTCAAATATTCAAAAATTCCTTATCATTAAGATGATCATTTCCACATCGAGATGAACTCTCATAAAGAATTAAGAGAGTATAGCGTGCTATTCAGAACAAAACGTCAAAAAAAAACTATACGATGGTGTCGTCGAACTTGAAAAAGAAAGGTATCAATGATCGACTATATTGTTCAATGAGAATATAAAATGTGATTTCAATGCTAGTCATTCTCTGTTCAGTGACATAGCTCAAATTCGATTCAATTACTATTTGTCAGTCATATCATTTTTGGCCTGGTCAATAGAGAGACCAAATAAACGAGAACTATACGTGCAAGTTAAAGCTAGTAAACGACGATGAAAAGTCATTTTGAGTATAGAAGTTTCTAGGAATGATGGTCACTGATTAAAGATGTGCGGAAGTCGAACCAGTTTCAGAAATATTAGTCTCGTAGAAACGATGTTTCGCGAAGCTGGTACCTCTGTCGTTTCCAAAGTTTTTCAAATTTTCGAAATTTTTGTAAAGAACTACTTTATAATTGTACACTTTATAATCAGTATTGGGATCGAACAATCATGAGTTTATTCATCGCTATTGCTACAATCGAAGTCGCTTGGCTTATTGAAGTTTATCGGACAGATATAAATTTCAATTCTGATAAGATCCGAAATTCGAATAGTTAAATCATCTCTTTTGATATCATGATAAAGTTTGATATGATTCAAACATAACTTATTCATTTTTCTGTTCTTATTCCGTTCGTAGAAAACTTTAGATAATAATATAAATTATATCATTGATTAGTAATTTTCTCTTTCATAAAACTAACTAGTTTCATTTGCTCTCGAAAAAAACAAACCGTTTTTGAGCTTCTTTTTATTCATCACACTACATTCGACGTAGATTCTGCGTTTGTTTTAAATCACTTTACAGTTTCCTTATTGTTGCAATCAAGGTGATAAATTTTTCATCAATAATTAACCGACAAGTATTTTCAGCAAAAGAATTGGCATTAAATCTCATTGCTCAAGTTTATTAGATAAAATATTTTTGCTGAAGCAAAAAGTTGCCTAACTCAATTTAGTCAACTTTTATATATCACCACCAAAAATTTAAGTACATTCTATGTATTTATCAATATTAAACATGAAATGCTTACTCTAATGGTGTAGTTGCCTTCTGTAATCATTTTTGCTTGTAGGGCCTTATCTCGTCTACTTATACATCATCCACGAACGTTTGTGCACTTTTTCCTGGAATCTGGATTTAGAATAAGACGATAAAAATGATGATTAAAAATGTGGGTATGAGTGTCAGTTTGGGAGTAGGTGAAGAGAAGAGACATGGCTATAGGCACATCCATTTACACGTCATCAAGTATCATTAGAAAATTAGTCGAGTTGTCTCACGCAATTATAATTCAATTAACATGGTGATCTCTATGCCGCATATTAGGGGAATTATTGAGTTCTAAATATGAGTGTGGATGCCGATGTATAGAGGTCTATAAATGTCGCTGTGTACTTTCTCTTGGCTTATTTTCACAAAGGTACCCACACCCACGCCGTAGGTCTAACGCTATAATAGTTTTTGATTCAACGGCAGTTCCGCACTAAAATTTCCACGCAGAGGCATTTGCGTGATAGGAACCACCGTTCCGAAACTTACATGAAGTGTAGCCTTAGACTGCGCATGTGGATGTTTCTTCCTGAACCACACCCACATTCAACCTTGACCGCATCTACTAGGACCCTAGCAGAGTTCGGATCTAAAAATCCCTATTTACTGGAATCCGGTGCAATTCTGCTTCCGGGTCTGCCTCCTCAGTTGCTACTCTAAAAGTAAAAGCTAATTATGTGTATGTTCTTGCATGATTATTGCCAAGAAGGCCTGAGAAATGTATAGACTATGTTGGTTGTTAAATTTTAATAAGCGAAAGAAACATCTTCTGCGCTTTGAAACGACTATACAAACGGGCGAAAAGGTTTCATTGACAATATTGAAACTCCAGTTCAAATCCAAGCTCGACTATTAACAAAGTGATCGGAGCGAGTCTGATTCGGAACTGGATTTGAAAGACGTTCAATAAACTGCGTCCGACTCCGAGTTCAAAAGTTTTGGATCCAACAGGCTATAACCTCAAGTCCAACCCACAGTGCAACCAGCATCGGAATCCGAACTCAGGAAAAGGGGAGTTGTCAGATTTGAACTCTACCCGGTCCCAAGTGGATCGAGGTAGAGCTGAATGTAGGTATGGCTCAAGAGGAAACATCCACACCCTCAGCACATATTTATATCCACGTGAGTGCCGCTCCAGTGGCCTCACGCACGGAAATGTCAACGCAGACATGTCATGCACGAAACTATTATGTCACGATATCTTCTAGGTAAAATGCATAAAAGTTCAAGTTTTGGGAGAATGAAATTGTAAGTATCGATCGATATGATGCAAAAAAATATCAATCTCAAAAGTCTGACGAGTTTGATTGTACATGGACTCAATGATTCTCATTTCGCGATGAAAGATTAATTTAGTTGGTTTCCAAGAATTATTAGGATGTCGGTGTAGGTGAATATTGATCGCAACATGAATAGTGAATGTTAACAAAAACTCAAGTAAATCAAGTGTTATTGACAGGAACAATAATAGTAAAACTGTGCCAAGAGTGAGTTAGTTTTTGGCGCATTTTCTGTATTTTCTCTTCAATCCCTATGGCAGTTGTGTGCTGAGGTAGATATTTGTCTCGACAAATTGTCAAACTTTCTGAGTAATAATGTAGAGCTTCCGAATAGTCTTGAATATAGTCGAAGTATACATCTCCGATGACAGGCAGCACACGTGCGACATCAGAATGATCTGAGGGTTGAATTCGACACCGAATTTTAAGTGCGCGCATTAAATGAGTCAGACCATCTGCAATTTTTTCGTCATCAAGTGAGAGCGCGCCAAGCATTTCAATACAGCCAATTATTCACATTTCGTCTCAAGGCGAGCTCTTTTTCAAAATGCATAAAGCTTTTTTATAATATTGATAACTTTCGTTGTTGTCAAGAACATATCCGATAGTCATTAGTGTTGAGGCTATGCACGGATGAGTTTGACCTAGTGCATTTATCTGAGATGCCTTCTTCTTCTCAAGGAATAGTATTGCTTGCTTCTGATCTCCACTTTTCTTGTACATTTTGGCAACCTTTTCAGTCGATTTAGAAATATCCAAGTGTCCAAGAGATAAATGTTATTCCTTGAGTTTCAGCACACGTTTATAGCATTCGAGAGCACGAGTTGAGTCACCATCTTCTTCATATACATCACCAGTCTTTTCTTCTAATTCAATAACATTGTTGTGATGATTTCCATAGCTTGCTCGGTAGATCGCCAAGCTTTCCGAGAAATATCTCAATGCTTCCGCGTAATCATGCATTGACTCAAAATATGCCTCTCCTACGCGCTGCAAATGTTCAGCGATCTTTGGATGATCTGGAGAGTGAATTTGGCGCCGAATATCAAGAATATGTTTCCAGTGAGCGATGACATCATCCAACTTGGCTTCATCCAGAGCAAAAGCGCCGAGCATTGTAAGACAATCAATTGTGATCAGTTCGTTACGATGCGTACTTTTTTCAAGGGCTAACAAGGCTTTTTCATAGTATCAGCGTTGCTCTTCAGTTCCATATATATCTCCTATTGTCATAAGCGTCAAGACGATACGAGGATGGTTATCACCAAGAATTGCCTTCTGTGAGACTAACTGTTTTTCACAAAATATTAGTGCCGTACTCCTACCATTCTTGTTCTTGTGTGTTTTAACCAATCGGTCGAGATCCGGAGAGAGATCGGGATGATCTGTTGGTAAACATTCTTCCTCCATCTCTAGACGGCGACGACAGAAGTCAATAGCACGATCCAAATCCTGTTTATCTTCATATACTGATCCAAGACACCCTAGGTTGTTGACAATACTAGAATGTGAAGTAACAAGTACTTTTCGGTACATCTGAAGAGCGCGTTTAAGCCATATGAGAGCATTGTCAAGGTCTCTTTTTGATTGGTATGCACGACCAATATTTAGAAGAATGTGGCTCCTATCTGAATGATCATCTGGATAGCTCTTTTCCTCTACTGCCAAATTTCGATGGAGATATCTAAATGCGTGATCAAAGTCTTTCTTTCATTTGTAAATGAGTTCGATATTGTACAACGACGCAGTTATCGATGAGTGATTCGCAAGTAAGGTAGCTTGACGAATTCCATAGGCTTCTTCATAATGTTTTAGCACCAGATTCAACTCACCTTTCTGGGCATACACATTGTCAATATTGTTATAGACATGAGATATATCTGGATGGTCTGATGAAACACTGTGCAGTAGTTTGTTGAAATAACTGCCTAGTCGATCGACTTGGCCCAGTTCATGCAGTAAAAGTCGTCAAAAGGAAATCAATGGACTGCTCAGCTTCATTTGATCTTCTTGCAATTTCATGTATTGTTCGATACGAGATGATTCTTCAGTTGTTGTACTCATACTAACCTTCCAAATCTTGAGTGTAATGTCCATTTTGACACGATCAATCTTGAACGCAGCACTGAACCCAAACAGCACTTCCTGTTCCCCATTCATTTTACTGTACTTATCGATATCTGCAAACATAACTGCATCTATGGTCGTATCAGCATCGATTTCGAAGATGCAAATTTGAACATCATTAGTTGCTCGCAGTTGGCGAGCGAAGCCCAATGCGACATCAATACTTCTGAATGTTGACAAAAATCCATTTGTAGAAATGAGACTTTCCGTACTCTTGCGGAGTTTCTTGATTTCTTCGATGAACATTTGTTGACCTCTATAGAGCTTCAGCATACTATCTATCGTCAGTTTCTTGCTTTCTTCTTCCAATGCGTCACACAAATCGATTAGGTAAAAGCGGAATGCATACAGTAATTCAATGTCTTTCGTACGAATGGCTTTGCTAAGCAGCTTGTAGAGAAAGCATTCGTCCGTGTACCATTCGATTGATTTTTCACAAGAATAGGACTTACGGAATTTTTCGATCTTCTTTAATTCTCCCTTATTCATCGCATAGTAATTGGAGCACGTTGTGAGCATTTCAGTTTTTTCTTGATCATCTTGAGGCATCTTTTTTAAAACATAGAGCAAAAGTTGATACCATAGAAAGGAAGCTGAATCTTTTGACAGATCTCGAATGGATTTCTGCTTTTGATCAAAGAGACTGAACAAAAAAAACTATTTCTCTACGATTTCCATCGTGCCACAAAGCATCTTTAGCAATTCGTCTTGCATTATAAAGATATCGACAAACTTCGAATATCCAGACATAAGTTTGGCATGACATGCACGATTTCTGTATAAAAAAAACAGCGATAGGACTTCGAAGTCTATGAAAATTGTGGAAGAACTTTTCTGACAAATGCTTCAGAAATAATTAGAAGAATTTGTTCGCCTTGTATTGATTTGATGACATCGATACATGAAGTACTATCGGTGTAGAATTGAGCAGCAGAATTGAATTCAAGCAAAAGAGTTTGTGTGTGCAAAGAATCTTGAGAATCAGCGATGTTGACATCGAGCCAGATCAGTCGAATATTTTCATTATTTTTCAATGCTTCTACCGGTTGAAGATCACGAGAAATAGGCGCACTGCAGGTACTTGCCATTTTCGCCGAAAGAAGTTGATACTCGTTTTGCTGCTTTGCTTGCAACGCTTTTTAATGTGAAAACCGACAAAGATACAAAAAAGTAGGAGGGTATTTATTTGCTTATGCGTTCCGAATTTCTTCTCTTAGAGCTTATTACACAATATGCATAAGTGGCAAGCTGTAGGTTGCTCTTATTATTGTATAGATCGTGAAGAAATATGATATTGCTCTGTAGATTTTTTATCTGAAACTGTTATACAAGCTCTCCAGTAATTTACAGCGACTATTACATGAGTAAATCTCAGTATTTCCATCCAAATTGAGTGTAATACCGCTTCACATCTTGACGGTGTGGGTGTGCGGTAGCTGCGTCGATGGATGCTAGCGGTGTGGGTCTAAGGTGTGTGAGTATGAGCGAAAAGAATATTTTCATCCACGTCTACATCCACCTGCATTAACGTTCCGTTTCACTCATGTCCAACACGCACACATACCTACACCAAACCTAGCTAATTTTAGCACCAAAAACCGAGATTGTGAATGAAATATCATTTCTTAAATTAAGTTTTATTGTTTTTAGAAAAAACAGTATTATTCTTAGCAAGAATCCTGATTTTCCGACGCTTATTTGCTAAGAATAGCTATGTGAATAGCAGAAGTGGTTTTTTGAAAACACTTGCTGTGTAGATAAATGTTAGCAAAAAGCTAGCCCGGAAAGAAGGACCTTTCGGGAGAACAATATAAACTTCTAAAATAAAAGGATACGCCATTGTCTTTTACGAGGAGAGGAGGACTAGATAAATTTATAGTCTCACACTATACTTCAGACATCAGTCAAAAAATTTGCATTTGTGAGAATGCATAGGTGTAGGGTGGGGTGAGTAACAGCGTGGGGTGCGGCTGTGAGTGTTGAGGCATCGGTGCTGGGGTTTGGATGTGGTTATCAGAGTATAGGTGTGAACTTCAGGGTTTTGCTATCATAATGTGGATCGGTGTGTCAAAGTGTAGTGTTCGTGTGGATTTCGGGATGTGAGGCGTTGGATTATTGTTAACGGGGATTAGTGATCGAAGTGTGGATTTGGTTATGGATGCAGGGGTGTTGCTCTGGTTGTGGATTGGGTTGTGAGCGTAGATGTTGTTCATCCTCACTGACACACTAGCACATTCACGCCTCAAGCCGACACTCACATCCATATCCACATACATTCTTTTCTTTTTTGTTCTTTGTTATGAGAAAAGCAATTGAGTCAAGTTTGGATCGAATATATTCATTTGAGAAATGACACAATCCAGTATTGTCGTTCTCTTTCGAATTATTAGTTCATAATCAGTAGCTGAGAATTGTTTGTAAGAGCATTAGCCACTGTAAAATATCTCATCTTGATCAAATCAAATTGTCGGAGTCTTTTGATGATGTAGAAAATTTGATCAATAAATTATCAGAATCAGCGTTGATGAAGAACATGCCGTCAAGTCGAATCTTTCTCTTGTTTACAAACGATTGACTACGAAAAGACACGGACTACCGTCGATTATGCTTCTGAAAATAAAAAACTGACGTACAATGCTAAAAGTCAATAAATAAAACGAAACTCAATATCAGCACTGTCGACTTGATGAATGTCGTTGATAAGTGAATTTTCTTTTCACTATTGATCATAGGTACCGTTATTTTATGTGACTTCGATGGTTTAAGCATAAGAAAACCCTAATATCTTAAAGAATAGAAATCATCAAAAGTTAGAAATTCATCGATCTGAACGATGAAAACAAAATCTTCTTCCTTGAAAATGCAGCATTGTCTTTTTTGACCAAATTTTTAAAAAGTGTTTTGCATCCTCTTTATTTTATAGGGACAATTGACCACTTGTCCATGTTAGCCATATTTGTGTATTTAAGAACATTCAACCAGCTTGAAATAGAGAACTGTATTTTGAATAGAACAAATAAAACGACTTTCCATCATGTCATGTGTGCGACTGATTCATTAAATCAATTTAAATTGATATTATCTTTTGAGAACGTATCAATATATTCTTTTTTATATGTAAAATCTTTGTTCTGTTTGAATTTGTTCGAAATGTCGTCTCATTGACTATTGTCGCGTTGTCTATTTGTTGTCACATGTGATGTGCTAATCTCAATCCTTTACCTCAAATATCAGACTCATGGTCACAATTGAGAAAGAGAATAGAAATCCAATCAACAAATACAAATCTTGCGAAGAAGAAATACATGAAAGAGAAAGTTACATCAATAGCATGCTCCAAATGCGACAAGCAATTAATATCGTATCAATAATAGTCAACTATGTTTATTGGGAATGATGAAGAAATTAATTTTATTGAAAAATAAAATGGAATAATGGTAGAGTCACAATTTTTAACTAACGGTGGGTTTAACATCGCCTTTGATGATCATATCTGCCGGCGCACGTTGTTGCCATTCGGTAAATGCACCCTAAAATGTAAGAACACAAGGTATACAGTGAAAAAATGCTACTGAAAATTCTTCTAGTCTCAAATATTAAACAACCACTGGGTTTCAAACTATAGAGTATTTTGATATTTACACACTGGGTGATTTTCTTTCCAATGTCATTTTCTAGATTTGATGTTAAGATTAAACAATGACAAGACATGTGCTACGCCTTATCTCTTTGAATCCTACTTTTTCTTAGTCTCTTACCATGTAAACAGAATGTTCATTTTGACCAAGTAAATGGGCAACAAAAGCCAGTACACTAGCTGTTATACCACCTTGACACGTGTAAATGGCCGGTTTTGATAAGTCAACACCAGCTTTTTTGAAGACTTGAACAAAAATAAAAACAAAGTACATATACGATCAATCATGACAGTTTACTTTCTGCAAGTTGATCGTTTGATTTCAAGTATTGATTGGCTTGATCGAATAACGATCCGTAAGGCAAATGCAAGGCATTAGGCATATGACCAGCCTCGGCACCTAGAAAAATGTACGCATCATATTAAAAAAAACAACGTTAAACTTCGATCCAACTATAAGATTGCCTCCATATGTGATTACATTTGGACATCTCATATTATCTTCATCGGAAAACGATGCAAATATGATTGATGAAAATGACAAGTATTGATTCCAATATTTGAACGGATTTTTCTTCTAAAAATATCATTTTGACCTACCATAGAATAGATTTGGTGGTCGAGCATCAACAACTTGCACACGTTGAGAACTGTTGGCGTCCAAAGAGAGATTTGACGTTATTTGATCGAAATATCGCACCATTTGTTCGTTCAATTTCACAGTGAACTTTTTCGTCTGAAGCATCAAATGAATTTGGCTAGTAATTCGTAAACTAAGATATTCTACCTCTTTTTTTGGAGGATTAGTCTCCAATGTTTCAATCTCGTTGATTTCTCTCGCCCACGCCTGAAAACCACCATTGAGAATCGACACATTGTCGACACCATATGTCTAAAATCATTCAATTTGAACTTCAGAAAAAAACTTTATTAACAATTGTTTGCATACCTTAAGCAAAAACCAAGCACGACCAGCAGCAAAGAAGCCTGCTGCTGAACGATCATACAGAACAATATGATCTTCATTCGAAACTCCTAAACGTGTCAGATAGTCTTCGAAACTTTTGACATCAGGTAAACCACGTGGAATGAATGCTGTCGGCGTAGTATATTCAAGTTGATCAAAATATTGAGCTGTCGGAATATGACCTCTACAAAAAGCATTGAATCAATCGTTTTGCACAGACAAGATGGATTTAAACTGTTAGACAAAACGTACTCTTTAAAATTAGCTTCAACTTGCTTGCCGATATCGGCTTCGAGTACTACAACCTGTGGTGGTGACGTTTGAAGAAGCTCTTTCAATTCTTGACATGAAAGTACTTGTGGAATCGTCTTTGTCGATGTCATCTAGAAAAGAAAACAGTCACGTAGTTTTCTCACATACCATTCTATTAGATTAAGGTCTTTACACATAATAAGAAGGAACCAAAAATCAACAGAACAGGCCACTCAGAAAACAAGACAGATGCATTGAACTATCACTCACAAATATATGCATGTTCGGCAACAGCAGCTAGCCGAGTGTTACTCGACATGCACATCCGAATCAGGTAGATGGAAAAATTGTTTTTGTTATAATATCACTTCTGAAATGTGATTGAAAAAATGGAAAAAAGATAAGACTGACATCTAAGCCATTTGTAATGAAACTTTGTCATATAATCAAGATTCTTAGATAATTTCTCGATCATGTCATCAATGGATATCTGATAACTTGTTCGGAGCTATTTTTTAAATCGGTAGAGAACTATCTCCTAAAAGAGTTTTTATTTTGTCTCACTGAAATAGTTTGTACAAGCAATAAGAGAAAAAGTTAAAAAGAACCACAGAAGATATAAATGTTAAGTTCGTTTTTCGTTGTTTTTCATAATACAATCCTAATGAACAATTATTTATATCTTCTGTAAAATAATTACCAATGGTAAGGACTGCTGAAGTATATAGGTAGAAAAGTAAATTCTGACCTTGCTCCACAGACCGTGACTGATGTTTCGATGATTCTCTTTTTTGGATTTTTTTACCACAGATTTTTTATTGAGATGATAACTTCTTTATTTAAATAATTATTTTTAAATTTAAATTCCCTTGTGAAAAATAAAAAAGATGATGTTGATATGTGTGTCACGGTCTCTAATAGTAAGAGAAATTTTTGATCTGATGATCTTTTATTTCACCAAAAACTATCATAGATGTAGTGAAGTTTCTTGATCACGATTAAAACATTTCTATCATACTCCACGTTTTAATTTGCCTGTATATGAATACTGTAGAAAAAGTATAAATATTCGTTCGAGCAGCAAGCAATTATCTACGTGAAGCTTATCGTTTCTAATTAGTCGACATATGACAACATATATGGCTTGCAACATTAGCAGAAACATGATTAGAACACACTCATCACTACATGGATCACTCATTTCTGCTTAAATATTTTTCTCTCATTGAGATGCATATCAAGGCAGACAATAGCAAGTTCAACGAATAATAGATAAAGTTTGTTTCTTTTTATTATGTTACAATAAAACAGCAAAGCTCATCTATTATCATTTCGAGCGGTAAATTCTATCAACTCAGATAGTTTTTTACAATATGAATGAATTCAGTGTCAAACATTTTACATTCTTGAAAAGTCATTCATATTAAAAAAAAACGTTTAACTCCCTCTCTCTCTTACCTAATGCAGTTACTCACTATTACTTTCTACATACTGCTCATGTTTGTATTTATGCGTAGACTTGATACGTGTTGAAAAAATTATTGCAGTATGAGCGTAACACATGTCTTATATATGCGGCGTTTTGTTATTCTTTTTTTTCAACATTTTTTTTCTCTCGCTTGCCATACTTTTCTTTTTTTTTGCAATCAATGACATTGTCTTTTTTCGTTCTTATCGAAAGTATCGCAATGAAAAGAAAGTGACAACGCAAAAGCAAAAGTTAGCCATAGCGAACGAAAAAAAAGAAAGAAAAATGCAGAAGACGTCTGCTATTGCTCAAACATAAAATATGATAAGGGAGAAGAAACATGGTTTTATATTGTATTTAGAAACCCGTGAAATTGTATCTTCATCAATATAAAGAAAATGATGACAGGGTACATAAAAATTACAGTTTTGAGAAATCCTTGTACTAAAACTTTCAGACCACACAACTGTCGCAGTCAGTCAACATCAAACAATAAAAGAAAAAAGTAGTGCAGTGGGTACTATGCGAGTCACACGCATTCGCAATACCGTTCTTGTTCGTTTAAAAGACATTCGAATATAATCTACAGTAATAATATGGTTCAGTAATTTTATTAGATTTTCAATTAGACTCTGTTTCGCTATTCCATATATCATTAAATACTCAAATCAATAATCTGATTGTTTCACAGTTTAATGAGTACAACTCATATGTGTATACAAAATAATAGGTAATCACTATTCAAAGAACGATTGCCATTTTTTGATTAAATGACATTGAAAATGAGAAAGGACGCTCATTACCCTACAATTGATCATTCATGCTTATGATCCATTCACAATGATAAGTGGATGCCACCTTAGGGTGTGAATATAGTTATCTTCGATACGTTACAGAAAAGGGTCTTTCTAAATGAACTTTATTATCTTCTTCTTATGAGCAAACATCGCAATAAGCATCAATATAAATCATACGCATCAATTGTTTCATATTTACATTAGTAAATAAAGCATGCGTTTTGTAGACGACGATTAACTACATGAGAAAGTATTTCGTTTAGAATACGTTTTGAATTTTTTCTGGAGGTATTCTAATATTAGTAGGACACATGGATTTTTCAATAGTTGAGTACACTTGAGGAAACTTGTTGGATACCCAAATATTTGACTTAAATGGACTGCTGTATGCCCAACGAATGAATCTATAAAAATGGTTTTACTACAAAGTAGTTGACAAATTGCAAGTACCTGCTCTAATTGAATGAATATTGACAGAATCCTAGGCTAGTTTCCGACCAATATTTGATGATACATCGATTATGAGATACTTTTTTGAGTAGCCCTCTGAAAACTTTCGTAGTATCATACTTTTACTGGATCATTCTAATCAAGAGCAAAGTATTTCAGATAAACCTTGACAAGAGAATGTGTAGAAAAAGTAACATTTTAGCTATTATCGATATTGAAAAACGAACACAAGATATTGAACAAGACTCTTTCGCTGTTTGATTATATAATAACTTTGATTATTCGTTAAGATTGCTGATTCTCTTATGTTATCTTTACTCTTTTCAACTTGGTTAACAAGCAGCTTATCGTTGTTGATGCAAAACGAAAAGATAACATTTTTCAAAACTGTTTTTTTTCGGGGTAGGGAGGTGGTGGTAGTGAATGTTTGACACTAGTTGCTTCGAACGAGCTATTCGTATTTTTGCAACTTAATTTGTCAAAAAATTTTTTATTAGGAGCCTTCTCTCATTCAAGTAATAGGTCGTGCCCTCTTCTTCATAAAGTTATCCAAAATCAAACATGTTGTTCTTTCCATTACAACAAGAAACATAATGATTTGTACATGGTTTCAGCAGTAGTAGATGGTTATCACGTGGGAACAAAATGTGAAAGATATTCAAAAATGTTTATTGTTCAATAATTTAGTAGAAACTTGGTAGTTTTGAAGATTTTGAATCTTAAGAACATAGAAACTATCGAAGGATACAATAACAAGAAAACTAAATATTAAGAATGTATGTACTGTCACTATGCATGCTAAAAATTTGAATAAAGAACACGAGAAATGGATTAACATATCACATGATTATTTCTAATGTCATGAAGATTATTGGATGAATATTTTTATATCATAGACAAGAAATGTAAATCAGATGTATATTTCTACAATTGTCTTCGAGTACAAAATACAGTAGGTGCACTTTTGAATTTTATTGAGATATTGATGAAATTTATTATCGATAACATCGACGAAGAAATTTCAAAAGTTTATATTAAATCATAAAAGAGATCAATAACATTTAAAATTTTCACGAAAGTAGTACGTTAGTAGAGTGTGTTTTTTTACATCGTTGAATAGAAAGTAAAATGTCTGTTTCATTACATTACTGCAATAAATCATTTTCACGTTCACTCTAAAAATTATCACGAAAGAAACGACCTTTACTGATTTTCTCCTCTGATCTTAAGAATCTTTAAGCCATAGATCATGTATATTGGCCTAGCAAAAACTCTGAAGGAATTTGGTTTTCATTATTTTATTCCTTAAACCAAGAAAAATACTATGAGAGTGTTCATGTTAACTCTCAATGCGTATTATAATTGTGAAGAGCTTCAGTCTTCGGTCTCTACACATTCTAGTACTATACAGTTTACCCTGCAGAAGGAAAACATGCCTGGTTTTCAAAAGTCTACAAAAATGTATCCCTCGATTTTCAGTACTATTGTTGGATTCAGATATATCACACTATTAGCACTGCTAGTTGCTGATTTGATTCCTGACAACGTCAAATACATCAATAACGGAAGAACAAAAAAGAAGTAAGAAGAAAAAAAACTAGAAAGAAAATTCTTACTTGAAGGAGGAACATAGATGAACGTTTATGTAGGTATGTGATAGTTCGTGTATTTATGATAAATCATTGAGGTTCCTTTCGATCATACACACGTACGTTTTATTCTGAAACGATTACAATGAATGAAACTTTTTGTGCTGAGAATAAAAGGATTCGCAGCTTCAAGGATAAACATTTTAATAGATTCTTTCAAGTTTTTCTATCGAATAGTATACAGTTGAGTATTAAAACACGTAACCGAACCTATGCAAAACGTTTCAATTAGTTATTGAACTTTGTTATTCAGCCAAGGCCAAAATAATTAGTGTCTGAATATCTTCTTTTTAAAATGAATATATCATTGTGCTTTACATTCTAACTATGTATACAATAGACTAGAAATATTAGTTTTTTTATTCGATTTTGAACTTTATTGTAAAAAATACAAGAAAGTCATTTATGAGATTTTGTTCTAAAATATTCTCNCAAAATCAAAATTTTAATTCTGCCTAGTCAAAATTGAAATTTTAATTTTGACTGGGCAAATTTCAAATTTGACTGAATTTCAATTTTGCCTATAACATATATATATATATATATATATATATACATAAGACGCGAGACAGATGAAGAAGAAAGAGAATACATTTAACTACCAGATGTAAGAGCACAAGAATAAGCTTTTTTGCTATATATTTCAACACTGCTGAATAATTGTCTTCCACAAATGAGATTAAAAGCTCGCTTTCGTACTACTTGGTGACGTGAAATTCAATGCTTGTTGTATCTTAGGTAGTGCATCCCGAATTTTTATCAGATTCTGGTCAAAAAGTATTCGACTATCGTTTTCTTTTTTGTATCAAATCGTGTCTTTTCATCTAGATTACTGACACAGGTTCTTATAATAATGAAATTTCCTTCTCCTTACGAGCACATTCTCCCCGAAGATATTCCATGTACATGGCCTCCACAACCACCAGACAATACAAAATTAAATGATCGAATAAGAGGATCAATGTTGGGTCTTGCCATAGGAGATGCGCTCGGAGCCAGCGTGGAATTTAGATCTTATGAATATCTTCTCGCACACCCCGTCCACAATATGCAGTCTGGAGGTACTTGGGGTCTACAGGCAGGCCAATGGACCGATGATACCTCGATGGCTTTGTGTCTTGCCTCATCACTCATCACCAAACGAAATTTTGATCCTTATAACCAAATGGTTCGCTACAAATGGTGGTATAAATATGGATTCCTTGCATCGACAGGGCATTGTTTTGATATTGGGAAAGCCACTCGTCAGGCTCTTGATGAGTTCTCGCGACGTCAGCACATACTAAAGTCTACTTTTGGCTTACGCACCGAAATTGAAGTTGATCATCTGTCATTTCAACAAGTGAAACAAGTACCCAAGTTCGATGTAAATTGTAGTCAACCAAATGTTGCCGGAAATGGGGCTCTAATGCGTCTAGCACCAGTACCGCTCTATTTCTTTCGAAATCCTGTACTGGCCGTCGAACTCTCTGGTCAAAGTGCTCGTCTGACTCATGGAAGTCAGAAAGCAATCGATGCATGCCGCTATTACGGGGCTCTGATCGTAGCAGCTCTTCGTGGTGAAAGAAAAGGGCAACTACTTAGTAGACAATTTTATAATAACCATAGAGCATGGTTTGGCTCAAAGGGTCTCTGTAAGGAGGTACGCCATGTAGCCTTTGGATCATATAAAAAGCCAGGAGGCTATGAAATGGGTATTCGAGGACGTGGTTATGTTATTAATGCACTCGAGGCAGCTTTATGGGCTTTTTGGAGTGATCAAAACTCGTTCCAAAATGGTGTTCTTGCTGCAGTCAATCTTGGAGATGATACTGATACTACAGCCGCTATTTACGGGCAATTAGCAGGTGCCTACTATGGCACAACAAATATCTTACCAGATTGGTTAGAACAACTCTATGCAAATGATCTTATCACTTGTATTAGTGATTGGCTATACTATTTGGGACATAAAAGTAGTTTAGCAGTTAAGACTCCCAATGATATGTTCTATCGCATATCGACACGTTTGCAACAAAAACATTTACTTCGTACTATTAGTACGCATGATAGGGTGTTCGGTCCAGTAGTTTCTCGTCGAGTCAATAAAATCAAGAAGGCTTCTCCTCGTTCACACATTTGTTGGTCACAACGTCAGAAGTGGATGTCTAACAGAGGACTCGTATATCCTAATTATCAATAAAAAATTGCGGTTCACTGATTACCGTATGTTGTAGTCTTTCAACGACCTTATCATTTCAAACAATATAATAATGCAGACGATTTTCATATAGCTTCTTTCTAATTAATTCGATAACTAATATTGATACGTTCATAATTCATCAATATTGAGAACATCTACTTTATATGTATCGTATATACTCTTTGAATATCATCAATATAAAGAGTGATGATCTTTCAACAAATGACGATAAAATATGCATTTGTTTTCTATTCGATATCGACAGAGTACAATTAAAGGTTTATATTGATCGTTTAATCAAGATCAAAGTCTATCATACGAGGATCTACTATTAGAATCGAGATAACTTTTAAAAATGTTGAGCATTCTTTAAAAGAAAGACTATTTAGAAATCAGTGAACAGATCCTAATTCGGGTGTTAGGACAATTAGTCGCGGACAATTCGTTGCACGGATAATTCGTCGCAGGACAATTCGTCGCATGGACAATTCGTTGCAATGACATGAGTCAATCAAAATTAGTATCTATTTTTTAACAATGAAACAACTTATTCAATTAAATTTGAAACATGTAATTCAATGATCATAAAAATTATTATAAATACTACTAATGACTAAACTTCGATTTTTGATCTCGAACAGTACAATAGCCTTTTTTGTGCCGATAAAAATTTAGTNATGAAGTGAGGAGTAGTATATCATTTTCATGTTGTCTAGTCCAGTTAATTTTGCTTGCAATTTTCATTGCATAATCATAAATGACTTAAATTTAAACTCTGATATACTTTATAATCCATTTATACATACAGGATTCAATGATAGTTTCTGTAAAGTTAAAATTAGAAAAATAGCGTTAATTGCTTATGTTTTATCGAAGAAGGTTTTAACAACCTGTCTGTCAAATCAATATAATTATTAATCTCATCTTACAAAGGATTAAAGGAATTTCGGCACAAGGAATTTTCAGGTCGGCTTAAATTAAATTAAATTTACTCCTATACAAAGCTGTATTTCTTTAATTAGCTACTGCATCCTGCAATGCTGAGCAATATGTATTTTCATTAAGACATACTTCTCAACATGACGACGGGGTGCTAAAGGTGTGAGTGTTGACGTGTCTGTGAGTTCTCTGTTCATCCACAGACAGAATCGTACAGCGTGCACCCAATTTCGAAACATACTCATCGACGCCTACCCGTTCACTGCTCAGCACTATGCCATATAGCAATAAAATAGAGAAATGAGGGTTTTGCATAGTGGTTAATGAAATCATTTTAAGTTCGGGTCGGAAATTTGTTGGGTCTCAACTCCGACCTCTAATTACAAACGATCATAGTTCAATGTTCTCTAGAATTCAATCATGTCTCACAATATTTCTAAGGTAAAATTAAGTTTTATAACTATTTTTCATGATCCGTTTGTATAACAAATTCTCTCTCTATGAACGAATAAATCGTTAAATTACTAAAAATTAAACAAATAATAGAACATAATGCAATAGAAAAAGATTATAAAATATTTTAACATTTTACCACATGAGATAATTCTAAACATTGAAGAAAAAGTTCTTTTCGACCAAGTTTAGAAGCTAATGTTAATGGAGTTAATCCTTCATTATTACGAATATCTGTAAGTGCCTTTTGTACTGGATGTCGAATAGCATGATTAAACATTTCCTAAAAAAATTAATTTTACTTTAAAGTTCAATTCATTATTTCATATATTCATAGTTTTACCGATCGATCTCGAATCACAAGCATATGTAAAACAGTATTTCCATATGTATCTTGCATATTTGGATCAGCACCATTATCAATTAAATAATCGTAAATTTCTTTATAACCAAATGCGGCAGCAAATGCTAATGGATATTCACCATAATAAGCATTAGCTTAAGTATATTCAACAAAAGAAGCATTTTTTTTTTTAAACAAGAGAATTTTAATATACTTTCAGGATTCGCATTTTTTAGACTGATTTGTTTTTGGGATGTTTCATTTCGATGAAAAAATCGTCTTGTTGCACTTTGTCGACCTGTTTTTGTTTCCTGTTTGTTTCGACTTTGTCCAGGAGGATAAAAATCTCCAATAACACGTTGATTGACATCAAAACCATGTTTAATCAAAAGTTTAATAGAATTAATATCATTATAAAAAATAGCAATATGAAGAGGAGTTTCTCCTAAAATATATTCAATAAAAAGTTCATTTTATTCTAATTTTACTAGTAACTAACCGATGACAGTTAATCGATGAGCATTACTTGGTTTAACATTAGGACCAGTTAGATTCAAACCTTTGCTATTCGATTCATTGTGATTATTGATTAAATTTTTATCCAAATGACCTGAATGAGATAATCGATGAAAATCTTTATTATTTATTGAAATTGGTCGTCCGAAAACGTCAAGAAGAGCAGTATTTGGGATCTTTATGGCCTTCATATTTATATAAAAAAAAGGAAGTAGTGATCAATAATAACAAAAGTTATTACCATGTGTTTTTTTCCGAAGTATTTTCTCGTTTAACTACAATCAGTAGCTAGTCATGAGCATTATATAGAGAAATTGACGAGTGAAGAAAACTTTTTTCTTTTTTTTTGCTCTTATTCAATTATAAAGAGTTTCCTTGCATTCATTTTACCGTTTTCTTTATTCTCGATGATACGTGAAAACTTCATCGAGGAAAAAGAAAGACAAAAGACGTACGGACTATTTTTTCTATCGTTTACTTAAAGTTAGTACATCACCGATAAATATGTAAAATAAATCAAATCAGTGCATGTTTTTTCTTCTTTCTTTTTTTTTGCCAGTTTTACGTTTAGTGCTTTCTTATTCTTGACATCTTGTATACGTAAATTAACTTTAATCGTAACGACCGAGATTCCTATTGCATTTATTACTAGAAAATAAAAAGAAGAAAAAATTATTTCTTTTTCTTTATTCTTCACGTTCAATCATAGAATTGTTGCCAAGAGATGGAAAGGAAAATATAAGCTTGTAATGGATGTATCTGCTGATATGAGGAAATAAACTATCGCAAAGCAAAAAGAATTAATATAAGGAATATCTCATCTTGACAAAAATACTTTTAATGGATGGAATTACAAAAGTTCAATGTGCGTGATTATAGACATTATTGGTTTTGGAGCAGAAAAATTCAAATCAGATGAAATTTTCAGTTCGATATCATAATTTATTCGTAACATATTGATTAAACAAGGGTCGAAAAATCTGGTTTAGTAACCTGGAATTCTCTGTGGATCTTCGTTTCTACATTTCTTTTGTTTCAAACAACATGTCAGGTTTTTAGATCTTGACAGAGCCTTTTTTCTCTAAACTCTGATTTTTTTTTGCTTGGAGACTAAAGGTGACTAGTTTAGTACCATAAAAAGCTAAAAATATTAGCATTTTTTGAATCATTCATTGAGATTTCTTTTCGATACTGTACTGGTTACTCTTAGCCTTCAACCAAAAAGTAAGAATTTTAAAGAGAGATTCTGTCAGATTGTAGAGCATGAAATGCCTTTTTAAAAAAAAAAATCTAATTATATAGAATGATGATCCATGGAGAATTTCAGGTTGTCAAATGAACTATTTTCGATACTTGTTTGATGGATATTACATAGAAACATGGTGTTATCGAGCTGGAAATTTTAACATAATTGTTCCAGTACAACCCCAAAATATACTAAAAATTTAATGCGATTTAATTTTCACTGGTCCAGAATTGATTTTGAAGCCGATCCTCATGGTTTAAAAATTCTGTCTATATTATTGAAGATATGTTTCTGCTCACTGATCACTAATAATATTGGATTCAAAAGCAAGATCATAGCAGTAGCACATTGGTGATTATTCTTATGAGTGTTTTTTTTAAATCATACTAATCATTTTCAGTAATGAAATACTATTTGAAGTCAATACAAAAGATTTTGGTCTATCAAAGTTTTTTACATTTGAATTTTAAGGGTCAAGAGTCATTTGGAAAATGTCTCAACAGATGTTACCAAGTACCTTCAGCCAGCTTCTATTCCCATAAGTCCTAACATTTAGGATTCACTAAGCTCACCTAAAGGCATCATGATAGCTTTGCATCGGTAATTTCTTCTTTTTAATTATGACTTTTTCTAAAATAAATGCAACTGTTAATCTATAATCAAACTCCTTTTCACTTCTATATTTCTAGACAAATATTAGTTTAAATAATGAACCGTATTATGCAGCAGTAAGATATTCCAAATTGGCAAGTATCAAATATATCTTTATATTACTCAATCCGATGGTTATATGACTATAGGCTTCAGAACATTAATGAAATAATGTCGATCTAACCTATAAATATTGTTGTCTCAACGCTTCGTTTTTTTTTCAAAACATTTATTATACATTTGAAAATATATTTTTGAATTCAATAAAATAGTCAATCGCTCATAAATTTTATTTTACTTGAATTGATTTTCCATAATATCTATTTCATTTATTCAAAAAATGACATCTAATTCTATTAAAATTCACTCGTTTATGTATTAACATAGTTATGACATAAATAAATCCAGCCAAAAATAACCCAACAAACCAAGCATAAATATAAATATGATCAAAAAATGTTTTTTCTCGATTTTGATTAAGTTGTAAACTTCTTATAAACCCCGGCATGTTTGGTGCAATTCCAATTACAAGTGCAAACATAGAAATCCAATTCATAGCTCGATTAGTATATAGTGGATAAGTATCACAATACAATTCAAAAATTTCTAATGTTTGTCTTCTTAATAGATAATAATCTCCAATAATTATGCCAGCAATAGGACCTAATAATGCTGAATAACCAATTAACCATGTAAATACATATTCTTCTGAACTTGATAATAATTTCCAAGGCATAATAACAACAGATAAAATACAAATTATTAAACCACCAGTTTTAAATGAAATATATCGTGGTGATAAATTAGCAAAATCATTTGCTGGTGAAACAACATTTGCTGCTATATTTACTGAAACAGTTACTATTAGCATACCTAATAATGAAATAATAGCTATGATAATACGTATTGGTGTTGAAAAAAAAGCATGAGAAGGAGAAGTTATAACGGAAAGTAAATAAACAGGGTCCCATAAATTTCCTGTCCCATTAACAAGAACATCTTGTGCTGTACTTGTTATAATAACAACCATTGAGCTAAATATGAGCATAGTCAAAGGTAATCCAAGTGATTGGCCAAGCATTTGATCACGGTGACTTCGACCAAATCGTGTAAAATCGGGAATATTTAATGCAAGAGTTGACCAAAAACCAACTGTACCTTCAACGAAAAAAACAAAATAATTAGTTTTGTAAAACAGAATCTAAAAGGAGTATTGAAATAGAGATTTAAAAACTGGGACTCACTCTCCCCTACAGTGTGCATTTTTATATGGCAGGCGGATATGTGACTTTCGTTGCTCAGAAATGATTGGATATGACACAGAAAAACATTTTGTTTCTGGAGAAACAATTTTTCAACGAAAAATGTCTGACAGAACCGTTGCCCTCATTTTTTCGAGAAAATCTTTTGCTTGAAAAATTGTTTTATTCTATATATCATTTGATGCAGTTTAATGTGCTGATTCCGAGTATACTATTTTTGTTGATTAAACATATTTTTCCATCTCCAGAAAAACTGAAAAATACCTGCAGAACTTAGGTGTTTGGAAGTTCATTGAGCAGTTCAGAAGTGTTTACGCTAGCAGGAATTAGAGAGAGTAGATAGAAGAACATTCTAACAAAATTTGGAAAAGTTTGGAGATTGGATGTAAGTGAATTGCTCATTTTATGGGGCTAGCCCTGCTGACCACACTACAAAAAAAATATTTTTTTTTCTCAGAACTTCAACGTGTAAATTAAAAAATATTTTTTTGTCATCGCATAGAGCTCGACCTGGAAATTCAAAAAATGTACTTGATCCATCTGTCAAACAATTTAGCTTTATCAAATATCAGTTTTCTCGAAGAAATCATGATTTCCAGGCTAATTTTTGAGCAACTAGTTTTTCAGTTGCTTTGAAGATCATAAGAAAGTTATTTATATCATTAGATAAACTCTTTTGCGAAGTATATTTCCCAATATTTAAACCTTGAGAAAGCGCAATTTTCATTTTTAATCACATGTCTATCTAGCTACAAACTGTACTCCTCACAGACTGTGACAAACGCTATTGATGTATACGATCAATGACTGTATATTACTAATGACTCGTTCTAATACATGAAGTACTTCGTTGTTGTATTGCTGGAGAAGGATGATGAAGATATATGTCTCAACATAGATTGAATAAAACAGTCTCTATGTGATTAGCAATAGCAACAACGTTGTGTTTCAAATTTTATTTCCACATGGATTAGACTAATAGCTTCGTATTAATATTAAAATCCTTACTTGTCAATGAAGGCACAAATATAACCCAAAATTCATGAAATGTTTCGAATTTTGATGGTTTATATAACATAGAGCCTAAACCTTTAGCTTTTACAGCTAACCAAACAAGAAGAGCAGTAGTCATAATAAGTACAATTGGTGCTGCCCAATTTGCAAATTTCTTAACTGCTTCCATACCATAATAAATAATTATAACATGTATTGATAAACATAAACCAAATGTTAACCAACTTGGAGTAGATAAACCAAGAAATGTCCAATTATGTCCAAAGTATTCATAACTAGGCCAAACAGCTATAACAAATGTTTTAAGAGCTTCATCACCTAAAAATACATTGATACCAAGCCACTACAATATGAAAAAGTATTTCATTGTTTTTTGTTTTGTTTTTAATGATATTCATCTCTCAAAACTTACTCCACAAGCAACAAGTCCTCGAAGCATAGCTGGTATATTAGCACCCCATGTACCAAATGCTGATCGAGCTAAAACAGGAAATGGAAGTCCATATTTTGTTCCTGGTTGAGCCATAAGCAAAATTGGAAACAGTACAATTAGATTTCCAGCTCCAATCGTAATTAATGCTTGAAACTAATTCATACCAGACGTGATTAAACTTCCACATAAAGCATACGTTGGTAAACAATGACACATTGAAATCCATAACGTAGCATAATTCCATGTTGTCCATGTCCGTTTGGATAATGGAGTTGGTGCAAGGTCTTCACTATAAAGTTGACTATTGACTAATTTATCAGGAAGAACAGAAGGTGGACTTTTATTTGGAATAGCAAAGTTTATCATCTCCATTTCTTTTAATATGGAATGCAACGGCATTTTCCTTAATGTCTTTCTTTCTCTTTCTTATCATGCTATCTGAACCAATTAAAATTCTATCATTTTATCTTATGCTTCCGATTACAAAACATTAAAAGTATATAATCATTCCTTTAGAGTATGAATATGTCATCCACCATTTATGTATCGTAATACAAAGAATAAAGTTGTGAGTAACCTTTCAATTAATAGAAAAAATATGTTTTTTTATTTCTTTTTGTTCCTATAGTATGTATTGTGCAAGATAAGCATAAGTCTACTGAAGTATATGTAAAAAATAGAGGACTGTGTGGCACACCATTTTGACTACCTGATCCTGTCCTGTCCTGCGAATTTCTTCGCATACCTAGCTCTCTCCTGAAACTTTATTTCATAACTTTTAACTCACTTTATCCTACCCTGTTTGGCACTTGGTAAACATTCAGACTTCGTATGAGTTTTTTTTATGAAATTTCATTCAATTTATTTCAATCATAAGGCAAACAAAAACAAAACTACAGATCTCGAGAATTTCTAATCATCAACAATACTGAGTTTAATGATTAAGAGATTATTTACAAAAAGAAACAATCATCCGAGACTTATCTAACATTAAACGTGCCATTTGTCGAAGAATCTTTTCATTCTCTATGCTGTTGTGCAATTTCGTCACTCACTCTTCCCTAAAATTCACAAATATCAATTATGCATGCCTTTCAACGACTTTGCTAATAAAGAAAGTTATGGAAATACCAAAGAATGCTTGTTCTATCATCGTAACAACTAATTATCTTTTGAAAATGAACGTTTAGTGTTAATATGACGACCAATCTTGTTAGAATCATAATCATAATTACAATCGTGCTCGGCATCTCCCACAAGGATAAGATAAAGCTGAAAATTAGAAAGTTAAATGCACATTTGAGTAACTATATGTATAAAGAATAGATTGGCGGCACAGCTCTTTCTATTGACTATCTTTTCAATCAATCTAATTTCATTGTTAGTTCACTTTCACTTCTATCCTTGTTTTTTGAACCTCACATATATCTTTGAAAAAATAATGAGTGGAAGTTTAAATCCAGCTTTTTCTACTGTCTTACCTTAGATCAGATCATTGGGAACTTTTCATAGCAACCGGAAAAGACGTGTCAGTGATAACAGTATTTAGATCATTCTAGAATCTTTCAAAGCATTATATAAATCTACGACTTCTGCTCTAGAATTGTAACTAGTCGAAACATTGTGGGTTTTGGTACTTAATGCAGCGAAAGGGTCTTGTTGTAGGTGTCAATTAGTAGGACACTGGTATTATTGACTTCGCAAAGTCAGAGAATAGGACGAACATAGAAAAGTATGAACTAATTGAATTCTAAGTTTAGGCAGAACTGAAAAGTATATGTCAAAATTCGTTGAAAGAATACATGATGTGCTCAGAAGCTTACTAACCAACTAAGCTTGAGTGGATTAGATCTATAACTTCTAATCTTTGACTTTTCCAGCCTTCTACATGATACAGGCATATTTTTAGGGAATTTGTGATCAACGAGGACTTGATTTCTTTAGGATGTATTTGATGATTTTCCCAATGTAACAAAACTATATCTAGAGGCGTACAATACCATTCCATTAAATACCTTAATATTCTCTTTGACATCTTCTCCGGGAAACCACAATTTCTTAGTCGTTTTTTTTATCTCCTTCGATCATCTCTAGTACTAATCTTGGATATAAAGTCTTTGGATTAACGTTTAGGTAATACGAAGACATTATGATTGATTATCTTCCCTTGAACTATCGGATTGTTCCATTAAGGTGGGAATATCATTTGTTGTTGTTAATAATGATGATTGATTATTCATAATATTTGATGATGATGTAGTCAACGAATTTAATTGATGTGTATTTCGTAAGAAGTTATAGTTGAAATCTTTACGTATGTGTTCCGCATGAATATTAAAAAGTTTTGCAAGATCCTGAAGGGCAGTTTAAAATTTCATTTTTTTCTTTTGTGCTTGAATCAGGAATTTTTTCAACTAATGGCCATATCATCCTTTTCAGTAATTTATCTATTGTTGAATTAATGGTAAATAGACTCACATGATGTAGCTGTACGTTGTTTGAATTTATATTAATCTTTTCGTCAAGTTTTTGAAGGATTGTTTCTTTCAATGATATAATTTCAGTTTTAAAATCTTTGTTTATCTTCGCTAACATTGAGATGATTGTGTTGGTTGACATTGTTTTGCTGTTTGTTGATATATGATCGTTTTCGCATGGCCATGTTGCATTACTATATTTAATCATTTTCATGTTGCTGTTGCTTGATAATGCTGGATAATTCATGTCATAAAACAAATCGGTAGGGAGCTGTTGGTGCTGATGAAACATTTGTATTGTTCTTCGATTAAGTGTACCATCACTGATGGCCTTTTTAGCTTCTTCATTAAACTTTTGTCTATAATTCCGAACGACATTACATTTCGGATCCAAAGAATGATGATCAAGATCACAGTTGGCGCATATTGGTTTGTCCGAGCACTTTTTCAAATGATGATGATTATAATTTTTAAGACATATTCGACATTTAGCTACACTTGATATGCATGAGGATCGTAATTGGTCAATACGCCAGAATTTTGTACAAAGGTTAATTTGTTTGCAGGTAAATATTTCGTAATTAGATGGAAACGATTTGCAACACATAATCTACCTACTTTTAAGGCGCCTTCATATACAGTTAAATCCGATACTGGAAATCTATAATCATTGCTAGAGCGATCATATGAATAGAAAATTTGTTTGAAATTGCTGGCAGAGCTCATGAACCATTTAGTTTCTTCTGATACCATTTCACTTGAAACCGATTGAGAAACGTAACGTACTACTAGGGTGAAACATTCTGGTACAAATTTCAGTTTAATTACTGTCATTTTCTTTACATTAATTTATTTTTGCCATTGTTCCGTACGTATAAGTGTGGAGTAGTCCTCCATATTGTTAACTCCTAATTTCAGTCTATGACCTGTAAACGAGGTAACAGAAAAATTATTGATATCGATTTTATTTTTATAGAAATGGTTTTTGATTAGGTTGCACGCAATGATTGCCAATGGAAGATCACGTGGAGCTGCATTATTATCAAATTCAACTATGAAACGCGGCAAATTGCATTCTATAACTAGTTTTAATTGCTCAATTGGAATAGCATATGATTTGGTCGCATTTAATTGAGTTGCTGTTGTTCGATCATTTACCAGCAAGCTGTTCAAATTTTGTTTACTGGACGTTGTCTTTAGATTTGTCATGTTCCTCATTGGTGGTTGCTACAGGTTATCTTTTTCATTTCTTATCTTTTTTCTTTATTCATTTGATCTATTTAATTGATCAATGTTTCTTTTGAGGGTAGATGCAAACTTGTCTTGAAGATGCCTACAGTTTTCAGTTGTTATTATTTCATTTCCATCGACAACATCAGTGTTAGTATCCTTATTATTATTATTGGCTATGTATTTCTCGCATTGATGAATCATTATAGCCATTGGTGGTGCTGTGCTTCATCGTAAACACATTTGTTTGTTTGTTTGTTTGTGAATCATGTGTTTGCTGGGACAATCTTGATCAATTGGGACACAGAATTGACCGTTAATTTCAAGTAATTGCATTTATTGTCTATAATTCGATGGTATAACAGATGTTTCTTCTGTGAATCTGATGACCGTTGCTGAACATGTTTGGCATTATTAGTTTGATTGTGTGTCTTCCATTATTTTATTTTCATCATTAAGTCCATTTCGGTTTCTATTGAAACGATTATGTCTTTTTTGTTTGTTTGAGTTCATTTTAGAACTCTTTTGTTAGAGTGAATCAAGGCTAACATAATCCGAAGCAGTTGCTTCCGTTCCGAAAAGGAAAAACGAAGCAACGTATGATGCGAAAAGAGCAATGCGAAAAAGACGTCTTATTACCAAGGATGATTTTTTGAACTGATGGTACTATTACAGTGATGTTGCATTTGTACATATTCACTATCTGATATTATTCTCTATTCTCTGTCATCTCTCTTTGATCTCCAATTAACCTCACTTGTTTTTCTGGTTCTTTATATTTGTTTATCTATATCATATATGTATTTAGTTGTATTCATTCCTTTAACCCTTCATTGTTGTTGTGTGATCCAAATGGACCCATTTGATAGCTTTTCATGTATTGCAACGTCAAGATTTCCTGTTGTGAACTAATCCTTTCATATAATCTCTAGTCTTATATTGGTGAATAATATGCGTATGAAAAATAACGGATAATAACAAAAGGGAAAACATGATGCTGGGGATCTGCATAGACCCCAAAACAAATACAGTATTGCAAGCATCATTTTTCGTCTTACTGAAACTGTTATCTGTTGTCTCCGAATTGCTTTTTAAATCAGTTTATTTAGGTTCGTTTGTAAACTCACCATTTACAATAACAATTCAAATTTTCTTTAAATAGTGTGAAATTTGCTTTTTCAATGAAAACCACGTTCACTGTTCTTATTAATTATACATTTGACTTGTGTGAAGTTTTAAATTATTTGTCAGAATGAAAGAAAAATAACAGAATCTACATTTTAACATTTTTCTGCTTCAATAACATGAACACAACTCGAACGTTAAATTTAAAAAGAATTTGAGAAATGTTGATGACAAACAAAAATGAACTTGATGATAAGACCAGTGACTATTCAGGCTCTGATTCTGATAGCGAGTATGACGTTATTTATATTGCCATAAATGTAACAAACATATCAGCCTTTATAAAACAAGACCATATAGACTTTTATATTACACAAATGAACGGCTTGACTTAAGCAAAGTATTCTTTTTTGATTATTTCTATGAATGGATTCAGGTGGACCCCAAAACAACAATGAAGTCAAAAATGAGAACAACAAGCATAGTTAAAATAAAGTCGTACATATGTAGTACATCAAGGCGCATATGTAAATATACATATATATATATAACTAATGGTGTTCAATCAAATAATTTTCATCGCCGATTCAATAGTTTTAATATATAAAGTGCAGATCTTACTCTATTAAGTGGCTTTTCACAGATTACATGATCACGATTGGGATCTTCCTTTTGTATTACTTAGGGCATACCAAAAGTAAGAGTATTGACACTTTAATACCGTATAATAAACTTTAAGAAATTTTTCTATATATAGTCTGATAGAAAAAAAAATCTATATCTTTCTATGCTATTTGATCATACTTCAGCTAATATCATAATAATAAAATTTCAATAAGATCTGTTTTTCAATCATATGTGACGATTACACTAATTCGAGTGTATATGTCAGCGTCCAAACTGAGATTACGTCCAATCTCAGATTGGCCTAGGCGAATGTCGGATCCGAGATTGAACGTGTCCAATCTCGGATTGAAGCAATTCTGTTCACTAGAAAATCAATTACTCTTTAGATAGACGTTGGATTGGAACTATTTTTTGAAATTATGTTCGCACAATGCCGTTTTAAGTATTACAAGCATTTAGGAAGAAGCTAAATTTAGATTCAAAAATTTAATAAAAATTTTCCGTCAAAGTTGTTGTTTTCTAGAAATTTATTCATAACTCTTAAAATTTTACTAAAATCTACCAAATCACAATTGTGCCAAATAAACTGGCATTGTGTGAACACAGCTCCAAAAAAATAATTCGAATCCAACGTCTATCTAAAGAATAATTGATATTTTAGCGAACAGAATTGCGTCAATCCGAGATTAGACGCGTCCAATGTCGGATCCAACATTCGTCTAGGCCAATCTGAGATTGGACGTAATCTCAGTCTGAACGCTGACATATATTTTTTGAATAACTTTTTTTAGAAACAGGATACAGAGCTGCGATTTTCAACGTTCGAAAGTGAAGATGAAGACGCATCGAATTTCATATTATATATTTTCCTAGGCATTATCTGAAATTTCTTCAATTAATTTTGTAAGTATGCAAAAAAATGACTTTTTATTTCTGCACAGAAATTGCTAGAAAAATCACTTAGAGATTCGACTAGAACATGTATAACTCCTCGACGATTTATTCAAAATATCTGAAACTTCTTCAGTTTTTGAGGTCTTCCATGGGTGGTTTGGATGCACGCCTGACAATGGAAAATTTGCTGTAAATACCTTATGAAGTAGGCTTGTTTTCAAAGAAGTCGATTAAAAATCTTTAAAAAGCCATGTACACAAATCAATAACTAAATTCGAGGCATCTTCATTTTCTCTTTCGAACAGTGAAAACCTCAGCTCTCTATCTTGTTTTTATCAAAAGTTATTCAAAAAATATTCACTGAGTAGGCATTAGTATAACCGTCACATGTGAGAGAAAAACAGATCTTACTGAAATTTTATTCTTATGATATTAGTTGAAATATGATCAAACAGCATAGAAAAATAGAGAACTTTTTTCCCTATCAGACTACATAGAGACAAATTTCTTAAAGCTTATTATATGGTTTTAAAGTGTCAACACCCTTACTTTTGATACACCCTTAGTAGATCTGTGCTTTTTGATACATTTTATTACCAATCAGGAGATGACGCTTTTTCTTATGACATGTGTGAAACGAAGTTAGGAAGATTTCATTCAAAGTAGATTGCAATATATTAGAATTAGGAATCTGCGTGACCAGGTTTTTTAGTCACGGTCACGGTCACGATCATATCTGTGAGGAATTTATGGATTCTGTAACATTTACAGTCATAGACACTAAAAGATCTTAGTAAATAACGACCCAGGACAAAAATTACGGAGAGTTTCTCTCAGGAAAATACCGAAAATCGCAGGAGCAGGGAGAAATATTTGAGCCGAAAACTTTGTGGACTCTTCCGAAAGATTTCAATCTACTTCCCTGCGCTTTCCAGCAATAACTGATCGGAAAACTTCGGACCAGTAGACTGCTTTCAATATTTCTACGATTTTCCAGGTTTTTCTGCAGGCTACAGTGACTTTCCCCATATTTCGTGCCGATTTCTGCGGTATCCTTCCATCGGAATGATTGATTTGAAGTCTACTGATGATTATCGCAATCAGGGATTTTTGATAAAACAAGAATGGCTTATAAAAATCGATTTAAATCTTATGATATTCATTTTTGATATATATAAAGAACTGTGTGGCCAAGCTTTTAGTCACGGTCACGTCACGGTCACGCGTGACTGTGACCGTGACCATTTTGCAGATCTCTAATTAAAATATAACAACTAACACATAAAGAAACAAGAGATTGGTCACAGATAGAAGAATGAGAGACGAAGAAATGAAAAGAGCTGCTGTGATCTGAGCTACATACAAGAAACTTGCGGGTTTAGAATGCAAGAGTAAATAAAAGAAGGAAAAGTTACACCAATGATAAGAGAATTTCCCGGAACAAAGCAATTAGGCAATCATAAAATGAAAAAGTGTCTTTCCAGGTTTTTTTCGAGATTTTGCTGCTAGAATATTCAAGTTTTCGCTTTTTTAATAGTTTATTTTGTAAATATTTATTTTTCGACATTTGCTATTTTGGTATTGAACTCTGTTAAAATTTTAAAAGTAAACCAAACTAGTATATCTGATGGATAAGGGGCATGTCATTTCTGATATTTATTAAAAATTCACGTAATATATAGAAGAAGAACATGTATAGTTCAGCATTTCTAAAATACAAAAGAAATTAGAAAAATGAATATTACAATTATATAAAAGATTAAAGTTAGTGAGAATTTTTTTCTTAGTAATCTTTTATGTATATTTATGTATAGATGAATTTCTTTCATCTCGAAATTTTCAAAATTCTGATTTTACATGAAAGTACAATACGATTATCATTTAATTTTTCACCAGTCACCTTTTTTCTTCAACTCTTCTAGGATTAACTATTATTGTGCACCGTTTTGATGAGTGCCTTAATTTTTTCGATTGTCGTTTCAATCAACTTCATACACTCCATGTTAATACTCTTCATATTCTTTCTCCATTGTCAGAAATTAACAAACAGATTGGTCATTTAGACAACAAAATAAAATTATTTTTCGATAAAATTTCTCTTTTCTTAAAATTTATTATATCGCGTATTATTTTGTTTTTCTAAGCATGATTACCAAATCTAAAGTGTTTTTCGTCGTCCTGTGATGTAGACACACCATTTATTGACGAATTAATCATACCACTTCTATATTGAATGTCGAATCTGGTGGAAAAACTCGGTTCGTTTTTTGTGCTCATTGTTGATGAAACATTTGTTGATGGGAATTATTTGAAGAAAGAAATTATTAATCATATGCTACGATTAAATAAATTTCTATTTAAAATTCATTCAATTATATTTGATATAAAACAAATGGATTTACCATTGAATGCAGATATTCAAAAGACATTCGTCAGTTTTAGAAATAATCAAATTATATCTTATCTTGATTATTTTCCAGAGGAAAACGAAGGTCAGTATGATGTTTATCTATATCCATTCTCAATACGGCATTACAAATGATTACAAATAATTTTCCAGATGGACTATTTAAATATGTTCGTGAAGTAACATTATTTGATGAGTGTTCTTTTGAACATGAATTTTTTATTCGAATTGTTCAATCATTTCCGTTTGTGAAAAAATTTAATTTAATTACCAAGAAATCACCAAATGATCAACAATATTACAAATCAATCAATGATAATCAATATATGTCAATCATTGAATATTCTTATTTTACTGAACTTTACATTTAGAATGTTCATAATAATTATATCGAATAGTGTCTAGCTGATACCAGAACATGTTTGTTGGATAATATTAGTATTCCTATCGATTATGAATCTTTAAAAAGAGTGACATAAAGTTTTACAAAAGATGAAACACGAATCGACTCTGCCAAAATAAATTGCTTATATTGATATAATTAATCAGCATGTCCTCATACAGACATATTGTAATTATTCCTAGTTATATTATACATGAAAGAAAAAGTAATTGTTTTATTTTTGGTTGTAAGAAAACAAAACCTATGTACAGGTTAAAGTGGTCATATGTAACAAAATATGATTTATGAATATAAAAATCAACGTATTGGGTACGATAAAAGGATAAATTATATATTAAATAATAACTTTTAGGCTAATTAAATTGACATGACACCATAACTTAACATTCGTTTTATCATGAAAATTCAGTAGGAAATTTCAATTTCAATGAAAACTCACAGAGTTGTAATCGATTCAAAATTACCATCGACGTTGATTTACATAGAAATTTGAATTGAGATTCCGTTAGTACAAGAAGTTCATTAAGAGAAATTTAGTATCCTTGAGAAATTTTCTTTTGGATTATTAACTAATATTATTAAATGTCAAATATTCTTAACTATTAGAATGCAATTGATTGAATATCAATCGATTTACTCTATTTAAATCTCATGATTAAATAATAATTTAGTTTCAACCATACTATAGCTGTTGCTTCAAAGATTCTCAAAAATCATCTAAACATCGTCGAAAACTATTAAATTTACAGAGTCATGATACGCTTTGAAGAGAAAAAAAAATCCTTTTGTTTACAATTGCGTTTAATAGAAAAACGTGTCAATGTATGATATTCGAAATTCTTGACATTATGTTCTGTTTAACGTAAATGTTATAAACTATTATATCAGCTATAAGATCCGTGAAATTGCTGTTGGAAGTTTTGTATGTGTATATTTTAATAATACATTTAGTTATTTCATTCAGTATCCAACAGAAGAAAAATTCAAAGTATTCAAATAATTTTTTTTAAATTGGCATAAATTAGAACGATAAAGCGAAAAATTTGTCATCCTTTTTAAAAATGATATTGAATAATAAAGTTCTAAAGGTCATATTTGGTCTTAGTAATACGTGATAATTCAAAGAATACATAGAAATTAAATTTATGACAATATAAAAAGTCTAATAAAACAACACAGAAATACAAGCGAGAATGGAATACATTAATGTGGCGCAAAAAAGATTTACAACGAGGTTCACAATATACTGAATCCAAGATTTACTTGTTTTTTTTTTATCTATCCTAGGCAAAATCGTCAATTCAAAGATGATTCATACTAAGCATTTGTCATGCTATCTCTAGTATTTTGTTTAGTATTGGAAAAACTATTGCAGCAAAAGTAAAAGGCAGATCTTTTGACCTCTGAAATATTTGATAAATGAGAAATTAAACAAACATAATTCATATAAATATTCGAAATGCTATAAGTATTTTTTCAAAGACTTATTCACACATAAAACGCTAAAAATAATTTAGGATGCCAGTCGTTGTGAGCCTGCTTGTCAAAAAAACCTACGCTCACATATCCATAAAACATTTCACTTTAATGAGATAATTCATCATGAGATTTAAGTTTGTTAGGAACGTTGATGATCAAAAAATTCGAGAGCTTTTTCATAAAGCATTCATAGAAATTTCGAGAGTTTAGTGTTACTGAAAATAATTTGTCTAAGTTCATAGAACTTCCTCTCTACAAAATCTTTACATTTGAGCAAAATCTAGCCATATCGATGAAGCAGGTTTTTTTGATTAATTTCACGATGTAAGTATCGCATTTGTGGCAAGGATCTTACTGATATGAATCGTGATTTAGGTAACCAATAAGACATATGGGAATACAAATACTAATCATAGGACACTAAATCAATTCAATGTTTTCTTTTCTTGTTTCGCAAAGACATTTTAAATGTACGAATATTAATGTTAAAAAGGTACAGGATAAAGTGGTTGTTCTCCATTCATAACGCGTAAAATATCTTGAATTGCTTTTGTACGCAAGGCAGATGCTGATTCTTGAGTATACCAGGCTGCATGTGGCGTTAATTGAATACGATCAAGTTTGATTAATTCTGAATCAATGTATGGCTCATTTTCAAGTACATCAAGAGCAGCATAAGATATTTTTCCATTTTTTAAGGCTTGTATCAATGCTTGAGTATCAACAAGACCACCACGACTAAAATTAATTAAAATTGGTCGTCTTTTCATGCGGTTAATTGAATTTAATGAAATTAAATGATGATTAGCTGATGTAAGTGGAATGTGAAGTGAAATAATGTCACATTCTTCAAAGATTTCATCCATTGAAGTGCAATTTGATGGTAGTAACGGATCATAAGAAAATATTTTCCTGACAAATGGACGCATTTTATTAGCAAAACATGATCCGATACGACCCATACCAATAATTCCTAAATTAAGTGTATTCAAACTATGTAAATCTTTGCCAGCTATTTCATGATTCCAAATATTTTGTTCAACAATCGATCGATGATACATTGATAAACGACGATGAGCAGCAAAAAGAAGAGCAACAGCATGATCAGCGACTTCATTTGTACCATAGTCAGGTACATAACAGACGACAATATTGCGTTGAAAACATGCTTTGATATCAATATTATCGAAGCCAACTCCCAAACGAGTAATCACCCGACAGGAAGGTGAAATACATTCGATGATTTCAGCTGTAATTGATGTATCAGTAGTAATAATAGCAATTATACGTGGATTTGAAACATATGAAAAGAGATTGGTGTCATCAGAAACAACAACGAGTTCATATGGAGTAGATGATAGAAGACTATGCTCAATGGAAAATTCTTTAAAACCTGGATTAAGCAAGAGAATTTGTTGTTTATTCATAATTGATTTATAAATGCAGATGCTTTTTTTCATTCCACTTGTGCGTTGTTCTTATCAGTTGCTCTTTTCAAAAGATAATGCAACAAAATAAATCAACGTGTAATGTTACCTGATTGTTGACCTTGGCAATATGTGCATTTATATTTCTCATATCTTGCACAAATATTAAATCAACATATGTTTGTAGAGAAATACATACATCCAAAACGATGAAATAATTGGAAAATTATCATCCAAAACAGGATTAACGATAGTTCATCTTTTTGGTACAATCCAACAATGGAAAAGCATGTTTAGCACGATGAAATATTTTCTTTTGATACTTTTTTGTTGATCGGCACAGTTGCTTTTATTTTCGTTCGATGAATCAAAGATTTTTGTCGTATCCAGTTAAATAGACAATAAAAGAAGAGGGGAAGGGCAGATCATTAAGAAGGAAAATCGGCTCCATGCAAGAATTCGACTTAATCTTTCTCATCTTATCAGTTTGAATGTCAGATGTATATTTCTAATAAAATCAGACGATTTGATGCACCCCACATGGAACGCGACTCAATTTACTGGCCCCTCGTTTTCTGTATATTATATGTTCTTAAAAGCATTGGGAGAGTGAGTGATTTAAGGGTTATTGCTCCATTCTTTCATTCTCATGTTGAGTCTATTTATATACAAAATTGAAGCTCTTTTGTTTCTCTATCAAATGACATATAAATGTATGAAAAAAGATAGTTCTATTGCTTTCTTTCATATCAAAACTACATTATCATTATATGCATTTGCGTAGAAAATCCTTATATTACAATAATCATATAAACGTTTTTATTATCTGAAACATGCAGATCCACTTTGGATTGTTTATTAATCGATAGATCTGATTGAGATCTATCGAATGATGAGAATATGTTTAGGAAGAAAAGTGGAAAGCCATGCCTCATCCTACTTCTGTTGCAAAAAGTTGTCAAAGAGGGTGATAGTATGTATGACAACGTAATTTATTTAATGTATTGTGTTAACATAGTTTTCTAATACGCTGAGGGTGGGAGGGATGTAGATGAGAGCGACAAAAAAAACTTGTTTTTTTTTGTTTAATGAAACCTAAAGAAAGCGCTATGATTTATAACATGACTAGTGACCTTTTGCCACTCACAGTGGTCACGGTTACGATAATGAGCGTGATGACAACTAATATTTGCTAACAGCTCGCGATCATGACCGCGACTTTTAATTAGTCACGGAGAGTCACGAATACTAAAATCGTTCCATGTTCATATGACAATGAATAATTTTCTTCGTTAAGCGAGCACTGTATATAACCTTATCATTTTTTTGCTTTTTTCGAAAGATCTCGAAGTCCCAATATTTGAAATTAGTTAATAAGGAATACAATCATGCATTTTGTCGATTGCTTTTATGATTTGCATTTACAGTGACAACCATATCGAGTCGATATAGAGTATGTAGCTTCAATGAAAAGAACATTACTCCAAGAAAAGAAAAACAATTAAAGTTTTTTTTTTACAGCAAGTACATAGTGATTCATTGAAGTATCATTGATTATGATATGTAATAAATATGAGGTAATGATTTTTGCATAGTCCGTTACTTGAACACATTTTTCTTCATACATAATCAGTGTTAATGATATTGCTGTTGTTTTTTATTACATTATGTCACGATTCTTCATGATTTTTAAGAATGAGATGGACTAAAACTTGGCAGATAATAAAACGCAAATTGTCTGGAAGTTAAATATTTTACTACAACAAAAAAAATATTCAGAGAGCTTTTAGACAGATATTCAAAATTTTTGCACAGACAATTGAAAAAGTGAGAGAGTCTATCAATTTCAGACTCTCTATCATCGAAACCATAATTAATTGATGTTGGTTTTATCCATTATCTCCTACGATGATTTATTTGATTTTTACATATTTGACAAATGTTATTCTAAGAAATATAAAAAAACTCGTTAATAGAGAAAACTTTGAAAACGTTATTAAGCTGCAAAGAATTTTCATAGTACTGTATTTCTCTGCGTAAAAAATAAGATTTTTGAAAACAAAGCTTTCATACGGCACTGTAATCTGATATACTATTTCAAATAATAAAAAGGTTGAATCTATAGAATGAGGGCTCATAAAGAATTTTAAGTTGCCAAATGATCTATAATTAACCCTTGTTTGTTGAATATTTCTCAAAAACGTCTTGGTAGAGGGCTGAAAACTTCATGCAATTTGAATGTGTCCGAGCTAATATCGATTTTTAAGGGAGGAAGGATCAAAGAGCTAACGAAAAAACCTCTTCAGGTGTCAAATTGCTTTTTGAACAAGACAATACTCATTTGATGAATATTAGCATGTAACAAAAAAGTCTAAAATGATTTGGTTTTTCTGACCTTTGTTCTTGAAATAGTCAAATTTTATTGGGTTTCTCAATCAAAAGTTGTGGTCTTCTTAATCGACTTTCGGTTTCAAACATTGCACGAACAAACTTTTCAATGAGATTAGTTCATTGCACAAGTTGTAAATTTTCCAGTATCTATAATCCTGACATATTCAATATTCGAAATTCTCTCATGTGTAAAAACAAATTTTTTTAATATATTTATATCTTCAGAAAGAAAATTCTGGAAAAGGTAAAACTCACACAGTAAAATTTTGATATCTCGAGAACAAAAATTCGGAAAAGCAAATCATTCTAAACTTTTCTATTATTCACTAATATTAATAAAAATGAAAATCGTCTCGCCAGAAAAGGTCCCCCAAGTGTGACGTACCGTTCTAAATTTGAGGTATATCATTTTATAGAACCTGACGAGCTGATTCTAATGGCATGAAGCATTCTTCTCCCATGGAAATCTAAATTAGACAAAATCAATCAATTCCACTTAGAGGTCACATTTAAGACACTGAAATTTTACATATACCAGTGTACGAACGGTCATATTTGATCAGTGATTGTTTCACTTTTTTCTGTATATTCTCACTTAATAGACTAAAATTTGCCTACCGATATTTTAATCTGCATGATTCAATGTTACTATCATTGCACACTTGTATTATTCTCATATAACGCTATGACAGCGTTAACAGTTTTAAGAAAGGACGATTTTATATACTGGAAGTTTAAGTCTTGTTGGTTCTTCAAATCTGAGTATGTGACTACCGATCTGCTTGTTGTTTCAGGCACTTTATTTAGAGAATATCTAGCATATAATCAATGAAAATGATAAACAATGAAGAAATGTACAAAGAATAATGTCCGTTAACAATGGCTGCAAGAGATAAATGCGCTCTCACTACAATTACATTTTGAGCAGTTGCTGGGTACGAATGAAAACATGAAGAGTAAGATATCGCTAGGTAAGTTTTAGTCTATAATGTTAAAATCTACAGCCAAAAGTGAAATAATCAATGATCAAATATCACTGTTTGCACTCTCAGATATGTAAAATTCCAGTGTCTTAAATGTGACCTCTAAGTAGAATTGATTGGTTTTGTCTAATTTAGAGTTTCATGGGTGAGAATGCTTTATGCCATTAAAATCAGCTCCTCGAGCTCTAGAAAATGATATAGCTCCGATTCAGAACGGCGCATCACACTAGGAGATCTTCTTCCATCAATCGAAAAGTAATTTGACAATAGGAGAGAATCACTCGTAAACTCATTTACTTGCAAGAGAACTGTCCGAAGTGATTAACCGCTTTTGAGCTCATACTTTAGAGATAAGTAGGGGACCCTGGTACTAGAATAACTCTAAAAGGATTTGACCTCATGCATGTGTGGAACCGAGATATATCCATTTTACTGAATTTTTGCCATACGGCACTGATTTCCCTGCAAAATTGAATCAACGGATTTCGACCTGAAATTTTGCGCATCAAGAGGTCTAAGTATCACTAAAACTATCAGTGTATTCTATTAGTCTTTAGGCCTCTTGATGGACAAAATTTCAGGTCGAAATCCATTAATTCAATTTTGTAGGTGAACGAGTTCCCTAGGGTAAATAGCCAGTAAAACAGTTATATATCTCGGTCCCATATATGCATGGGGCCAAATCCTTTTAGGGTTACTCTGGTGCCTGGATCCCCTATTTATCTCTAAAGTATGAGCTCAAAAGCGGTAAATCACGCCTGGCGGTTCCCTCATCCGTGAACTTTTCCAATTGATAGACCTATTTTATCATGAACAATGTTTTTCAAATATTCTCGGATTTTGACGTTATTCACATGCACCTAGTCTCATAAATGGTGTGTGAAGTCACTTACAAAGGTAGCTTTCGCAATAGTGTGCGCGCGGGGGTCTGGTGGAAGGGAAAACTCATGTCAACAGACACTCCTCAAGTAACATATCTGGATTAACGATGGAAGCAGTCTGTATTTTTGATGACCGTTCTGATTTCAGAAAGGACAACTCACTAATGTATTCTGGATGAACTACTAGGAAGACCAAATAATAATTTTGAATAAGCTTATATAATCAGAGCAGGAAAGTGAGTAAGACAGGTCAATAGGCCGACTGTGCGGAAATGTGTACCAGCAGTGCTTCGATCGCAAGTCTAGATGATATTTGAAAAATAATATTACATTTTCATTTTTGTAGAGGATGGGTGTGGGTGTGTGCGTGTGAAGGTGTGGGTATGGGTGTGGGGTGAGTTTCAGTGTGCAGGAAAAGAACACATATCCACATACACATCGGCATTCATACCCAACCACCACACTCACGCCAACAACCCACGCGCATTCAAACCCACACCCCGTAAATAACAATCCGCTTCTCTATTTCCCTCGACTGCACGGAATAGAGCTCCACTCCCGATATTAGAAATTTCTGAAGAAAATGGAGAGTCACATTGTGTAAAATGAGTACAAACCAATGAAAGTGAAAGAAAATGCATATTTATGTTGATTAGCGAAGAAAAAACTGATCTTAACACAAGATTCATTCCAAGTCTGTAGCGTGCGGAGCTAGGACATGCCTTTCCGCCCTCCTCCTTCCCATATGGTTTCACTCTGTCGGACTGAAGAGTATTATATATTTATTGTAAATGCTTCTACGGCAATGTACACTAGCTATCTTATGTTTTCAGGAATATGCTATGTATTGAAATATGTTAATGGTGTACTTAAATTATAGAAAAAGCTAGTAAATTATGTCTCGAATTTCAAAACTTGTAGCTGGATAAATTAACTTGACGCAAAAATCAGCGGAATTACATTGTAGCTCGTCTTATAGTACCTAACCGATCATAATACATGAAGAGTTTATCATTAGGATTCGACCTTCGTCGGTTGGCCCAGGCTGAAAACCCACTATATGATAGTAGAATCACTTGACATTCGCCAAGAACATAAAAATCGGTTAGAGCTTTTACCAAACCAGCACAAATTTTCTTTTTATCGTATTCACGAACTGTTTTTTTATTATGGTGATCAATATGCATGATTGGGCCGGGTACAGTGATAGATGAATTGGGAAAATGTTGACGTACTTCTGTGATGGCCCGATCACTGTCGGAACTGACGAAAATTAGAGTGCCTTGTGTCGATGCAAGAGAAGGGTTATCATACAGAAAATCGAGCATCTTCCGTGTCATATTAATTCGTGCTGGCTTTGCTGGGTCAAGTGGATTTGAAGGATTTTTCCCTAGTCGAATATGAAGGCAGGTGAGTTGTTTGTGTTTGGTACGAAGTATCTGTTCCACACCTTGGGAAACAACGCGCGTTGGTTTAAAAAGTAGTTCGAACAGGAATGGAAAGAGTAACTGTTGCGTGCCCTTTGCCAAGGGTAATCGACCAAGTAGACGTGATGAATTAACAAATGGATTTCTCAGTGCTGCCGTAATATAAACTCCATTTGTTGATATCCAAACATCATCGTATGACTTCCACAGAGCAATGAAATTCTCTGATTCGATTATGCGTGTCATGTTCTGCCGAATCGTTGGAGGATGAAGTGGCATTGTATTAATAGTCAGCCGAGTGCGATGCTTCTTAGAGCCGTTAGTTGGTTCTACAAATGTCCAATTGACGAGGTTAGGTTGCAAGACCTGCGAAATCGAACATGGGAAGTTCATGTCTATCATGAAACGCCGTTGGGTCAAAAGTGCTAGTATATACACTGAAATCATACCTCTAAGTCGATCTCCCCAACCATGACACGACGAATGGCAGAAGTATATCATAGTTTTCTCACTCTTCGGCTGATAAAATGATGCCAAATTCATCATTCCCTTATAGTATTGATATAATTTTTTCCATCGTATTTCATTACGGTTTGACAATGACCAAGACGGTTTATTCAAGGTTGAAGTGATTGTTGACGTTTTTATTGCTTTTGTCCTATCGCGAATTCTTATAGATTCATAATAATAGCAAATAAAAGAGTACATTGGTGTTATCATTGCAATAATAATGAGTGCAAACACCAAATACTTCAATTTGTATTTCATCGATGAGCAATAGATCAGTGAGCTCGCCTAAACTAAAAGAATGCGTAAGCGAACAGAACTTCAATACTTTGTTATTCTTTGTTAGTGATTGGAATTTTTTGCCAAATAGCAACTTCAATTAGCACGACGAAGTGATTTCTAGGGTCTTGTTTGAATTCAGACAAGTGGTACAGACTTGATTGTCCTATAGATACATATGGATAGCTGTTGGCTGCTGTCACACTTCACTAAATCAATAACGACTTTAATGCAAAGTCAAATTCAATTTCATTGTCATATCTTCTGATTCTGAATAACTTTAACATATTCCACGTTTGCGTTCGTCAAATTCTACAGACAAGCAATAGTGCCTGCTTTCCTAGGTTTTAGAAAGTGTGGGAAAATTCTATAAAATCATCAATGAAAAGTCGTGGAAAAACTCAAAAAAGACCTTTAGAAATCATGGAAATGTATCAGCAAGCATCACAATGGCGAATATCTAAGATTGGAAACCTAAGAAAATATGAGATATACATCAAGGTTAGCCTTGAAGGCACATTGCGACGCGGATGTCACAAAACTTTGACACAAATGGGAATGATTTCCGAGCACACTTTTGATTTCCCAGTTTATTTCTCTTGTAATTTATCAAATCTTCCATGATTTTGAAATCTTGGAAATTAGTGATATGTTTCAGCGAATATTTCATCAGTGACACAGGTATCGATCAAATACGGTTCTGTTCTCTCTCTTACACATTTTACAGCTAATCGAAGTGATTACAAGTCTTCCACTTGACACCAACAATACGATCTTTTGTCTCTATAGTACGCACTTACTACGAATCAATTCCCATGACTAATTAATATCTAACAATGGCTCTGCTCTTGATTTCTGATGACTGCTCATGATTCTCTTGAATTTACAAAATATTGGGAATGAACCACTTCATAAGTTTCAGACTTTCCAAAATCTATTATCCTTCGATGAGAATGTAAGAAAAAACTTCGCTTGTTGATATGATAAAAGTTTCAATATGCTTATGTGAAGAAATGAAACACAGAGAACGATGTAGCTTTCACAATTAACTAGCCGAAGAGAGAATCTTTCTTATGCATGTCAACTCGAAATTCTGCAGTCAAGTTCTAGCACTGTCAAAGGAATGTAGAACATTTTTCTGAAAAGAGGATTAAAATGTTTATAAGTGAATTAGAAACCTCCATGACATGAACCTTTGTAAGCTTCTCTAGTCTAAATGAACCCTATGTAATATTGCGTAACTCATCTAAAAAGTAATTTATCGCTTGTTGTGATTCTTTCGACAGTCGTGATGAATGTTTAACGACAGTGGGACAGTGGAACAGTGTTATAAATGTCGAAATAATATGAAGTTAGGAAGACAGATAGTACAGAGAGCGATCTCCTCGAAAATTGACCATAGTCACTGGTCAACTCATTACAGAAGGATGTCTGTGTAGGAACCAGGTGTTTATTGAATGAGAGAATACCTTGTATTGAGGTTAGGATTTTCAATCATTGTTCTATAATACGTTTCACAAAGACTAGTAATGGATCTAAAAGAATAAAAATATCATGGGTAAAACACTTATTAGGTATATGAGACACAAACCAATAGTTTTAAAACCCATTCCATATAGTTTAAGCGAAAATAAAAGAAGAGCTTCACTTGACAATATTATTTGTCAATATATACAGTAGTCCGCAATAGTCTTCGGCTCCCTGAATATTGGAACCTTATGGGTTCCAAGAGCTGAAACTTTGTAGGAATATCTTTCTTGGTGCACCTTGATTGGCCACAAACAGCAGTTCAGACACTTCAATATTACAAGAATCCTGCCCATAGAGAAACAGATCCCTTATTGCCGGTGATAAGAAAAATTGACCTTGGGCAAATTTCATTCTGTTACGAAGTACACAAGCACAAAAGCTCGAATATTTTGACGGAGAAATGAAACTCAGATTACACTTTTCTCGCAGCAACAGTTGCAAGCAATTCGGTCGTGTATTATGACGCTTCAGAGCCTTGTTCTGAACAATATGGACAGATGCACCATTTTTCACCATGACAACATAATCGACTGAAAATCTTAGAGCATATAGAGTAGAAGCTAAGAAGTATCTGGAAAAAATTTCGTCTTGAAATATTGTATTTTCGAAGGGTTCAGCTTTTAAGACAGCTTATATGAGAGTTCTGAAAAAATGAGTTCATCAGTAATATGATGGGCATTCTCTTAAAACTAAACTGAATCAACTCGTATTTTGTGTGCTTAAAGCCTCAGTGATTGGCTACAAGTTGATGAGCAACACAGTCACAAATTCTTTAGTGTCTAGCAATGACACAAGTCATTACGTCAACAGAATGAAATTCTACGCTTTGTGAAATACGAAGGCGTTTTATCTGCAGTTTATGTCAACGACCGGGGCGCACCAAGAAAGGTGTTCCTACAATGTTTCAGCTCTTGGAACCTTTTGGGTTCTAAAATCCAGGGGACTGGAGACTTTTGTGGAGTACTGTATCATTTCGCAAAGAAGCAGTCATAAGAATGAATGATGATATATAAGAATGATGGCAAAGTATAATGCAAAGTAAAGTAGAAGATTATTTGTTTCTACTCAACTGAAATATTCTGATGTGCCCTTTCGTTAAAACCTTAAGTCAGATTGACAAACAAAAGAGCCAGAACTAAACAGCGTAATATCCTTGGTTCAATGGATCTTGGTACTCGTCATCGGACAAAATCATATTTTGTTCATTTGTTTCGTGAAGTATTAATGTTATTCGCTGAACGATGTTGATGTCATTCGACGTTATAATAAGATCCTTATCAACAAAACGCTTCGAAGCAATACAAAATGCTTCTATAAAAAGTCGAGATTGAGAAGGCAAATGCCGAAATATAACTTGGCCTGATTGATTCGTTAGTTGTTGCTCATAAATATCCGGATGATCGACGAGTTCAATCCTAACAGAGGCATCAATTACTCGATTGTGTTGCTTGTCAATGATTGTCACTATCAGTTGTTGACTCCCCGTAGCAAAAGATATTTTTCCATTTTTGATTACAATAGAATCCTCCATTATGTGAACAATAATTTGATGAAAGCCATCAGAAAAGTTGAGGGCTATAAAGGACGATTGAGAAAGTTCATTGGGTTTAATATTCATCGAAGCCAGCACCTATAATTAACTGTACCCAATAAAGAGATAATTACTTCAAAGAAAACACCTTCCAACCTCTACAAACAAGAGCGTGGGGGGGTGTAGGTGTGTGTGATGTGGGTGTAGTTGAAAAGAAGATCAGCGCTCACTCGCTTGCCCACACCGACACCCGCAGCATCGCCTCCAGAGATCCAGAAGTCAAAAATGTCTTTTTGTTTATAAAGGTGGTATTTACATCAGTTCATTAAGAATACTGTGCTGATTATTGNAATTAAATTGGTAAAGAATTAAATGCTGATTTTCCATAGATAGGCTGTTTTTATTAATTTTGACACTCCATTAGTATTTTGCGATTTTCTCTATGAAAACTTTGTCAAATAGAAAAAATAAGAAAATATTCGTAATCAGCATTAAAAATTGGATCTAGAAATGTATGTCTAAAGAAAAAATGAAGAGTGCTCAAATTTCGAATTAGTTGCACCTTACTTGCGAACAAAATTTCATATCAAAATTCGAAGATGTTCCTGAGCGAGACACTACGCCATTCATTCAAGCGATACCGTTGAAGTTCTTTTTGTACGCAGCAATAAGATCAGGGTCCGAACTCTTATTAGGATAGTCAAAACTCATTTAAATCTACATGATGCATATAGTCGAGACCCAAGACGCGATTAATTAGTTTGAAAACTCTCCTCGTTGGAAGAAACATCTTTAGTAAGATATCCAAGTTTTCTCTTATGGAAGAGCATTCTTGAACTTCGAGAGGAAAATACATAGTATTTGATCCAATAACTATTAGCTATATGGAATGAACCCAACCTTCGAGAGAATGTTTCCCTTACTATCTCTGAGCCGAATGAAATATTGAACGCCTTGAATTTCGAGTGCTGTTAACTAATGTTAACCTTGTCAAAAAAACAAGAAAGAAACAAGATTCATTTATTCAAATGAAAACTTTGACCTAAATGACTTTTGATTACAAATATCATATTTTTCAAATATATATAACAGATGTGTGAATACATATTAGTAATTATGTTATTTCCTTTGTTGCTAAGAATATCTTCTGTCTTTTCGACTGTGTCGTTTCTGTCTGTGTTAAATAAATGTTGACATCTGAAAAAAAGTCCTGTCATACTTATCGATTCGTATTTTACTCGAGAGAATATCTGAGAATAAAGGTCAATAGACATGAAAATGTCGGTTACTCAGTAGTCTTCAGCACCCAGGAAGGAACAAATAGATTTTTGAAATATTTTAGTCAGTATGAGAAAAGTGAAGAAACTATTTTTCTTTTGCAGGAAAGAAAAATACTTTTTCAAGTTTCACGTAATAGTATGTTTATCATTCATAATGAAGTTCTAAAAAAATTCTCGTATACTATAGTTTTAATAATAGGATAAATAGGTTAAAATACAAACTTGAGATGATAATACACAAATTTTCTGTAACTAAGTTCGCGGTTATAGAGGGATGGATTCTAATTTTCAAAAACTAAAACATTTTCTAACTTAAATCTTAGTTTATACTTCAACATCAGTATCAAAAATATATTCTCACTAGAGATATGCAAGAACATGAAAAACAGAACTTGCCAAAACCAGGGCCGACGCTACGAGAAAAAAAGCCCGAAGCGAAACTAAAGATTATACTTAAATGTTGTATGGTCTTAACTCAATTATCTTACAAATCATACCAATCAGAACATAATTCAAGAGAGATGACAAAAAAAAATTACTATTCATTGACTAAATAATTCGAAAGACAAGTATTTACGAATGTTTATATATATTATACAAATATATTATAGAATAGTTTTGTCTAGACCGAGACCTCGACTACATGCCCTTAGCTTATCGCTGCCGAGATACTACCTTTGTATGGTATTTTTTATCAGAACAAGTGTGATCACCACCAGGAACACCAGAAAAACTAAATTTTGAATTTCGACTTGAAAATTTGCAAAGAGACTGGCTTTAACAAGAATAGTTTATTTGTTGAAGTTTTCGTCTATAGCTATATATTATGATAGAAACAACGAAAAGATCTGAAATTTTCACAAGAAACTATTCTCACTAAAGCCTGTCTTTGTACAAAGTTTCAAGTTAAAAATCGAAAATAAACTTTTCTAGTATTCCTGAGAAGGAGAACCACAGTATTCATCAAAAAATACCATACGAGCGTAGTATCTTCAGAAAAATAAGTTAAGGGTACGAAGTCTCTTGTCAGAACATATATAATTCATTTGGATTTGTATAACCTACATAGATAGGCTCGACTTAAAAGCGATTTATCAGTTGAAGGATTTCTCTCGTGAGTGCATTATATCTCTATTTTTCACTATAATATATATATCTTCATTAACAAGGAATATAATCAACATTTTAACTTTACCTTGATATTTTCGATTTTTGATCTCCTATAAGCATTTCAATAATTGGAATTAATCTTTCATCAATTAATTTTTGTCTCAATGCTTTTCTTAATTCTTCTATGTGTTCATCATACAAACAATTTGCTTGTTGTTTACCGAACATATCAATAAATGTTTGTACACTTGTATGATTTTGCCATCGATCATAAAATTTTTCCCACGAGCCAATACGAAAATCAGGAACATGCCGATTTAACAATCCTCGATATTCAGTTTGTATAATATGTTTTAATGATTGTTCATTTTTATATGCATCTATATAATTAGGCGGGATATATTTTTTATGAAAAGATTTTTTTGTTGTTTCATCACATGCATATAAAGCAAGTTCAAGTACGGATTGTATATTAACATGTTCATGTGCTGATGTATGTATAATAGGTATATTTGGTAATGAATAATGAATAGATTGTTCAAATTCAATAGATAAAATTGACTGATTATTAATTAAATCATTTTTAGTTGTTACAATTAGAATTGAACGACGAGTTTTTAATAAAGCATGAAGAAGAATTAAAAAATCTGATATTGGTTTACTAGATGATAAATCATATATGCATAAAAATCCATTGACATTTATTTTGTCTTTTAGAAAATTTCTTTTTTCTAAATTTAATTTTTCTTCAATACGTATTGTTAATGTTGATATACGTTTTAAATAATTATCAATTGATTCATTTATGTCAGTAGATATTGATGAATGTTCAACTAGATGAAATATACCTTCACGTTGTTCATCTAAACGTCGATGTTTTATTGAACCCCAATAATACCATGAAGAATGTTGATGATGATTATTATTATTTGATAAAAATAACTGATAATTATCAATATTTGAATCAATTAAACGTTCACATAATGATGATTTACCGGATAAAGGATATAAGCTCACTACAGATAGGCAATATGTTGGTGGTGATAGTGACATGGCAAATTATCCATTCAAGAACATTAAGAAAAATAAATCTAAAAGGATAAATTGACTCATATAAATGTTTTTTTTTTGTTAAATATCTTCTTGTAATTTTTATTGTTTAAACATAAGCCTTAAGGATATATTTTAAAAATAAATGTATTTTTATTCATAAACTAAATATATTAAATAGAAAGAAGAGAAAAAGCACATGTCTAAACGTCGAGAAGAAAGGTTATTATATGTTGAGTAGAAGTGTTTTAAGAAAAACACAAGAAATGGATTAAAGAATTTCTTTTTTTGCATGATCACACGCGCTTCAAACACAAGTGGAAAAAAAACAAATTGTTGACATCTCTGAAAGAGATAAAGATCATTATTGGTTTAGAAGAATAATCCAATGAGACGAAGTATAGAAAAAGATGGTGTTAGTTATGTCAAAGAGAAAAAAAAATTTGCAATGAGAGTTTCATTATTATTTTTTCAGAACATAGATTTATTTTTTATATGTTTTTGAGAAAAAAAACAGATTCCTTAGCATATCTTTACTTTAATCACATATTCATATTGATTGGCGTGATCTACACATATAATACTGCATGAGTTTGAGGTCACTATGACCCAAGTGAAGATATTCCGATTCCTGTTTCGTCAATATGAGCAATTCAATAAAAATCATTGATATTAATATTTCTTTCCTGAAAATAAAAAACAAACAAATGAATCATTGAATAATGAAACAGTTAATTTGCTTTTCAGGTCGACTAGATATATCTAGTGCATGTACTGTACACTGTTACTAGAGCATGTCACAGAAAACTTTGGGTACTTTGATGAGTTTCTAGCACTAGACTACGCAATGTTTCTAAATGTTCAACTTACTAAGTTGTGGAAAACTTTTTCATAGAATACTATAGAAGCTGAAGAATTAGCTCAAAAGTCTTCGCTAAGTATCCAATCAAAATCTTGTGACACACTAGTAACAGGGTATCTGAATAAGGTACCCTTCTGACAACTAACTCAGTGTGTTCATTAGGGTATCTCAATTGATTAGAAATCGTCCATCTTTTGTTGGAAATAGATCTGTACAAACTATTTCTAGTTTTATTACAATTGAAATCAAAATCGACACTACATGAATTGATCATGTTCGTGTCTAATTGAGCCTTGAATAGATCTCAATATAGCAGTAAGATGTTTCAAACTGATCAATTACAGTAGAGAATAATGTTAAATTTGATTGCGACGAAATTTTTTGCTAATTTCACTTTCGACAACAAAAAAAAATGATCGATTCTATTACTATTTAGTTAGCAAATATAACTGATTTATCAAAATGATGGCATAGTAATAGAAAGAAATTTAAAAATTTATGTCTAGATATGCAAATATTGCTTTGTTCAATATAATTTCAAGAAAAAATGATTGTATAGTGAAACTTGGAAAGGATGAATCATAGACTGTAATCATTTCAGATAAAATGAGTTTTGTCAGTTGAACAAAAAGTACTTCTTCTGAAGTCCTGGCGTTTATAAAAGGCATAGATGATCTAATAGTTTAATTTGATTAATACCACAAAAGAGAGTATCATCGATGTTGAATCTAACGTCACTTTATCATCAATATTTATTGAATCATGCATATACAAAAATTTTGAATTTCAAATTAAGGAAAAAAGATATTAGAACTGTGAATGGGAACAAAGGAAACCAACAAATTTTCCCATAGGACCAGTTTGCTAACCTCATCCCATCCCAATCCATGGAATAATATGACTAGTATAAACATTTTTTCAAGCCTTCAATTGATCCATGACTATCTCATTTCATTATCTCAGGTTCCTTTCTGGTTATTTAATTTCTCTTTCAAATTGTTATACCATTGACATAAATCTAATTTGATTTTACAAAAATGAAATTTTGAATGTAGGGTATTGAAACTGTATGGAATTCCAATGAATACAATAGTGAGTTCACCGGAAATCATTGAGCTCTGTTTGAATCTACTGAACTTCGTCGAGATTCATGATTCCCTATGTTTCCTTACAGATTTCAATGTAATATCTTAAAGTATTAAGAAGTAATGAATAATACGAATTCTTCAGTACATTTTCTATCCATGAATTCTTAGCTTCAGATAAGTTTACTTGTTTTCCCCAGATTGCTAACTTCTACCCATCGGTTTTCTTTAAATCAAAGCTCATATAAAATGATGTTCGAAATTAATTTGAGATGGAGATCATAAAGATTCTTAATGATCATGGCATTTTATCCAAAAAAAGAGGTATGGTAGAAGAGTCTTAAAAAAAACGAAACAAGCTGCAAACACACAGCACTTCATAAAAACTAATTTTATTTTTTCTTTATTTAAATCTTTGTAAAAATATTGATAAGCCAATGATGAGAGTATAATAAATTCTAGTACCTACCATGTATATAAAGTGTTTTAAGCTCATTTTTTATTAGATACAACATTTATTTTTTCATGAGAATAAAAAGAAATCTCATCGGTCGAAAATTTCATCTCATTTCATAACATTTAGAGTCCTGAAATGTATTATTAATTTGTCAATAGATCCATTTACTTTGATATTACCAATAAACTGAATATATATAGATCTACGCCAAAAAATTAAGCTATATTTCGTATGGACGTTAGTGTTTGTAAAGAAATTGATAATGTACTTAATACTAAAAGTTTTGTTGGAATTCATACACTAAGAATCATTTCTGGTACGGAGTTTTTTCCATTGATAACATTCATTAAGTACATTATTCAGTTGATGACTATATTGGAAGTTCGTACAAATGAATTTCAGATTAGAATTGTAAGGTAAGATCTAATTGAATCATTTAGATTGTTTAGTATTTTGTAGGGATAATCCAAATACTTGTCGACAATTAAATGAATTAGTTAATCTTGATGTGAAAATACGTATCATTTAGTTATTATTATTATGAAATGCTTGAAAAAATTCGAGATTAATATATATAAACTTTTAAGTCTCCTGATAAATAATTTTTTCGATTGGCTAAATAAAATTGAGATTATTAATAAAAAAAGATTCCTTGTGACCCATTTTAATATTGTAATTTTTTCATAAGATGTAATGAACTTGTTGAATTATTTTAATTCGAAAATGTTTTGTTACTAAGTAATTTACATTTTAAATATTAGGAATCGAGTAAAATTACTGGATGAAACTGAAATTCAAATGATTAGTATCATATAGATTTTTATTGTTATGATAAATATTAATTCGTCGGAATCTAGCTAGATCATTGTATCCACATACTTCAAAATGACTGAAGAATTTCCGTTGATATCACCTAAGATTATAGTCAAGTATCAAACCAATATTATTCTATTATTTTTATCATAAATTTTCAAAACTATTAATCAATAACATTTCATGTGATTTTCATTCCGATACATTCTATGAAAATAAGATAAGCGTTCAAAAAAAGTTTTACATCTTATTTTCATTTCAGAACAACTCTGTTAACAAAACATTGAGATCAATATTCATACAAATACTTTTACATCATATATTAGTGGTTAAGTATTTTTGAAAATTTGTAAATGTACACATTAATATTTTCTTAGTTTCTTAATTATGTTGAAGCCATTAACATCTGAAATCTTACAGTTGTGAACTACTGTGTTGATTTAATCATTTACTGAAATTTAGAAAGATTTGACGTTATTACACTCAAGAATAATAATGACTGCATTCGTTTAAAAACTAATATAATTCATTTAATACCATATTAATGCATATTTCAGACCTTTATAAAAAAAAATGAAATTATTATCAAACAACTATGTTCGAAGACAATAGATAATCTAATATAAATTAACAAATAAGGTTTTCGAATTCAGCTTCAATCCCATCGAGTTCAATCGAATTCGAATTAGAAAACTTGAATTCGCGACCGACTTTACTTTACAACATATTTCTGCATAGCTATTTATTCAAGGAATGATAATTCTAGAACTATTTGATTTTATTAAATATTGAATTCTTATTCCAACACGTCGAACATCATACGATCAATATTGATCAATGAAGATCTTATATCAATAAATTTCGTTATATTTGTCCATTTTATGCTGGTAGTAAAATTTATTTCGAATGTGTACTGATGCCATATTTATGATTGAATAATAAATCACAAGGATCATTATTTCTACATGATTTAAAGCGTGCTAATCTGCATTATTTTCCAAATCATTAATTTTTTTATATGTTACTAATAAAGCACAGATGAACAAAAGTTTGTTCATGTCTTCTAAAGATTATTCGTAGATTTTAATTTGCCTCGGAAAACGTGAGAGTACAATTGTATACATGCCGTCTTCTCTTTTCGTTCTTCATTATTTCTTTTGAATAGTTTGCACGTTCGAACAACATATATGTAATCCACATGTTCTTTATATTTTTTATTTTTTGTTTTATTGATCTAATTCAGAGACGATGTCTCAATCGATTAGCTTTGATGTAATACCTATGACATGCCTTATTATAACAATTGAACAGGATTGCAATGGTATATTCGTTATTTTTTCGATTCATTTGTTTTCTACTGTGTTATATAAGCTTGATCAATCGAGGATTTGAATTTACACCTGAATGCTTTTCTTTCATATAATCTACACAATTTACATTCGTCTATTTCATCACCATTTTTTCTTATGTAAATTGTCAGTTGAGTCAGTACAGAGTTCTTTTTTCTCATTGACGAGTAAAGAAATTTTTTTGAATGAATTGATTTTACAGAGGATATAGGAATACAAAAAAAAGTGCATTTATTTGCGTCGTTTAATCAGTTTTTTCTGCCTTTCTCTCTCTCTCTCTCTCTCTCTTTCGATCCTCCATTGTTTGTCAGCTAAATATTAGTTTTATGCCTGCATTTTACGAAAGCGAGTTAACGTGAGGTGAGTAATCGATGTGTAAGAAAAAAAATCTTTCTGTTCTTCCGTTTTTTCTTTTCATAATGTTTTGTTGTTAGAGATGCGTCATTCATGGATGTATAAATGCAGAGTAACTGAGACTGAATCATATCAAATATTAGTTTTTACCTTTAAGATTGTTTATTGTTTTTGACTAAGCAACATGTCGAAATTAACGTTAAGTCCAAATTATTGTAGTTGTACTGGTAAGATTCTTCTTTATTTAATTTTGACGAATTGTTGAAATTTGTAATTATTCATAGTCAATCGAGCTCGAAATTTATTAGATAAAAGCAAAAATGGTATTGTATAATAAAAATCTTCTTGATATTCAAAAACAATAAATGAATCTTATTTGTTTATAAATAGGGCTCGATCCTTTTTGTACGATTTCTATGGGAAAAGAAAAATTTGTTACTGTTGTATGTGAAAAAACTTGTTCACCCGATTGGCATGAACAATGTGATATGTAAAAAAAGAAAGAAAAACTAATAACAAAATTTTTTTTCTTTTTCAATAAATTTTCTAGGCGGATCGTTGATGATGCAATAATAAAATTAACTATATATCATAAAAATAAAAATTCTTTATCGAAAGGAGATTTTATTGGTCGTGCTTATATTTCTCTACGTGATTTAGATGATTATGATCATGTTCATACAAAGTAAACTATAAATCTATGTAATTTTATTGAAATTTTAATCTATTTAGGTGGCATAAATTAACTGATAAGGATGGAAAACTTGATAAAGATCGTGGAGAAATAGAAGTATCATTACAATTCTATTCACAGAATAATACAACTGGAAGTGTATTGGATTTAGCAACGAAAAAAAAACATTCATCACTTAGAGACATTAGACATGCGTTAAGTACGTAAAACATAATTTGTTTAAACAAAAGTATGCCACACTTTATTTTAGGTGAAAAATTAAAAACACCATCAAAACATCGAAAACATGACCAACACGGGAATGAAACTCAGGTATTGTGACATAATTCATTCCTCTTTTTTCATAAAGTACACTCTTTGTTGTTTCAGTTAGCTGATCAGCATCGTCGTCTAGGTGGTGACGATGGTAGTGTGAATAATGTACGCCGTCCTGATGATTCTACATCTGACGTGAGTATATGAATTATCCATTCATTAATTAACTAATGTTTGCTAATTCTTGTTTTTCTTTGTTAATTGGAAATGCTTACAACAAACGTTTTCAGTATTCTACTCTGCATCAGACAGAACATTAAAAGCATTGCCATACTTGATGAGTACTTCGTCTCATTGCATATTTATGACAGAAATCATTAGAATAATTATTTTTTGATCTTGAGAAGCAAGAGACTTGAACTATCTTAATATTTTTTTCTAATATATATTTGATTATAAAATTTTTCTAGTCAACATCATTTATTGGTTCATATACATCCTTGAATAGTCTGCCATACAATGATGCCAAACAACAAAGAAAGGTATGTAAATGGAATTATTTTATTCAAGTGTTCATTTTTAAGACATTGTCCTTGAGGTACATAAGAACATAGTTTTTTAAAGCCTTCTATACCATATTAAAAGTATTGTAGTAAATGTATGTATGTGTGAGTGGATTTTCTTGAGCAAGAATCTTTTGCTCTTGTCTAAATCCAAAGAATTGAAGTAAAACGAAACCGTATTTTTAAACAGAAATCACGTGCTCCGAGTAGTGGTATTGGCTCAACATTGGGCAGTGGAACACCACATTCATCACGTCGTTCAATAACATCTGATTACGAAATATCATCAATACTTGATTCAGCATCGATGTATGGTGGTGAGGAAACTTCAATATCATCACCACCTATTCGTTCTCAAATTCAAAACCAACAACAAGAAGAAGAAATTTTCGTTGATCATCATTTACTATCATCAAATTCTTCAAATCAAAAGACGACCAAAGAATCATTATCATCAATAAATGTGCCAACAATCATCACAAAAAAATCTTCAAACTCACCTTCATTACCAATATCAACAGATAATAATCGAAATATTTCAGTCACAAGTGATGATATTGAAGCAGCATTTGATTCTATTGATGATAATAAAACTTCAATAAATAAATCAAGAGATTATGAAATAAAATCAATACCTGATTCATTTTTTGGTTTATCAACAATAAAAGAAAATCTTGATACAGATGAAAATATTCTCAGTTCAACTTCATCAAAATATCCAACTGATGAAGATATCGATTTTGGTAATTATTTTAGTCAAATTAATCAACCAAATGAAGATAAAAAAACTAAAAAATCCACTTTGCATATTCTACAATCAAAATCAACTCGTCATTCGAAAGAACAACAACATTCTATAAATTCACAATCTGATGATATTCAAACACCATGTGCATCTATCTCTGTAAAACTAAATACTACTTCAAGTTCTTCGATTACTCTTCCTGCAAAAAGCCAATTGAATGATATAAATGATTCGACCGATGAAGATGTCGATGAAGTTTTAGGAAAATTCGAGGTAAATATACTCGGAAAATGCACACACACATACATACACACATTTATTTCCCTTCTTCCATTTCTAAAAAAATAAGAAAAACTTTTTATCTTTTGCACGTGGCATTGTGTTTGGATATGTATGTGTGCAATGTATTTTCCGGTTAGAAATTTTCCATATGTAAAAAAAGACAGCTAATTTAATTTAGCGTATATCCAGTATGCGTTCTTCTGTTAGACGTAGAATTCAACCCCGAGATGATATTATGCAACAATCATTGTCTGAGGTAACACTCAAGTTTTGTTTGTTAGAGAAAAATATTTCTTCAATAGTCCAATCAATAAGAATTTTTATGATTTATTTAGACTGATAATAAATTGCCTAGTGGATATGATCAGACACCACCAAATCGAAATACGAAAACAACGTTACCAGATATTGTTGGCGAACCATCAGTGAAAAGTATGAAACTAAACTGAATAATTTATATAGATTGATCAAAAGAATATTTAGATTCATCTCAATATGCGACTCCTGGATCTAAAAAAATTGTTAATAACGGGCTTTGTGTACTTGGTTATGAAAATGTGAAAAGTATTCCAATTAATCCGAAAATTCGTCAAGAACTTGATTATCTTGATCGTGAAGTACGAGATTGCTTATTTCAAATTTATTTTCAAAATAACCCAAATCCTTTTTTTAGGAACTTCTTCATGTAATTGCTTATCAATCAGATTTTATAAAAAAACGCGAGACACGTTTAAAAGATCTTGAACATTATACTGATGGTTTACTTGTTAAAATTGTTGAACAATGTCCAACTATACTTCAAGTAGGAGGTTCTTTAAAGAGATAATCGTATATGCATTGCACACAATAATTAAAAGCTGCTGTGATTATACAATATCTAGACTTCACGCGCTGTTTCTGCTTTTTTTTTGTTATTTGCTCTTTTAATGTTGATGATTGTTAAATTCGTATTTTGCTTTAGAATGGATCTATCAAGTTCAAAAGAAAATCATAATAGACAAATATTTGTAGGTGTTTCATCAGGAAACTATCGTATGTTTTCAATTTAGTCTTCTTTTTCTCTTTGAATAATCTGTGAAAAAGATAAGAAAGCTTGTTTATACTCGGATATGCCGGTGTCTCCTTTTCTTTGTATCTAGTTAGTCCACTATAGAACTAATAACTTTTTTTAAATGTATATTATTTGTAATTCGAATACTAAACTTATTTAATTCTACTTATGTATGTTGATGCAAAATTCTTTTCTCATAGTGTGTTGTTCTTCTGTTCTTCTTGGGGTGTTTTCTTTCTCTCTTTTTCATTTTTTACTTGTGCTCATTCATATTAGAAAAAATAAAATTTGATGCAACAAATACTTGCGATATTTTTTTTTTATTAGTTAAGCAAAGCTTATCTTCTTCCTACATAATCTCAGCTAAAAAGATCGTATAACGAGTGAGTCATAATGAATCAGGCTAAATGTGAATGTGGATGTGTGGTAGAATGTGATACTGCGAAATTCAATGAAAGACTCCTAGTGCCACTCTAACAACTAACTCTTATTTTTCAAGAAAAGTTTTGTTGGTTGCAACAGATCTAGAACGACATGTAAGTAACAAAACTGCTTGGCGACATGTTTATTCACCAATACTGATACAGATTAAATATTTTTAAGAAATGAATTACAAAGTATTTACTGCTAAAGGAAATAAGAATGTGTGTGTACGTGACTTGGTATGATCAGAAGATTCTTATGTATGCCTATATCCTAGAAAAGAGACCAAATATCGATTTGTCCGATTAATAACTACGCTAATCGTTTAAAATGCTGAAAACTATCGAATAAAAACAAATTACGAGCAACGAGAGAATGATAAAAACAGAAACAGTATATGATGAAAAAATAGGAAAACAGGAAACCTTTTTTTATCGCTTTTTCATCGCAAATCTCTTGATATTTCAGTATCTTCATATTAAAATCGACTTTCTTCTTTCTTTCATCTACAATTGCATTCTACATTCACAAGTTATGCTTTTAAAATCTTTCTCTTTTTGTACACACCTTAGACCACAACAGCTATCATAATTCATTCATCTCTCATTGTCCTATCTATAGATAATCTTCTTTTGTTTCATTACATATTGTTTATAATATTCAAATACATTACCATCTAATTCGAATGAAATCTATTAACAAAACAAACCCACCGTAAAAATAAGTTCTTAAATAAGCATTCATCCTAATTCCAACAACCAATTTCTTGAGTATGTGAAAGTTATTCATAATCATAAATTCACATATTATTGACTAGAAATTCGAAAAATGGTGACTGGTAAAAAAATAAAACTAGACTAAATTTCCAATGTATTCTTATATATTGTCTGACTATTACATTCACAATATGTGCTAAAAACCGTTCAAGATATTTTTCTTTTTTGATTATTATTCATATCAAGACCTTTTCTGTAATGTTGTATTTTCAGACGTAAGACTCTTTATTGTCTCAAAATTATTGCCTTCGATATATATATATATAGAAGACTTTCTTATCATATTACTTTTCTCTACTCAATTCATTACAAACCTTTTTTGTCCCCTGAAAAGCTGTCAGAAAGTTAGATTAAATATAATGAAAACTATTTTTTTCAATGTAATTCATATTAACTATGGATATTTTTCTTTACATTGATCTAATTCCGAACACGTTTTATTTTCGTTCAAATCAATAGTCACATATAATTAAATAATCATCTCTATTCTGTTTCAATGAAATTTCGTAACGAAACTTGCTTATCGTCTATTTTGTATGGTTATGTTGCTAATTTTTGCAACTACAACGACGTCTTCAAATAGAGCTCAACAAGCTCCACTGAACACATCCATTTTGAGCGCAATTTGATTCAATATTCACTCCCGTTTTCTAGAAGTATTTTACTTCAAAATTTCATTAGCATCCGACTTGTTGTGGTGTTCTTAGATAATTAAACGTCTCGTCACTAACTACAACAGTGCTGCAGTCATTATTTTTAGTTGAAGTCATCAGTTGTGAAGACTACGTTCACGAATCATTGAGCCATTCATTGACATAGTAACTAAAGATTGGTTTCGAAGAGCACCTAATCTCATTTTCACCATATTTGATCATCATTCGATAGACATCTGCTACTGTCTTTTTCTTCTTTTCCAGTTGTTTCATTAAGTCTTTTAATTTGGACACTAATCTATCATCGCCATAGGCTGAATAGTCCAATTTTTTGACAGTGTCAACGAGCACACTTGCGGCACATACTTGTTGAAGAAACTTAAACATGGGATCTCCACCGAACACACCACATCCCCAATTTCCAGTGACAATTATCTCATCCCTTGCCTTGGCAAAGGCAGCCCATGCTTTACCTAAATCACGATCGATATGACACCGGCTAAAATGATTTGACAAACAAGCATCCATAATAAGAATATCTTGAATGTGTGTTGGATTTTGATTTGCATAGGGACCGACAAATTGAAATGTTTCACCATAACCACGGTAATCAGAAAACCGCTTACATCCACGAAGAATGACTACTTCATCGGATCTTAATGTGTCACATACCAGAATAGCCAAAAATGCTTCAGGACAGCAGCTAACTAAGAAAAAGGAAAATAAACGTTTTTTGGAGGAAAGAAGAATTTCAGACAATAGTATTTTACATAGAATTTCTTCTTGTGTCGCCGATGAAGTGATCGAATGAATGTGAATCTGTTTATTGGCAAAATCGACAAAGCCTTGTGCTTCTTCAGATGCTTCCATTCGTTCGGCAAACACACTTACTTTTGATTCCTGAATTGCATCCAATTGTTTTTTCCAATCGGGTAATTCTTCTGCATACGAATATCGTTCGATCGAAATTTCTCGATCATCATTCTTATCTTGTTGTTGTGATGAAAGACGGAAATATTCGATCAAACATCGTATTCGTTCGATAGCCACTCGATCAAATGGTACGTGGTATAGATCAATCAAATCGATACTTCCATATCCTTTGGTTGTATTAAGAAAAAAGGCATTCGCAAGAAGATAACGAGCTTGAGCAGATGTATAAGTGACACGAGCAGTGATATTCGCTTGAAGAGGTTTAACTGGATTCGATTGGGTATGGTCCGAGGCCCATTGAGCAATTATGGGAAGGAGATCATGATAGAAGTCGAAATTAAGTTGACGAATAACTATGTCCAGATTGGGACATGATCGATACTTTTTGTGAATGAAGAACAAATCTGTAAGAGTTTGAAAAGTAACATTATCTCGTGGAAAAATAAATGTACGTTGTTTAGTAATGTATGTTGTCGTCGACATGTTTCTTCTACAAAATGAATAAGTTGCGATGTATTCACTATTTGAACTCAGTGAAGCATGAAGAGAAAGAAGAAAAATGTGCATATCAGATTTTTTTGAATCACTCATTCAATAGTAAACAAGCAAACAAAGCTTGATGCACTGCAAGTTTCTCTCTGAATGTGTGATCGTAGGATCGCAGGGTCTATTGCTGTTGTAAGGACTTGTTTACAAATATAGTTTAACCTTTTCAATTTAAATCGTAAGTTTTTTTCTTTTTCTTGAAAGCAAACCACATGATTAAGATAGATAAATCTAATGATCACCGTAGAAAAAAAAGTCTTTTTCTATTGGTTTGCTCAAAGATTCTGCTGTCATTTCACATATTCGTTGATTAGTGTTCATGAATCATTACGATTTGAAAAATCGTATGAGTGAAATTACTTTTTCTTGAAAAATAGAATAGTAATCACACATTGGAATAGATTTTTCTATTTTAATATGAAATATAGTCTAATTTAGTGAAAAAAAACTGAGTTAAATTTAAAATATTTAAGAAATTGTTACTTTTAATGAATGATATATTATTGCTTCATTATACAGATTATTTTTTGATGGTATACTGTGATCATTAGATTGCTCCAACTATAATTTATATAGCCTACTTATCTTAATCGATAGGTGTTGCAAACCCACAGATGTAGTCATTTTATCTTATATTTTTGATAACATTGTTAAATCAAAAGATATATTGGATTTACGTGGATGGGGATGTAAGATTTGAGTGGATGTGGCTGGATTCAGATATGAGGAGCAACTGTCTGGGAGCACGTATCATGGAAGCAACTATGGTGAGGACATCTGACATGGATTCCAGACAAAATTGAGGTTTAAGAAAAATTAAACAGAGTTATTAGAAGACTCGAAAACTTTTAGAGAATCGAAAAACATAAGAGTAAATAATTGATCTTATATATTTATATTAAGTTATATTTAAGTTTAATAGAATTTTAGATAAGTTTAGGAAGATGTCAAGTTTGCTCCTGTTTTCGATGAAAATCTGACTAAATTTAGGACGTTGTAGGTAGAGGTGCGCCGGTGACGGTTCACTGTCCACCGTTCCACCACACTAACGGTGCCACTGCTCACCGGTTCACCGGTTGCTACGGTGAATCGATGAACCGGTGAACGGTGAACTGCTGGAACGATCAGACCGGTGAACGGTGAACCGCTGAACAGTGTACCGTTGGTACGGTGAGGCGGTGGGACCGGTGCACCGGTCACTTTTTTGTATTTCGGTGTCTCTCCTACACGATACATCTCAGAAGCTCGAGCACTTAACTTTCTGATAAGAAGTAATTCCTCGTCCTAATTAATTTTGGGAAATACTAATCAGAACATTGGAATAAAGCAGAGAATCAAGCCGATAAGGTTATAAAGAGCCATAATGGAGACTGGCATATTAGTGCTGCTGGATGCATTGAGCCTTATGTTGTTTGAGTAATAGCGGAAACCGGTCATCACCGCAGATTTTCGTAGTTCTAAATGGAGGGTATTGATATTGACTAGAAATACAACGGTGAAGGTCATTTCGCCGGTCGAAGCCGATAACCATACCCACGGTTACCGGTACAACTACAGTCATTGCACCTAGGTTTTTTGATTCAATTATGATAACCGTACCAATGGTTACTGGTTCACCTAAGATCACTGTACCTACGGTTACAGATCTAACTACTATCACCGAGACTACCGTTATCAATCCAACTACAATAGCCACAGGTACGCTTACCAGTCTCACTACTATCATCTAAGTTACGGTTACTCGCCTAGCTACGATTACCGTCAGTAAAGCTATTGGTGCAACTACGATAAACGTACCTACGGTTACCAGTCCAACTATGATACCGCATTGATAGTTATCAGCGAGATTATATGGCCATACCTACGGTCATCGGTCTAGCTACAATAAGCATACCTACGGATACCAGTCCAAATACGATAACTGTTTCTACCGTTAGTAGCCAAACTACGAGTATCGTGGGTACAGTTGATAGTCCGATTCCGATAACCGCACTTACAGTTACCGGTCCAACTACGATCCTCCTAGATACAGTTATTAGGTCAAAACGGGTGTCCCGAAAAACGGCATTGTTAAGAAAGTGAAGTTTTTATAAAGGTTGACGAAGTGAACTGGGGCCGGAGAGTCTGAATTCAAAGTCAGTCTTTGAAAATTTAAAACTTAAGTTTTTAGATTTAGTGAGTGTTTATTATAAAAGTAACTATTTCCTCAACGGGTTGATGAAGGGAAATTCAACTTGACGCATTCGACTCTAATACTTAAGTAAACTATAGCATTCATGAAGAAATCATTTTATTGATAATTGAAATCCAGAGCCTTGATACATTGATATCACATTCGAGCTCCTGGAAACCGATTTACTTTCGTCACTCTTTACTAAATATCAGCATCTTCTTAGAAAACATTTCCTTAGCGTACAAAGTCAATTTAAACATTTTCAAAATTTGATCTCAGATTCCGATTTTCTGATCATGTTCATCTTTCTTTAGCTTTCACAGGAATTCGTTAGTGTCTTAGAAAATATTGTGTTTCACGAAAACCTTATATGACTGATAACTGTACCTATGATTATCATAATTGGTCCTGTAATCGTAGGTGCAGTTTTCTTAGTTGTACCAATAACCGTACCAATGGTTCATGTAGTAAACCCGTAACCATACCTATGGTAATCGTCATCGTTGCATTACTAACATTAATAACGATAGCCGAAGCTATACTCCTTACTAGACGGCATTATAACGCATAAATCGTTTCTTTCATTCTTGATGACCGTGATTCGATTAAGAAAAGGGTCAGTGGAACCATGAAAACTTATGCCAAACTCCGATGTAACAGTATCAGTGATTGATGCAAGCATGCAGGTGTCTTAAAAATGGTCAAAATCGACCATGTCAGTGGGCTGCTAATATTCTAACCTACCATGCTCGCTTTAAACTCTAGGGTTGAAACCATATTCTTGATTTGAGAATGTAGTCGTATACGAGACACTTTTACGCACGAATATAATCATCAGGCTAACGAGGTGGTCGGTATAAAAATGAAAACCTACGGTGGTGGCTGCTAGACGGACATTATCTGTTATCTTGACCCTCAACTAGTCCATAAAATTCTTTGAATCGGCCATAACGATAGGTTTCCGCTCTCTAACTTCCATTGTTGGCTTTCATGTTGACGGTCAAAACTGTATAGCCGAGTGGGGAAATTATACCATCCCCAATCTTCCTTTTCGCCGATTGGCGAATACACTATGGTGAAACAAAAATTTTATTGGCGAATTTCATGCTAGAGATTCGCCAATAGACGAATGTCGTGGGAAAATTCGCCACTAGTGAGTGTACTGTTGGCGAAATTCCGAATAGGCGAACTTACAGAGCCAGCTGAGTGTACGACAAGACTGAACGTGGGTAAAGTTAGCACCAGATTCGAGTTTTTGCTGTCCGGATTCGTTCGTGTACTTGAGTTATATTTCGTTCAACTTGAGTTGTGTGCAGAATTTTACGGCGAATCCGATGGTGTAATGATCAAGGGGGGGGGGGGGGGGCATGGAGGAAAAANGCTGTAGGTATAATTGATATTTATCATAGTCTTATTTGGTATTTAATTCAGTACTTATAATAATAATAATGTTAAATAGCAGAACAAAAATGAAAAATGACGAGAGAATAGCAACAATGCAAGTAAAAAATAAAGCGCCTATAAAAAAAAAGACACTATTTCTGTTCTTAATGCAGAAATAAACAAGAGAGACCCTTATTCTGGTGATGGAATATCTTGTAAAACAACTATAGTCCACCAGAGGCTTTTCACTTTATGTATTTTGTATTAGTATAATGAGGCTAAGGAACATATGTGAGGTCCACATTTCAGATCCAAAGCGGGTACACTAGCAAGCTGTTTTTTATTTAAACTCTTTTTCTTAGACGGGCTTTAAAACGGTACAAACATGTCCAGTCTTTTTCATAAAAAAGATTAGACATGACAAATATAATGACATCCATCACACTAGACAAGACGTACCATCAAGTCTAGACATACGACTAGTCTTTTTACCCGTCCTTTCCACACTTAGGATAACAACAGCAAAGGTTTGCTGTATTTCAACATTTACAATTACTCGACAATACTGTTGCTTTTCGAGCATGTTATTGAGATCTTGAGAAAATTCCTATTTTCAAACTATTGAGATCTACTCACTTTCTAGATTGACATTTGCATGATTCCAAAATGAATGAGCACTCAAAAGCATTTTCGTATTATGAAAAAGCACATGAAATTCTAGAACAAATTCTTTGACCTCAATCATCCTTTGTTAGCTACTTCCTACAATAACATTGGTTCACTATAGAGATCGAATCGGTTTGATATACAACAATAAGGACAACTATTTGAAAGAACTTTTATATGTTTTTTTTAGCACGCTCTTGACATTCGACAATGTTTACTATCCTATAATCATTTCAATCTTCAAGAAGTACGTAGGACAGAATATTGACTTTATAAAAAAAAAAGACTAAATGAATTTTCGTTTTGATAAAAACATCTAAATAGAATGGAACATTTACAGACATATTCTCATTTGAAGAAATACTCAAATCTGTGTAGCGGGTGCCTCTTAAGATCAAATTGATTGTTTAGTTTATATCAAAAACGATGTGATCATGTATTAATTATTTATCTTTCTCGGTAGACAAAAAAAAATTCCATTCAGTTGTTTCACAGCTTCAATTATTCTAATGAACGAATGATTATTTAAACTAGAGAAATAGATCGAAAACTTTTTCAATATTAACATGAAAGCTATGAATATATTTATTATCAAATGATCTAATTAATCTGAAAATATTAATCGAATTGATAATCATTGTACATTTTTTTATATCAAATAAAGAAAGTATTTGCTCAACTTAATATATATGATTTTTTTTTATCACTCATTTAATTAAAATAGACACTTTGTACATCGAATAAATGGCTATAGATATCAGAATGCAAATAGTTTTATTAATGATCACGTTTTAGTCACTTATAGTTGCGAAATGAAAAATGCAAGACGAGTTTTGAAGCACAAACTTAAGACGTAGACAATATTAGAGATATTTTTTAGTGCTTTTGTGAAATTATTACAGTAGCATATTGACAACACTTTGAAATACCTAAAAAAAATTACCACAGAAAAAGACGAAGACATTCATAATATTTGTGGAAAAAGCCGCTATCGACCATTTCAGACTCATAAAATAGTCTACTTCATTTCACAAGCAAAAGCATACTGAGTTATGACTGAATATCTTTCCCAGGAAACATAAACAAATGTAATTCACGAGGAAGAGTTGTAAGATCGAGTTGAAATTACGTGAATTGGATATCAATGTTAGAGAAAATCAACAATCAAGAAAATTCATTTATTTTTTAGGCACGGTGGCTCTTATTTAAATGATTTATTCATAAATATAAAGTGGAAACTAATGTGCATACAACACATTAGAAGATCCGATCATGACTGGCACTTGAAAGTTGGATGTTGTTGACTCCACTCATTCATTCACAATAACAAAAAACTCATAATTCAACATCAAAATAAGTGTCAGAATAAATTAATAGTTATTTGTAGAAAGAAAGTTTAATCAGTGATCTTATTTTTGAAAAACGAAAGTCATGGCAATATCTTTATACACTTATTAGAGGAATCATCCGTGTTACTCCACCATCAACATCAGTTGAACGTATATTTTCTCAAAGCAATCTTTTAAGAAGATAACATTGTTCAAATTTTGCACAAGCTAATATTTGCATTTGAGCATCTTCTTAGTACAATAACATTAAGTTACATGTTAATAAATCATTTTTTCTTATAAATAACTTTATGTTGAGATTTTTATTGATAAAATTGATGTTATTTTTTACTTTGTTGATAAGGTTATAGTAATTGTGTCATTTTATTTTATGAAGGGCTATTCGCATTTTGTTTTTGTGCATAAACTAAGGACAAGATATTGTGTCATAAAACAATTTGTTGTTAACGTTCTTTAGAATAATCGACAGAAAACGTCAAAATGGCAAAAATAACTTGACTCTACTCGAAAAATGGCTTGACTAGCTCAACTCTGAGTCGAATTAAATTTAAATATGAGAACAAATAATGGAACTAAATTATTTCGAAATGAATTGATTTATATATAATAGGCGATAGTAATCATTTCGATTTTTTTTTTGTCAACCAAATTATATGAAATAAAACTTTGAAGCCCATACAATCGTAGTATTTAGAGAAATATTTATATCATTTGAATTGTTAAACAGATATTTACGTTTTGTTTTTCACAAATTTTTATGAAAAAAAAATAAGAAGTTGACCATGGTTTATATCGTATATCAACACTTGTACAAATTATCCGCATTCATATAATCTATTTAAAAACATAATATGTGCCCATGCCAGGAATAACTTAGTTAGCATTATTTAAATGTAGAATGTTTTTAAAATTTTAAAGCCCGAGCAATTAAAAAGACGAGGACTTCATAGTGAAGTTCAAGAGTTTCAGTTGAATTCAAACATCGTAATATAGATTACACCTCTGGATGTTTCCATGAAATTTAATCCATTTTGGACGTGTCTTCACTTACTAAAACTCTTGTAAATCCTATTTTAATTACATATACTCTATATGTAAATATCACATGGGTCGTGTATGAGTCAGTACCCTGGATGATAAAACAATATTTTTATACTATGTATATTTAACAAAAACAACAGATTTAAGTCGAAAAAGATTATTAATTAGTTACTTTTATGCATCAATATAAAGGTCAGAGGTCCATGTTTTCTTATCAAGTACTATATTGAAAAAAGTCGAAGAACAGTTCAGCGCGTACTTTCATCATTTGCATTAGATAATACATGAAAAAATTTATTCATTTCTCTCTCTCTTAGGCTTCGTTGCATACCAGATATACATACAAATGTAACTACTTATTTTTGTCTAGACCCCAGAAAGAAAAGAAAGAGATGCCACGATGTTTTGACAAACATGTATTTTCGACGTTATAAAATACGTGATCTACATTACCTCTCTCGTTCTCTCTCTCCCTCTTGCTCCCTTTTCTCCTTCTTCCTATCGCTTTTTCTCTCTCCCTCTCCGTCTCCCCCTCTCTCTCGTCCATATATCGTGAATATAAAAAGTTTGTGAAGTCAATATAACTGATGGTAAAAAAAAAATCATTTAACGTTGGCTCAAAATTGATTTCACAATAAATGGAGACATCAATGGATATTGCAATTTGTCTCGATTGTACGTCATCCGTTGCTTCTTCTTTATGCCAAGTTCGTGATCGAATATCTTCGATCATTGAACCAATCATTGAAAATAAAAATAATATTCGTTTAGCATTGATCGAATTTCGATCACGTGATGATTCTTGGGTTACTGTTATCCATCCATTTACACATTCAGCAAGTACCTTTCAAGATTGGCTTAATAATACTCAAGCTGAAGGAGGTAGTCAAGATGGAACAAGAGCTATAAGTAAGATAGATAAGAAACTTCTTTGATTATATTCATTTTCAATATATTTCAGGTGATGCACTTCGTGAAGCTCTTAAACTTGAATGGCGTTCAAATGTAAGTCTAACTCATTTGAATGACAGGTCAAATCAAAATTTTCAATATTAGGATAATGATCGATGGCATGAAAAACTCATTATTATGATTACCGGTGGTCCTCCTTGTGGTCTTTTAACTGATCCAACAATAGAAATACAAATGAATGATTGTCCATGTGATACTGATGATCTGTGGACCATGTCCGATGAACTTATTAAAGAAAATCTTACACTGGCAATTGTAGGTATTGAACCAAGTGTAATTGTATGTGATGATTTTTATGGTGCATTAGCTAAGAATACAGGTAAATAATTTTTTAATTTAATATTTTTTTCTTTTAATTTTCACGGTTTTGTTCTAGGTGGAGAATATATTCCATTAATAAATGCTAGTCATATACTTTCTTCAATTATTCAATCAGTTATTATTGAAGAAGATACATTATCACAAAAATTCCGTCACGTAGATATAAATGAAATTGAAAAAAATTCTTTATATCGTCATTCATTTGTACAAAAACGGGCTCAATCTATGATTGAACATTGTCGAACAATGGCTGATATTCGACAATGGTTAAAAAATCATCCTCGACTTAGTCAACATTGATTTAATTATGAAAAAAAATCTATTAAACATGTTTTTTTGTTAAATTCTATATCGAGAAAAGAATAAAACGTTTCTTTTTCTTTTTGCATACCGAACATTCTTCAATAATTGGTTGTTTATTAAACCAATCCTATTGCTTGTCCTCCGAAAAGAAGAAAAAAAAAAACTTTTTCATTTCATTCATATTAATTAATTAGTTTTATAAAATTAAATTTATCATATCAAGAAAAACATTATTAAAGCAAACTTATATTAAACTAAACTAATTCATTGGTTTACCAATCAGAATGAATCTGTGCGCAATATTGTTTATTTGTTACTTTGATTTTCTTTTTCTTCTTTTTTTTTAAATATCCGATTAGTAAATTCAAACTTGTCATTGATTTTATTTTTTAGAGCATATTAGGTAATTATGCCGCGTGTTCCGTTGGTATATAATAAAACTTATTCAACACCGCGGCGTCCATATGAAAAAGAACGTCTTGATCAAGAACTTGAACTTATCGGTAAATTTGGTTTAAGAAATAAACGTGAAGTATGGCGTGTACGTTATACATTGGCAAAAATTCGTAAAGCTGCCCGTGAATTACTTACACTTGAAGAAAAAGATCCAAAACGATTATTTGAAGGCAATGCTTTACTTCGTCGTCTTGTTCGTATTGGTGTACTTGATGAATCGAAAATGAAACTTGATTATGTATTGGGTTTAAAAGTTGAAGACTTTTTGGAACGTCGTCTTCAAACACAACTTTTAAGACTTGCACTTGCTAAAAGTATTCATCATGCTCGTGTACTTATTCGTCAACGACATATTCGGTATGATTAAATAAATTTTAAAATGAAAAATATTTTTTATTTAATTTCTTTTTTGTTAGTGTACGAAAACAAGTCGTTAATATTCCATCATTTATTGTTCGACTTGATTCACAGAAACATATCGACTTTGCACTTCGTTCACCATTATCTAGTGGTGGTCGACCAGGTCTATATAGTTTTAAATTAAATTTTTATTTTTTATTTTTATAAATATTTTATTTTTTGATTTAGGTCGTGTTAAACGAAAAAATATGAAAAAAGGAGAAAAGGGTACCAATGATGAAGATGCCGATGAAGATTAAACATTAAATCAAATAAACACACACATTATCATCTATAACAGTTATAAAAAAACATATATGTTTCTGTTGTTTTTATTCTTGTATTGTGTGTGTGTGTGTTATTGTTTTGTCGATTCGACTATCATCGAAAACAAAGAAAAAAAGAAGAGAAGAAAAAAAAACAAAGATTATGCCTTCTCGAGTTCGAGAAATAATTTAATATCTACAGTTTTGTACTTTTTAGAAAAATTAACAATGAATATAGAAATCAGTAATGATCATTCGATGGAAATTATATCTTAAAGATTTATTCAAGTATCATTGACTAATTTTACAAAACATGATTTGAAAGGAATGTTGAAGAATATAGGGTAGAAATTTAAACCCATTACCCCACACCGTGACAGATTTTGATGATGTACGATCCGTAACATCTCGTTCTAATATATGAAATATTTCTCCATTGCATTTTTGGAGAAAAATGATGACGATAGGTATCCGAAAATAGATAGAATAAGGCAATATCCTTGTGATTAGCATTTTAATCTCATAGGAATTGCGTTAACAGCTTGTTTTTCTATAAATCTAATTCAGAAAATATCTTAAATCATCAGATAATATTTTGTCTTCATATGTTTGCTATGAGATTGAGAAATAAATCTAGGAGATTCCCAATTGATGATGAAAGTCCTCAAAGTGATTAATCGATTTGAAGTCGGAACTCTATATCTCATAAATCTTAGTAAACTGTGAATTCATATCTTTAGCTTATTATAGTGGAGAGATTGCATTTTATGGTATTTTTTTAAGAACACTACTGTTTCATCTCAGTAAAACAAGCAGTAGTGAGAACACTTTTTTCTTGCGAAAATCTCAGATCTTTTTATTGTTTTTATCATAAGATACAAACTATGGTAAAAGTGTGTCTTTTTGATATCGGTCATATATACTGATAGATTTGTTGTTCTTATTTAAGGATTGAAGTAAATTAAAAGATTTGAAATCGTTACCATGAATTATTCTCGTTAAGACTTGTCTCTGTTGATAATTTCAAATCGAAATTCAGCTTTTTTGAAACGGAACCACGACATTTTGCTGAAAAATATCGTCAGAATTCAGTATTTTGATAGTAATTGGTTAGCAGCTCAAATCCTTTTCTAATTAGATATTGAGTACTTATTAAGGTTTACATGTTGCACATTGTCTCAATTCAAAAATGATTTATTGATTGGAACTTTTCACATGAGATGTGATATCGTTTCATCATATCGATCTTTTAGTTATACCCCAAGCTGTTTCAGGGAAATTATTGTTTTAATTTAGCGTTAACGAATTATGAGTAGAGAATGACCATGAGTTAGAAACGCTTTAAATTGTAATACAGTTCTTCTTATAATCAAATAAGACATTAAAAATTTTCAGATTTCTATTCGAAAATTTGCTTAATCAACCGATTAAAGTATAGAATCATTTGCATTATCAGATAGATTTAACGAACATTGAAGTTTTTTTCCGGCTTAACTATATATGTATTGTCTTTATCTTTATTCTAGATTGTTTTCAATGGGTAAGCCTCGTAAAAAATCTATACAATCGTCTGAAAAAAATAGTCGATTAAGACAACAAAATAGTCCTGATCTTGTCTTATCAAATGGAAAAGATAATGACGATGATGATCATGGATTTAATGATGATGATGATGATGAAATAGATACATTTTATAAAGAACGTGATGAAAATCTTCGAACAGCATTATCTAAAACTACGAATAAAAAATCATCCAAAAATAAAAAAAGTGTTTCATGGGCATTGGATAATAACGATTCTGATGATGAAAATAATCGTGATGAAGTACTTGCTTTTGATGATGATGATTCAATGGCAAGTGATGATGATGATGATAATGAATATCAACAAATAGAAGGTGATGATAATGAAGAAGGAGATCTTGATGAAGATCTTAGTGGTTCATGGGGAACATCTCGAAAAGCATTTTATAATGAAGATGCAAATGTTGATGATGAAGACGCTAAATTAGAAGAACAAGAAGCTATACAAATTCAAAAAAAATATTATGATATGTTAGAAAAAAATGATTTTGGCTTAGATTTATTTCAACAAAAACCATCAACAATATCAATAGATCGAAATCTTGATGAACAAACATTACAACGTCATATTATATTACCAAACAATCTTCTTGAATTAAGTTCAAATGAACGTTTACAATTAATACGTGATCAATCACCTGAATTAGAACCATTATGTAATGAATTTAAAAATATTTTTGATGATTTGAAAATATATCTTTTACCATTTATACAACTTATTATTGATACATCATCACTAGAAGAATTTCATTCATATCCAGGATGGCAATTTATTCTTTCTATTATTGAACTTTATCTTACTTATTGTTCATATTTAAGTTTATATTTAATGATGAAATCAACAGATTTAAATATATCAAAACATCCAATTATAAATGATATTGAACAATATAGAAAATTATGTCAATTTGTTGATGAAGATTTTCAATCAATGAAATCGGATTTATTAAAATTATGTGAATTACTTCAAGAGAAAAAACTGAAAATAAATCAATCATCTGTATCGAAACAAAATCAACTCACATCAAAACCATATCTTATTATGAATAATGGAATGTCATTGTCAATTAAAACAACGGTAGGGGATAATACGAGAAAGAAACGAAGAAAAAGCGAGCTTATCAATGTATCCACTTACAAGATGAATATGTGAAATCAATGCATATACATTTTTGCCTAACAACGAAATTGATCGAAATGATTCATCCATCTATTTTCAGTTTATATTTTGGACGTTTAAAAGAGATCCACTAGATTAGAATAATACCAAAAAAGGTCCGAGCTCATAGACCTTCTTCGTGCAGTTACATTAGTTTTGTTCGACTTTAGCCATAGAATAGGGTATGCAGAAGTAAATTGAACAGAGAATTTCGAGCCTGAAATATCTTCTTTAAGTAGATGTCATGATTCTAAGAATATACTAAAAGTTCCATTCAAAACAATTGCTTATTTTTTAAAATATTCGACGGCGAACAATTCCCAAATTTCCTAACCGTCTCTATAATCAAATCAAATTTTACACATTGACTTTCTAAAGAAGAAAGCCAATCACTTAAGTGAAACATTTAGAGTATTCTTAAGATCATGAGATTTAACCGACAAAAATTTTTTATTCATTTTTTTATCTACCAATACTACGCCCTATGATGAAAATTCAGTAAGAATATTGTAATTTCTGTGGAAAAAAAGCCGATATTCCTAAATCCATCAGAAGTTATTCTGCGAAGAGTTAATGCGATTTATTCAAATCATTAAATTTATCTACTAGTAGCAATACAACATATGTTGAGGGAATCGAAAGAGAAACATGAAGTTGAAGAGTACATTGTTGTCTTCATGTTAATTTCTTCTATTCTTTGTTTTACACTAAATTTAATATGTTTAATTATCAAGAAAATTGTCGCTGGGCACATTACTAGCAACGATGTGAAATGAATAAAATAGAAACAATGGAAATTTTAAAATATTTCTTTTTTATTAATACAAAAATTTACAATTCTTATTTTCTATATTTAGAATGGAACTGCTGCTAAACCATCTCTACGTGAACGTATGATGAAGAGAAGAGAAGAAAAAATGAATACTGAAACAGAAATCGAACCAAAAGAAAATAAACCACAAAAACGTGGTATTACCTATGAAATTGAAAAGAATAAAGGCTTAACAGCTAAACGTAAAAAGGAATATCGAAATCCGCGTGTGCGTCATCGTAATAAATATGAACGAGCATTAATTAAACGTAAAAGTCGTGTACCAACAGCACGAACTGAAGAAGAAAAATATACCGGTGAACCGACCGGTATTCGTGCTGGTATTAAACGTGGCATTAAGCTTAAATCTTAAATGTGGTTTTCATTTTTTTGTGTTTATTTGTTTTTCAAAAATAAAAAAAAAAGAATATCGAAAGAGTTTATATTTCAAATTTCACAACCGCCTTGGGCACAAATAGTTTCCAATGTTTTTTGAGCTTCAGGAATACCAGCTTGAGCTGCTTGTTCAATTAATTTGCGGGCTTCACTAAATATTTTAGCAATATATATGAAAATAAATTTTTAGTTAAATTTCATATTATAATACCCTGGTTGAAGACCAGTATTAAATCCTCGTAAATGAGATATCGCTAGATTATATTGAGCTTTCGCATGACCTTGATCTGATGCTTGTTTAAGCCAGTATATAGCCGATTCTGCATGATGATCAGCACCGACACCTTAATCAAATAGTTTAGTTTGAAAAAGATAAAAAAAGAACTCGACAAATTCTTAATGCTTTACCATGCATATAACTATGCCCAAGATTATGTTGTGCTTCTTTGTAACCTAAATTCGCATAAAAACGATTGACATGAAAATGAACATGTTCAAAATGATAATATGTTGCATAAAGTAATCCAAGAGCAAGACAAAGTAAAAGACCCTATGATATTAAAAAGAATACAATAAAAGAAACGAAATCAATTGTTTACTTCAGCTGCTTTAATATACCATGGATCAGGTTTTTTCCTACGAGCTAATCGAACGCGACCATGAAATGGTAGTGATTCATTAGGTTCTGGTGCAACATCAAGAAGACGTCGACGTACTTCTTCTTCAGCAGATGTCATAATTTATTCTTGATACTAACAATTTACCCAGCTCCTTTGACTTTTTTTTGCTTGAAAAGAAAATATTTTTTAATAGAAAAGAGAAAAACAGAATACAAAAATAATTTTCAAATTCTTTTTTTCCTCTCATTTATTTATGCTTTCATCAACGTAGAATAAAAGAAAAACTCACTTGGGAAATAATGAGAGAAAAAAAGAAGACAAATAAGTAATAGTCATACTATGAATTCAGTACGGACCGACGAAGTAATCGAGATTTTCTTTTCTATTTACTCATATCGTTCCAACGATTCAATGTTTACCAAGTTATTTTCGGAATACATTTTTTGCTAGAAGAGCTATATCAAAATTGCTTTAAGATCAACATTCGTCACAATTTTTTTTCTTTTAAAACATTTAGTCAATAACACTTTTCTGTAGCTTAATGAAGAAAATCAATAATTTATCCTTCACATTTTAGACATAAAGACTTTTTGATCAAAATTTTTTAAAAAACTTTTGAATTTCGTTATCCGTTCTATATTCATTACAGAAATCATACAACATCAATTGACTAAATCATCATGTCAATTAATCGAATCATTTTTGTTATAATTCAATTTTTACGTTTTTCATTTATTTCATGAATGATGTTATACGATTACTTATTAAAATCTCTTTTTTTTAAATGACAAACATCATCAACAATAAAAAGAAAACACAATTGAATCCTAAATATTGAAATTATTTTATTGTGGTTTTATAAGTGATTTTCAAGATCGAAAAAAACTAAAATATTTTCTATATTTTCTCTATAAATATCACATATAATAAAAGAATTAAAAATAAATGAAATGTTCGTTGAAATTTAGATATAGTTTTATTTGGTGTTGCTATTGTTGTTATTTGAATAATAAAACGTTCGTTGGGTGAACATATACTAGTACAATCAAGTTTTGAACATAAATTATTATAATATTTATATGCATTTCGACATGTTATTGAATTATTTACAATTTTTTTTCCAGTTGCTTTATTTGTTTTACGGACGGCAGGTGAAAATAATTGTGTTTGTGGTTGATAGGCAAATCCACCACGACATTCTTGGCCAGTATAGGCAAGTGATTTACGATCATGTAATAAATAGTTAAATGAACAATTACATATTAATGGATTATTTTCAATATGAATTGTTGAACGTGCAAAATTTTTAAATGTACATGGTTGAAGAGTTTCAAAAAGATTTGAACGTAAATGAATATGTAATGAAGAATGAGATGTTGTGCGAGGAAGACCATGGAAAGCACATGTATCAAGACTTGAAAGATTATTTCCACCTAAAGAAATAGAAAAACATTTAAATAGATTTTTTTGCTGTATGATATGGTAGGAAACTCTCTATTTCTTAATATCTGGGATATTTGGACTCGGATACTGTCATGTAGGAGATATCGCGATTACAGATACTAAAAATAATTTGTCTTATTGCTTCTCCTCCATTCCCAACTGTAATATGTTTGATGCAGCTGAAAGCTTTTTTTTATAGTTACTAGACATTATTTAGAACATATGTATTTTTGGTTCGTTTTTAAGTCCTTTCCGTTCAAATAAAACCATAAAATCCTTAAAACATCCTCAAAAAATTGCGTTTATTTTTGACTAAAGCTTTTCTTTGTAGACCTTGGCAAATATCCGCTATACATCACATTTTGAAAGAAAAAAAAAATATCTTGAATGCTCTTTACTATTAAAAGAAAAATGTTTCAGCCCAATGGGATTTACTTTGCTTGAGGAACATAGGCAATTCTTTTGCTACTGCTGTCGAAAGACTCATTTTACAAAAACAACAAAAAAATGTGAAAATTTTGATGCTTTTCGGCAAAAACGTATTATCTTTGTAGGTTTTTTTAAACACTTTTATAGTTATCTATCAATTGTTGAAACAGATCCAGTAGGTAGAGAACACTTCTAACCGCATATACAATAGAAAAACCTAACATGAAAATATTTCTTATGATCAGACATGTATGAGATGAGAATTTAAAGTTTATCAAAATTAGAATTGAATATTGTTATTAGATGTTTTTTAAGATTTCAGAGTGAATCATCTTAAATATCATTCTAAGCAACATAGAATTCATCAAAAGATCGTGAAAAAAATGTGACATTCATCTAAGGAATGATCTAAAAACAATAATTTAAGATTTTTTAGATTTCGTGGGAATACATTTGTGAAGTTGTTTGTTTTTTTGTAGACTCAGATTGAAACTAAGAACAAGAAGACTTGATCCTACCAATCTCTATTCAAAATTTTTAATTTTATAAAAAAATCATACTAGACAAAAAAATTTCTAGAGTCTCAATTTACACTTTCAAACTTTTATCTCTCATATTTAGTGATGATAAATTCTAGCTTACAGATAGATGAATAATATCTTCCTATCTATTCATCGTCTTGACTCAATTGAAAACGAATAGTATTTAATTGTTGAAGGTTAAGCTAATACTAAACATTACTCTTATTCTCATACGAGAATCTAACAATAATATTAATTTTTTTCATGGATGATGTTTTTCAGTCACATACAATAATTATTAAGGAATTTACATACTGAGATTAAGTTTGTTTAATGCTTTTAATGATAAAAATTCACATGAATTTAAATTATTAATATTATTTGATGTAATTTTCAAATGTTTTAATTCATTAAGATAAGAACTATAGAAAGCTTGAGTAAAATTTTCTATATAATTATGTGATAAATCAAGATATTTTAATCGATAAAGTCCAGTCCATAGCTGTGCTGATAATGAACTCATTTGGTTGTGTTCTAATTTTAAAAAACGTAAATTAACAAGATAAGAAAATATATTTGGTTTTAAAATTGTTAATTGATTATGTGATAAATCAAGATAATCAATGAGAAATGGACCTGCAAATGCATTTGGGTGCCTTTGAAATGTGAAATTATCTATTGATGATATCTGATTATGTGACAAATCAACACGTGTTAAACGATGAGAAAATCCAAATGCATATGCTGGTAAATAACTAATATTATTATATGATAAATAAAGTTCATATAAACTTGTTGCATTATATAAAGCTTCAATAGGTACATGATTAAGTGAATTGTGATCAAGATAAAGAATTGAAACTGATGACGGTTCGCCGGCAAGTGACAATGAAAAACCTTTTATTTGTTTCGTTTTATCGCGTAATTGCAATGTTAATTCAGTAAGATGGCGTGTATATTCATAATATGATTGAACCACTGAAGAGTTCTTTTTCATTTCATTATTATTATCTTCCTTATAATCATCAAAAAATCGATCCAATGCATCGTCATCATCATCATCATCATCATCATCATCATCATTAATAATTGATAAGTGTTCTTGATTAGGCCACGTATCAATTAAATGTCTATGAGTTAAATTTAATTGTACAATAAGATCATAGGCAAGTGAACCTGAGAAAACTAAATGACCTATATGCATATTACTTGGTATCCATTTCGAATGATTTAAATTATCAAATAAATTAAATCCTAAATCAATATTCCATTCAATAATACTATTATTTGTTGGAATTGTTTTAAAAATTGGTAATGTTTTCATTTGTCGATTAAAACAATCAATCCATAACCGTTTACTTTCAATGTCACATAAACATTGACAAGGTATTGATACTGGACATGGTTGAACATATTGATGATTGGTACGAATATCAATATTAATTGAAAGTAAATAAGGTGAACATGATGATTTATTTAATGAATGAACAAGTAATGGGAAATCAACCATATTAAGAATAAATATTGTTATAAATATATATGATTTAGAGAATAAAAAATACCATTGCATTGTTCCTCATAATGTTAAAATTTTATTAGTATTAATTAATAATAAGGATTGAATGAACTAAAGAAAAAGAAATAACAATTTTTTATTTCTTCAATCCTTGACATGTGCTTGTGTCTATCACTGTTGACGATACTATCAATCAATATTTTCTTATTGACATGCATAAAACCTTGACTATCTATTTCTAAATGATTGCAACGATGTTTTTCTAGACATATACTCACACAATCAATGTGATGAACCATTAAGAATTATAAAAAAAAAAAGAACTTCATCTGGTCTTATCGAATAGAAAAAAAGACCTATAGGCAAATGAAATAACTTACGGAAGAATTCATTGAAGATTTTCTTTTTGTAATATGGAATTTAGCCTTTTGCATGATTCAATGAAGAG